GACGATAAAAAAAAGGATTGTATAAATACCCTAAAACCGCCTTTACGTGGCATAAATTTTTACCTTCCCAACCCTGAACGCACCTGTGCATTACATTAATATGTTTCGTTATCTACCCAACCCTGCACGTCACTGAAATACGCTCTCAGCCAGCGTGTTGAAACGAAATCGTATTTTTTTTAATTAAAAGAACGTGTATTTTTCAAGAAAAAAAGTATCCTTACGCGAAATTCAATTACGATTAGACATAATTATCTCGAGTATCTAAAAATTGTGGAAATATTAACAAATTTATTCTACAAATAATATTTCACTGGGATAAACTTTTTCTATAATATATAACCTCAAAACTTGATAAATCCATATTTTCTTATTTCGCCAGAATGGCCAGAATTATTGTACATGATTTTAGCAACAATTGGTACAATTATTATTATACGAAGTATTTTTTCTGAAATTTAAAAAAGTTCATGGCAAACGTTAAACATTAGTCAAATTATAATCGGAATGTCTAATTGTCTATTAATCAAGAATCTGATAAATGATCCGAGAGGATAGTTTTTGGTTCATTTTTAATTAAATGCGCATCGTTTACACGAAGTTATTTCTACTCCGTAATTCTCGAAATCAGTTTTCGAGTGACACCTCTGGAATTTCAACATTTGCATAACTTGGCAAATCATCTCTTACACCACTACTATTTAAACAATGGAAATTATTATTTTCCAATAGTACAATTTTTGATGAACTTCGAGAATTATAAAAAAAAATTGAATTACTTAAAAATTGTACTAGTTATTGGATACTCTCTTTCTATTATTGTTTTTTTTCTTGAAGTAATTATACAGTGAGAAGCCGAATTTTTCTCGAAAACCAAATTTTAGATTTAGATTTGAAAAATAGTAGTAGAAATAATGTCTGTAGAGTGATTAATACTTATATTTCATTTGAACAATTTTTAACAATTTATTACAGTAGAAAACAATTATTTACTTTAATAATAATTATAAAAGGATATAATATTATAAATATAATAATGAATATAATATTAAAAAAATTGTTATTGATATTATCTTTATATTTTTATTTACATTTTTAATATTTTTATTCCTACTTTTATTTTATTATTAATTGACATATAATTATAATGATTTTGTATATATACTACATTATTTGATTTATTATTATGAGATTGAGAATCATTAGAGCCATATTCGTCAAACATTAGATATGAATCACTCACATCAGTCAAACATTGAACAGAGAATATTATACTTCGCATGTAATGGTAACATTTATATACATATATATGACAGTTTGTAATGGTGTGGTCATTTCAAAGTCTTGAATGGCTGGTAATTTACTCGCATCACTGTCAAAAGCAGACAAACGGTTTTGCTCCAAATGCAAATGTTCCTTCGACAAACATTTATTCAGTCCCATCTTCTTTTTTGTACCCTCTGCCATTTTATTCTGCAAAAAGAAGAGACCATTATAAATTATCCCTAATTCAATTTATTTCTTTTCTTTATTAATAATAATTTCTCGAAAATTTGTTTCATTAGTAAATAATATTTTGATGTTTTTTTTTGTGTCGACTTATATAAATAAGTAAAAAGAATAAATAAATATAAGTAATAAATAATAAATTAAAAATAATATAATTTTTATTCAAAAAATAAAATCTGAATTTGCAAAAATTTTTTATTATCATTAGATGATAACGAGCTTTGTTTACAATGTATGCTTGTTATAATCATTGTGAATAGGGAATTACAAGAGTGTCTCTTTCAAAGTTATAAAGTTATGAATATAAATTTGGATTTTTAATTAATTTTTCCTTTGAGTGAAAAATAGGAGAAAAGATGTGAAAGAGAATTTTTTTTGTTTTCTTTTTTTAATAGGTGAGGGCGTTAGAAAATAATTTTTTTTCCTTTTATATGTGGTTGTGACTATGTATCATTTTGTCAACGACCTCGTGATGAGATAACGGGAGTAAATTTCTCAATTCCCAATCTCCATTCAGTGTTTATATGAAGCAAGCCATTTATTAGCACGGTTAAAATTGATTTTTCATTTTTTACACCATTTGCAAATATGGATTATTCAAAATTTCTGTCAAAAGTCGTCAGTATGCGGGGTCCTAATCTAATTCGACAATTGAGTAAGTTTCTTTTTTTATATATTTTTTCCAATTGTTGAAAATTGTATGTTATTCTTTTATTATATTATCAGTGTTTTATATAGCGCATCATATTTGACTGAATGAAAAAACTTCAAATCTTCATAACTTTTTTTTATAAAGAATCGTAAAATAATGTAAAAATGAAATTTATTTATACATTTTAAGACTATCTAGTTTTTAATAGAAGGATTTTAAAAAATATATCGAAAAATTCCATGGAAGTACCCCCATGGAATTCCATGGATTCCATGTACTTCTGTGTTTCGGAAAAAGCTCTTCTTTAATAAAAAAGAAAGCTATAAATTGATGAAAAAAAGCCCAAATTTGATAATCGCCTCTAAAAATTATTTTAAAAAATTGTCAAGACCAGCGTCGTTTTTCGAGACACACTTTTTAAATAATTTTTCTTTTCAAATATTTTTAATTTTAAAATTATTTTATGAAAGTCATTGAATTCTTCCAAAGAATTTTATTTAAAAATTTGAGAATTATTGAATTCCTTAGAAGAATTTTATTATAATTTTTCAAAATCCTAATTAAATTCTTTTGAAGAATTTCTTTCAATTTTTTTTTAAATAATAGATTTTCTTTGATAACTTTTTATAGAAAAATTTGCAAAAAAATAAATTAAATTCTTCTCAGAATTTTATTACAATTTTCTAAAATAATTTAATTCATTTAAGGAATTTTATTAAAATATAAAAAAATAATTCGATTCTTTCGAAGGTTTTTATTAAAATTTTAGAAAATAATTGAATTTTTTCGAAAAATATTATTAAAAACTTTTAAACATTGAATTCTTTCATGAAATTTTATTAAAATTGTATTAAATATAATTGAATTTCTTCGAAGAATTTTATCAAAAAATTTATTGGATAATTAAATTTCATCGCAAGAATTTTGGTAAAATTTTTCAAAATTCTAATTCAATTCTTTTGAAGAATTTATTTGGAATTTTTTTTTTAAATAATGGAGTTTCTTTATTAATTTTAGTTTGAAACTTTCAAAGTAATTAAATTATATGAAGAATTTTTTTGTCAAGTTTTTAAAATAATTGTGTTTTTTAATTATTATAAAATTAAACACTTAATTATTGAATTTTATTAAAATTTTTAACCAATAATTGAATTCGCTCAAGGAATTTTATCAAAATATGTAAAATAATTAAATTATTTTAAAAAATTTCTTTAATTTATTGAATGTAATCGATTTTTGTTAATAATTAGTAATAAATAATTTTATTATTAAAATTTTATTAAAATTATTGATAGAAAGTTAAACTTTTTAAACAATTTTATTAAAGTTTTTTTTGTTAATAATAATTAGATTCTTTTGAAGAATTTTTTAAACTTTTTTTTTTTAAATAGTTCAGTTTTTTTTAACAATTTTAATTGAAAATTTTGAAAATAATTGAATTAAACAAAGAATTTTATTCAACATTTTAAAAATATTCGTGTCTATTAATAATTTTCAATTTCACGAAATTTATGGGAAATAATTGAATTTTTTCGAAAAAAATTTATTTATTTATTTATTAAAAAAAAAATTGAATTCTTTCATGAAATTTCATTAAAATTGTATTAAAAATAATTGAATTTTTACAAAGAATTTTACTATTTATGAAAATAATTCAATTTATTGTTTCAAAGGATTTATTAAAATTTTTAAAAATAATTGAATTTTTTTGAAAAATTTTATAAGGAATTAAGGAAAAAATTGAATTCTTTCAATTTTCAATTTCACGAAATTTAATGAAAATAATTGAATTTTTGCAAAGATATTACTTTTTATAAAAATAATTGAATTGTTTCGAAGGATTTATTAAAATTTTAGAAAATAATTGAATTCTTTTGGAAAATTTTATAGTGAATTAAGGGCATTTGAACCATTATGACGTCACAATTTTAAAACTCATGCTTTGCACACATTGTGACGTCATAATGGTTCAAATGCCCTTAAGACAAAAATTTAATTCTTTCGTGAAATTTTATTGAAAATAATTGAATTTTTCCAATGATTTTACTATTTAAACAAATAATTGAATTGTTTCAAAGGATTTATTAAAATTTTTTAAATAATTGAAAAAGCTCTTTTTTAATAAAAAAAAAAGCTTCAAAAAAGCCCTTCGACTAAAAACTGTATTATTTTCTTATAATAAAACGAGTAAATATTGAAGAAAGAACAAAAGAAGAATACTGAAATAAATATAAAGACATCGAAAGAAAAATGTATGATCGAATATGTAAAGTAGCGATTGAAAGACTTATCTTTTATTTAGAAGTGACATTTTCCTTATATAGTAGATAGTACAAGAGGTATTGAGATGGATACATATTCAAGATTAAGCTCGATAGACAGGTTGACCTCCCTCTCTTAAAAAAAAAAAAATCCTCAAAGAATATGATAGAATGCGGTAAATACCTTCTCAAGAAGGACGTGACTCAACAATAAAAAATTGAAATAAGAGCAAAGCTATAATAAACAAGAATTTTATATTTCATAATGCTGCTAATTCTCGAAAAAAAATTTCTTCTACAGATAGAAAAGTAAAATTAATTAAAAATTAATTATCATCAAATTAAAAAATTTAAAATTTGTTATTTATTAAAGATTTTTTGGTCAAATTAAAAACTTTTGTTAGCATTTTTTAATATTTTTAGTTTAATTAAGAATATTTTCAAGTTGTTTTCGTGCATCTATCTTGATTAGAATAGATGATCACAATCGCAAAAAGTTACCTAAGGATAAGATAACGATTATAGTAATTTGCAAAAAAGCGAAAAAAAATTTTATATTCTCTAATCACTTTTATGCAGTCAGTGAAAGTTTTCATCTCACAATGGATTACTCTAAACGTTTTACAGAAAAGGCAAATAATAGAATTCCCAATTTTATTAGTCATATGGGTAATCGAATTTTTATTGTCAGATAAACTTTTTTTTTTGCATATACTGAAAATTGTAATTTCAAATAATTATTAAAATTATTAACTTTTGCGCCATAATTAAAATGTCGCATTCTGAAACTTTTTATACCTCCTGTTGAACCCCAATTGCCAATTGTATAAATAAAAAGTGTAATTACCTTTTCGAAACAAAAATTATCTTTTTTGGAATGAATTTACTTTCCTAATAAAAATAATCTAATAAAAATCTAATAAAATAAAAATAATTTCAGCCCTAGCGTACAGTAAAAATCCAACTGCGATATTTTTTGCTGGTGGTTTGCCGAATACTGAAACATTTCCATTTAAGGAGGTGAGTGTTGCTTGTAAAGATGGCACTTCCATTGAACTGCAAGGACGTGATGTTGATGTGTCATTTCAATATGGACCAACTAAGGGGTAAGTTAATTTAAACTTCAAAGAAAAATTTCTTTACTTTCCTGTATTCTCAATCCAGTATAATCAATACTATTAATTATGACTCAAAAATTTAGGAACAAGACATGTTTTCTTATAGTTGGTTAAAAACACTTGCAGATACCTTCCGCTAGTGGACAAATGGCGAAAATTCCAGGAACAGTGGCACGCACCAAAGTTTAACGACTGGGACGTTCATTTCACCGCTGGATCTCAAGAAGGATGTAGCAAAATTTTTGAATTGTTTATTAACACTGGAGATTCTGTAATGGTACAAACTCCAACTTATACAGCAACTCTACGAGCGGTGAGTTAACTTTTTGTTTTTTTTTTAAACAATTTTCGTGATGATTTATTATCGTGGTAGTCGCGAATAGCTGGCAGAGAGAGAGAAAGTGACGACTGCGCACGTAGGACGCGCCGCGTCTCTTCCCCCACCGCTCGCTCTCCTCGCGCCTTATATACCGTGCGCTCAGTCCCTTTTCGTCAGTTCGTCTTCCGACTTGCCTCGAGACGCTCTTCGATCTAACCAGGCTTCGCATTCATCTACTAAAACCTACTATTTACTACTTTTTTTACATTATGATACTATTTGGATACTTTTTTTTTAGATTTCAGCCAGAAAAACCAACTAATTCAATTTTTTTAGAATTTCCATTACTTTAACTTCGCTAATACTAGAAATAAAAAAACTATTCTCAAAAATTATAATCAAATTCTTTAAAACGATTCAGTTATTTTCAAAAAATATTAGAAATTCAATTATTTTCCATATCTAGTATTTTCATGAAATTTCGCAAAAGAATTCAATTATTTTTAAAAAAATGATCAAATTCATCCAAAATTCAATTATTTTCATAAATACAATTCCTCACAATAATTCAATTACTTTCACTAATAAAATTTTTCATAAAAATTCAATATTTTGAAACAATTTTTGATAGAATTCTAAGCAAGAGTTTAATTATTTTCATAAATAATAAAACTCATCGAATAATTTCAATTACTTTTAATACTATTTTAAATTAATTAAGAGAAAAATTTTATTATTTTCACAAGTTTTCCACAAGAATTTAAAAATTAATTAATTAAATTTAATTTTCAATTTAAAATGCAATTTTCATAATATTTATTAAATTTCGAAAAAATGAATTATTTTAAACATTGTTTATAAAATACTTCTGAAGAATTCAATTATTTTCAAAAAATAATAAAATTTTTCACAGAAATTCAATTCTTTTTTTATGCATTTTTGAAAAAATTTTTCGCAATAATTCAATTATTTTCATAAATAATAAAATTCTTCTCGGGAATTCAATTACTTTTGAAAATTTTAATAAAATTCTTAGCAATTATTCAATTATTTTCTTAAATAATAAAATTCATCGCAGGATTGCAATTATTTTTAATACAATTTTACAGGAATTGATCACAAAATGTAATTAATCTTAAAAATTTAATTTCAATTCCTCGAAAAAATCAATTATTTGAAAAAAAATTTTTTTTTTAAATTCTTCGGAAGAATTCAATTATTTTTACAAATTTTAATAAAAGCTTTCGCAAGAATTAAGTTATTTTTACAAAAATAAAAAATTTTTCCACAAGAATTCAATTATTATTTAAAAAATTTACTGAAATTCTTTGCAAGAATTTAATTATTTTCAGAAATATAAAAAAATTTTCAAAGAAATTCAATTATTTAGAAAAATTTACTGAAATTCGTTCCTAGAATTCAATTCATGAATAATAAAACTCTTCACAGAAATTCAATTATTTAAAAATTGAAATTTGCTGCAAGAATTCAATTATTTTCATAAATAAAATTTTCACAGAAATTTAATTATTTTCGAAAATTTTAATAAAATTCTTTGTAACTATTCAATTATTATTATAAATAATAAAATTCTTTACACGATTTCAATTATTTTTAATACAATTTTAAATGAATTTCTCAAAAAATGCAATTATTTTTAAAATATTTATTTAAAAAAAAATTTCTAATTAGAATTAATTGAAAAACGAATTTTAGTTAAAATTTCAGATTATAATTTAATATTAACTGCGTTATATTATGAATTTTTATAAATAGGTAAATTTAAAAAAAGCCTTTACATTAAAATTATGAAAAAATTTAGTTCCTCTGGAAAAATAATAAAATATTTATGTATTATTGAATAAAAATTATTCAAGAATAAATAATTTAATTGAGAAAATTCTTAAAAAAATTTAGTCTTTTGAAAAATTTTAATTTTAATTTTTTGATTTTAATTTTTTGAATGTAGTTAATTTAAAGTAAAAATTAAAAATATTTATTTAAATTTCCAATTAATTGGAAGTCTTTTCAAATTTCATTGAAATAAATTTTATATTTAAAAAAATTTCTTTTTACTTTTAAAAGTTATTTTTGAAATATAATTGAATTTTTTTTTCTAACTAAAAGTTTTGGAAAATAATTGAATTTCATGAAAATTTAAAATTCAAGTTATTTACTACGTTAAGAAAAAAAGTGAATTTTTTTATGGAAATCAGGGAAATATAGAATCAAACTTTGTTGGTGTAATTTTTGTAAATTGGTTAAAACGTTTTTTTCAGTCGTCAAATTTAATTTTTCGATATCTACTTTTTTTTACTACTTTTTTCACTCTTAAAGCTACTATTAGACACTTTTTTTAAAATTAATTGTTGAGTGCAAAACCTGATATAATTTTATTAACAACGAATGGTAAATAACAAATCTGCTCATTAATATTATTTTATATTTTCTTTTTCTCTTTCTGAAAAGTTGAACTCCAGTTCTTTAAAAATTGTTCCCTTTCTTTTAAATAGCAGAAGGGATTTTTTTTTATTAGACTACCAGGGAATTTCTCTGGCCACTAAAGTGTTTTTAATTCCACCTTCTCCACTGCGTTGAATCTGATTTTCTCGAGCTAAGAAAGTCCAATAACAATTTCGTGATACTCCCAACGAACAAAACAGCAACAGTTGTTTATAGTAAATTTGTTACACTAATCTTGTAAAGTTGCCTGCGGCAATTTCAGCTAATCCATTTGTTGCTGGGATGAGTCCTCGTTTTATGGATAATTCCACCTAGTTTAGAGGCTTTTTACCTTTTTTAATTTCATTTTTAACTTAACTACTTTATTCCATAAAAAAATCTTGGTTCGTTAAAAACAAATTCTGCGCCTTGGCTTAAAACTAATAAAAACAATGCTAATCTTTCAGCACATCTCAATTCAAGTCTGCATATTCCGAACGAAATACAATTAAATTCTTACATATTTAATTTTGTGTTACAATTTCCTTGTCAATGCAAATATTCTGAAAGCAATTATTCCTAACATTCGGGATTAGAATATTCCTTGAAGTCTTGTCGGCAAATTCTCAAACAAGTCGCAATTTCTGATTCTAATTCAAAATTTGATATTAATCATACAGATTTCGCACTCGATAATTAATTTTAAAAAAGTAGCAAAAAGTAGCATTTAAACTAAAAAAACGTGGTAAAAAAGTAGCTGTCGAAAAATTAAACTTGACGATCAAAAAAACTCGTTTTCGACACTTCACAAAACTGACAAAAATTCCATTCTATATTTTATTTTTCTGACTTTTTCCTAATTTTCATCAAAAATATTTACTTCTTTCTTAATCCTGCTAATAAATTGAATTCCTGCAACGAATTTTATTATTCATCAAAGAATTTAAATGTTTATAAAAATAATCTTATTTCTGTGGAGAATTTTATAAAAACTTTTAAATAATTGATTTCTTTCGACTAATTTTATGCAAATTCTAATTTAAATAATTAAATTCCTCAGAAATTTTAATTATTTAATTTCTTCTTTCGAAGAATTATTTATGTAAATAATTGAATTCTTAGAAAGAATTTTATTAAACTCTAAAAGAATAATTGAATTATTTAAAAAGAAATGTAATTAAAATTGTATTTAGAAAAATTAATTTCTATCGAACAGTTTTATTAAAATACTAGCTGTCGTTCCCGTCTTCGATAGGTTTTAGTTCCTACCCATACAATTAACAGTGTTTCTACCACTCTGGAAAATCACGAAATAGCCGGGAATTTAATTGGTCCGGAAAAAAATAATAATTAGTTACCATTAGCTATTTCGGTAGGAAAATACTACTATTTAAATAGTCTCCATCCTTTAGCAACAAATCAAAAATTATTAAAAAAATTAAAAATTCGAAAAATCGAATTTCTTAAAATTCAACATTTTTTCTTCTCTTTTATGGCATTGAGCTTCATTATTTTTGGGCTCTTCAAAAATACTTTACTTATTTAATAGTCTCCAGCCTTTGGTAAAAAATCAAAAATTATTAAAAAAAATCAACAATTCAAAAAACCGAATTTCTTAAAATTCAACATTTTTTCTTCTCTTTTATGGCATTTAGCTTCTTTATTTTTGTGCTTATCAAAAACACTTTACTTATTTAATAGTCTATATCCTTTGATAAAAAATCAAAAATTATTAAAAAAATCAAAAATTCAAAAAACCGTATTTCTTAAAATTCAACGTTTTTTCTTCTGTTTTATGGCATTTAGCTTCTTTATTTTTGTGCTCTTCAAAAACACTTTACTTATTTAATAGTCTCGACTTTTTGGTAAAAAATTTAAAATTATTAAAAAAATCAAAAATTCAAAAACCCGAATTTCTTAAAATTCAACATTTTTCCTTCTCTTTTCCTGCATTTAGCTTCATTATTTTTGTGCTCTTGGAAAATACTTTACTTATTTAATAGTCTCCATCCTTTCGTAAAAAATCAAAAATTATTAAAAAAATCAAAAATTCAAAGAACCGTATTTCTTAAAATTCAACGTTTTTTCTTCTGTTTTATGGCATTTAGCTTCTTTATTTTTGTGCTCTTCAAAAACACTTTACTTATTTAATAGTCTCGGCTTTTTGGTAAAAAATTTAAAATTATTAAAAAAATCAAAAATTCAAAAAACCGAATTTCTTAAAATTCAACATTTTTTCTTCTCTTTTACTGCATTAGGCTTCATTATTTTTGTGCTCTTCAAAAACACTTTACTTATTTAATAGTCTCCAGCCTTTGGTAAAAAATCAAAAATTATTAAAAAAATCAACAATTCAAAAAACCAAATTTCTTAAAATTCAACATTTTTCCTTCTCTTTTACTGCATTTAGCTTCATTATTTTTGTGCTCTTGGAAAATACTTTACTTATTTAATAGTCTCCATCCTTTGGTAGAAAATCAAAAATTATTAAAAAAATCAAAAATTCAAAAAACCGTATTTCTTAAAATTCAACGTTTTTTCTTCTGTTTTATGGCATTTAGCTTCTTTATTTTTGTGCTCTTCAAAAACACTTTACTTATTTAATAGTCTCGACTTTTTGGTAAAAAATTTAAAATTATTAAAAAAATCAAAAATTCAAAAAACCGAATTTCTTAAAATTCCACATTTTTCCTTCTCTTTTCCTGCATTTAGCTTCATTATTTTTGTGCTCTTGGAAAATACTTTACTTATTTAATAGTCTCCATCCTTTCGTAAAAAATCAAAAATTATTAAAAAAATCAAAAATTCAAAAAACCGAATTTCTTAAAATTCAACATTTTTTCTTCTCTTTTATGGCATTTAGCTTCTTTATTTTTGTGCTTATCAAAAACACTTTACTTATTTAATAGTCTATATCCCTTGGTAAAAAATCAAAAATTATTAAAAAAATCAAAAATTCAAAAAACCGTATTTCTTAAAATTCAACGTTTTTTCTTCTGTTTTATGGCATTTAGCTTCTTTATTTTTGTGCTCTTCAAAAACACTTTACTTATTTAATAGTCTCGACTTTTTGGTAAAAAATTTAAAATTATTAAAAAAATCAAAAATTCAAAAAACCGAATTTCTTAAAATTCAACATTTTTTCTTCTCTTCTATGGCATTTAGCTTCTTTATTTTTGTGCTTATCAAAAACACTTTACTTATTTAATAGTCTATATCCTTTGGTAAAAAATCAAAAATTATTAAAAAAATCAAAAATTCAAAAAACCGAATTTCTTAAAATTCAACGTTTTTTCTTCTGTTTTATGGCATTTAGCTTCTTTATTTTTGTGCTCTTCAAAAACACTTTACTTATTTAATAGTCTTCATCCTTTGGTAAAAAATTTGAATTATAAAGAATGCTTCATAAGAATTTTATAAACATTGTTTTAAATAATAAAATTTTTCGAAATACAAGAAATATTATGAAAATTTTATTTAAAATAATTCAATTCTTGTGGAAAACTTTATTTGTAAAAATAATTTAATTTCTTCAATGAGTTTTATTATTTATGTAGATAATTGAATTCTTGCTTAGAACTTTATCAACAAATTTTTTAAAAAATTGAATTTCCATGAAAAACGTTATTAATTACGTTTTAGTAAGTGAGCGCGAAGCCTTATTCATATTCAAACTAATAGAGTGTTTCTTTCTTTTAGAAAAAGCGTACAAATACTGAAATTGAGAAACATGAGAAATATCGTAGATAAATTATATTATTTGTAAAATTAATTGATTGCAGATAATACCATTGCAGCCGGAATTCATAGAAATCCATCAAGACGCAGAGGGAGTGAAACCTGAGGAAATTGAAAAAATTTGTAAAAAGAAACTTGATGCCAAAAAGCCATTGCCAAAAGTATAAATTTTTATTTCATTCATTTCATTTAATTGAACTAAAAATTCTTTTTTTATTTAACATACTTTAAAATAAATATTTTTTTGTTAATTCATACAGATTCTTCACTTTATTGCGGTGAGAAAATTAACAAACGAAAATTTATTTTCAGTTTCTTTACGTGAATCCAACGGGTGCTAATCCTACGGGAACTGTGCTGTCCGATAAGAGGAAGCACAAAATCTACGAATTAGCGCAAAAATATGATTTTCTCATTTTGGAAGATGATCCTTATTATTTTCTTCATTTTATGAATAAGCAACCAATTTCATTTTTATCCATAGACACTGACGGTCGTGTCGTTAGATTTGATTCTTTTAGTAAAATTTTAAGCGCCGGCCTTCGATTGGGAGTTGTAACGGCCCACAAGGATATTCTTGAGAAAATGTCTCTGCATATCCAGTGTACAAGTCTCCATCCATCATCATTGTCGCAGGTTTGATTTTCGTTTCATTTAGAATACAAATTAATAAATTCTTGGCTATTTTTAAGTTATTAAAGCAATTTTGCAGCACAAAATTATTTTTGATAAAAATTATTTTCAATTTAAATATTATATTATCCTCTAAAGGAAAACTGTCTTGAAAACAAATTTGCAAAACAGTTTTCTTTAGAAATAGAATTTAGAAAAGAGGTGTATCAGATTCTCGTCAAATAGTTTCTGAGAGGCAAGAATACGATATGACGATACAAGACAGAAAATGAATATTCAAATAATTAAGGAAATTTTGTGATGCAGGTTCTGGTTTACAAGCTCTTTGAATCTTGGGATCAAGAGAAATTTCAAAATCACTTTAAGAGTATACAAAATTTTTATCGTCAACGACGTGATATGATGCTGGCTGCCATTGAAAAGCATCTTACTGGTAATAGAAATTATTTTTATTAAAAAATTATTATTTCTTTTTGAGAGTAAATATTTTTTTTTAATTCCTTTTTGTCAATTTATTATAATAACAGAAAATAAATTTTTCTACTTTAAAATTTTAATATTTTGTTTTTAAATTTATTAAGTCGGTAAACATATATAATTTAGGTTTTATTTATGTTTTATTTTTCCAGGTTTGGCCGAATGGACAATTCCAAATGCTGGTATGTTTTTCTGGGTAAAAATAACAGTTTTAGACGATGTTTACGAAATGGTGATGAAACAGTGTATCGATCAGGGAATTTACGTTCTTTCTGGGCACATTTTTTATGCGGACGACAAAAAGAAGTGTCAAAATATTCGATTATGCTACAGTTACGCAACTAAAGAGGAAATCGAAAAGGTAAGTGTTATATTATATATATGAAACTAAAAGAGTATTTATTTATTCATAAACTTTGGATATATATATATATATATATATATATATATATATATATATATATACTAGCTGTCGTACCCGTCTTCGACGGGTTTTAGTTTCTACCAATACATTTAAGTTTCTACCAATCTGGAAAATCAGGAAATAGCTAGGGAATTTAATTTGACCGGAAAAAAATAATAATTAGTTACCATTATAGCTATTTTAGTAGGAAAATATTACTATTTGAATCAGTGATTGACTTTTTGTTATCAAATTAGTTATTTTAACCAATTCAAATGCAGAGAACAATATTTATCAATTTGTAGTACTTTAATTAATGTATTAAAAAAATTAAATTTTCCATACAGTTTTTGGAGTTATAGTAGAGTCTAATTGGAACTAATTGTATCGCAAGTAGACCCTACGTTACGACTGCTAAAACCTAACATAAGACCTAAATTTTAGGCTGAAAGTAGGGCTTAAATTTTGACTCGGGTCTGTTTTCATAAATATTATACATCAATAAAAATTGAAGTAAAAAGCAATTTTTTAAAAGCGAATTAATATAATGAAACTTTTTCTTAATTTGATAGGAAAATTCCCGGTTCGGCATATTCCCAGCTTTTTACAGTTTTTCCCGTTTGGTAGATACCCAGTTAAATGTATTAGTATAAACAGAAAACTGTACGACAGCAAGTAATACAATCTATATTTATATGAACTTAAGAAACAGTATTTTCATAAAATAAGTAAATTTTTATAGCCATTTGTAGATTTATTTATGGATAAAATCAAGTAAATTTAAATTTGACAAAAAAGAGATAAACCGTGAAAAGTTTGGACAAAGCAGGGAATTTTGTTAAACAAAAATAGACACCGTGTTAACTTTTGTCTTTACATTGCTCAAAACATCTCTTAAAGTTAAATCTAGAGTTAAAATGAAAAAACGTTTTAACATGTAAGTTTTTGCCTAGTGGCATAATATGCTTGTATTGTATCACAGGTGACTTACAATTCTTGACATCCTGCGAAATCATTTTAATCATAAAAAATTTCCATTTTCAATATTTCTGAACTTCTTGAAAATATTAGATTGATTTGATAAATAATTTTGAATTGCACTATTTTGACATCAAAATATTAATCAGAGACTCCAAAAATACTACTGAATTATACTTCATATAGTAATTAGTATCGATTTTTTGATATATTGAAAATTTTTTATATTTCTTGTAGGATAGTATTTTTTGCAAAATTATGATAAAATCTGACTAAATAACATATAATATTCATTTTTAGAAAGTTTAAAAGCTATCCATTAAAAATTGTGAAATTTGGAAATTTTCCATTTTTCAAGTTTTTGAAAATATTTTTATATTTACATCTTAGTTGTAGAATAGTATTTTTTGAAAAATTATGCTAAAATGTGACCAAATAACATGTAATACTCAAATATAGAAAGTTTAAAAGCAATCCATAAAAAAATGTAAAATTTTGAAATTTTCGATTTTTTGAAAACATTTTTATACTTACATATTAGTTATAGGACTTTATTTTTTGCAAAGTTATGCTATAATGTGACTAAATAACATATAATACTCAAGTATATAAACTTCAAAAGCAATCCATGAAAAATAAAAAATTTTGAAATTTTCGATTTTTTGAATTTTTTGAAAAAATTGAATATCTCCCGTTCTAATTAATATTTTTTAAATCTGTAAATTTATAAACCTTCCTTGGGTCAATACCTAATAACCTACCAAGTTGGACTTAAATCGATTCACATGTTTTTGTGTGATTGGGGTACAAAGTTTTTGTGACAGACAAACATACATACATACATACATACATACATACATTAAATTTTTTAAGAACATTTTTGGAATCTCTGATGTCCATAATAACTAATCATGTTAACATTTTGAAGTTTTAAGCAATGTACAGACAGACATCTGATTTTATTAATAAGGATATATATATATATATATTATTGAAATAAGTTAATATTTTCATTCATATTTTTATTATTGTTATTTAATATTTTATTTATTATTATTATTATTATTATTATTATTATTATTATTTATATACCATATTAGATCCGCTATTTTGAATATTTAAAAACTAACATCTAATTCGTAATCAGCGACCCCGAAAACCCCCGAGTGACAAAATTAAGGTCAATTGAATAAGTTTCAAATTTCTTTTCCGCCATATTGGATCCGCCATTTTTAATTTTTAAAAACTAACATTGAATTCGTAATCAGCGACCCCGAAAACCCCCGAGTGACAAAATTAAGATCAATTGAATAAATTTTAAAAAAGTTGGCCTCCATATTGGATCCGCCATTTTGAATTTTTGAAAACTAACATCGAATTCGTAATCAGCGACCTCGAAAACCCCTGAGTGATAAAATTAAAGTTAATTGAATAAATTTTAAATTTTTTTTGTCCGCCATATTGGATCCGCCATTTTGAATTTTTAAAAACTAACATCGAATTCGTAATAAGCGACTTCGAAAACCCCTGAGTGTTAAAATTAAAGTCAATTGAACAAATTTTAAATTTTTTTTGTCCGCCATATTGGATCCGCCATTTTGAATTTTTAAAGACTAACATCGAATTCGTAATCAGCGACCCCAAAAAAACCCCGAGTGACCATATTTAGGCGAATACATCAACATTTTGGTATTTTAAAGAATAGTGACCAAAACTTTTATATTTGACGCCATATTTGGTCCGCCATCTTTAAATTTTTAATTCTAGTTTACGCTTCTTAAAAGTATACAATTTTTATTAAAAATTATTTTTTTTATGTAAAACTGAAATCATTTTTTACTAATTATTATCTAGATGTAATAAATTTAAATACTAAATATTTCAATATTTCAAAAATTTGTTTTTTTGTTATATTGTTTATTCGAAAAATTGCATTTTATTTGTTATAAATTTGAAATAGTGTTACATAAAATTTTTCAAATATTGAAAAAAAACAATAATTTTCTTTCCAGGGACTCAGTCTTTTGGCGAAAATAATAAAAGACGAATCAGCCAAAAATGGAAAATTAAACAACAAAGTCTAACTATTTTTAATGAAAATTATATCTTAGTTTAACTAATTTTAATAAAAAAAATTACTTCATAATTTAATTAATTTTAATAAAAATTATTTCTTAATATTCTTTTTTAATGATTATTTCTACGTTTAACTAATTCTAATCAAAAATGTTTTTTTAATTTCTCAAAAAGAATTTTCATAAAAATTATTTTTCAGTTTAAAAAAATAGAAAAGGAAAAAAAATATTCTTTTTTCAAATTCAAATTTCTATTGATTTCGCGCCATTTTGAAAGTGACGCCATTGCGCAAGCGCAATTGTCATTTCAACTTTTCAGGTTTGTGTAGGTTTATGACACTTTTGACAAGTAATAACAACAATATTTAAGTTTATTTGGAAATATATTTAAGAAATAGAAAAATATGTTTGTTTAGAGAAATTATTAATTAATATTTCGCAAATGTTTGGGGAAAAAGGAGTAATCTACGGATAGTGTTTCACTATAGAACAGCTTTAATGATTGGAACTGGTAAAAAGCAAAAATTAACTCTACTATTTACGTTTACACAGTTTTATTCAAAAACCGTATGTAGAACTTTATTTTTTTATAGTTTTATAGTTATTTATTTGCGATGAAGTTTGAAAATGTCAATTTTGAGGTTATGTTTGTCGAAAAATTGTTTTTGACAGTTTGACTTTGTTTGCTTAATATTATTACATTATTTTATTATTTATTGTATTTATTGAATTGTTTATAGTTTTTATGTTATTGTTTACATTATTTCATTATTTACATTTTTTATTTTATTGCTTTCAGTATTTATTTTGTTCGTATATATTTACTATGCTTTTTATTATATTTCCAACAATTTAGTTAATTTATTTTTTTTCTTTTTTACGCTTCTTTCTATATATTTTTAATTTTCTTTCCTTTTAATACATTTGATTTACAATCTTTTTTTTCTGTTACAATATTATGTTTATATTTTATAATTATTATAGTTTATTTTTTTTTATGTATTGTTTGTGATTAAGAGCTGAGATTTAAATAATTAAATAAATTTACAGTAACACTTGTTGCTGTTTTCATTGTTTTATATTTGGGAAATAAGATTTGTTTTCTTTTACAGAGTCAAATACTTTTTTATCCTATAAAGTGAATTATTTATCTAATCTCAAGAAGAAACTGAAGAATAAACCGCAAATTTTGCGGTTAAAAAATTAAAAGGCAATGGCCGATATTATTGGTGATAATTCACTGAATAATGAAGATGAGACAAGATTTGCAATTGAATTTATAAATGTTCCATGCCTCGAGGAGAATTGTGATAAAGAGAAAGAATTGAAAAAAGAATTTATAAATGATGAAAATTTAATTGATGTGTTATGTACTGATAATCAAATTAAACCTTACAATTTGGAGAATAATGGAAATAATCCGCTTGGAGATGAACAGGAAATTGGAAATGATAATGTTAATAATGATGATGATCGTATTGATATAGAAAAAATTGAAATTGATGTTAATAAAGTATTTTTAAAAGAATCAGGAGAGAAAAAATGTAAGGAGAAAAAATTTCGTTGCACGTATCCTGGATGTAAAATTAAATTTGCCAAACCTTCGAAACTAAAGAGGCACCTTTGTATGCACACTGGAGAGGTATTTTTTTTAAATTTCCTTTTTCTTCTATTTTAATTTCATTCCATTTTGTTTTTTCGTTTATTTTAACTTTATTCGATTTTACTTCTTTTTTTATTTTAATTTTATTCGATTTTATTTTCTCCTTTTTTTAAATTTTGTTTATTTTCTTCTGTTTCTTTTTTTTAAATTTCAGTTTTGTGAAATTAAGTTAAATTCTCAGCAGATTTTGAAGTTCGTCTTAAAAAAACCATTTCACCGTTTAAAAGACCTTATATTTTAAAATTAAAATCCTTAAATTACAATTCTTTTGCAGAGACCATTTGTGTGCAACTTTAAAGACTGTGATAAAGCTTATACGAATAATTCATATTTAAGGAGACACAAACTTACTCATAGTGGAATAAAAGAAACATTTTTGTAAGTATTCGACTTTTATTAATTTTTTAGTATTTCAGGCCTCGGATTTTAGGTATTTTTATTTTGATTATTAATTAATTTCTTTTTTTCAGATGCAAATTTTGCAAGGCGACATTTACGACGCAACATAATTTAAAACGTCATTGTTCACGAATTCATGAAAATCCCTTGGGACATGAAAAAAAATGTGACGAATGCCATATTGTTTGTTTAACGAGGAAATTATTAAGCAAACATATGAAAAAGATACATAAACGAAATTTGTATCTTTGCAGTTTTTGTCCAAAATCATTTTCAGAACCCTGGTTATTGCAACGGCATCTCAATACAAATATGCATAAAATATTTATATGTAAAATTTGTCAATCATCTTTTGATAAACATGCCGATTTTCGTGAACATAGAAAGGAGCACATTGTCGTCTATAAAGGTACCAAAAAAAATTACAATTTTTTAACAAGAAAACTTAATTTCAAAACGAAAATTAATAATATGAGATTAATATAATACGTAATTTCAATATTTGAATATTCTAATAATAATAATAATTTCAATTTTCTTCTCTTCTTTTTTTAGAGTTCACCTGCGACATTTGTAAATCGAAATTCAATCACAAGGGTAATTTGCGTCTTCATTTAAAGGGACACGAGAGTTCAACTATTTTTGTTTGCTCCTACGCTGGTTGCAATCGTGTTTATAGTTTTCAACGTAATTTAGATACGCATATTGTTTCATTTCATTTGGGCAAAAAATGGGAATGTCATTTGTGTCCAATGAAATTGTCATCGAAACAAAAATTAAATGGTCATATTGAAAAAATTCACATTAATCCCATACCAAGAAAACCACAGCCAACGAAGGAAAATCGTAAAAGACGATGGGATGTGGGAATACCGAGGAAAAGTGCATTAACAAAAATTTGTGGCTTAATATTGCCGAATGAAGCGGAAAAATTAATTATTTATCGGGACATTAAATGTGATCGACCATAAAGAAAAAACAAACAATTGTGTTCAAAGAGAAGATGAAAGGATAAAAAAAGGGTAAATTATTTTATTTAAATTTTTTTAAAGTTCAAAAATATATAATATATTTTATATTTTTTCTATTAATTATGTTTTTTAATATATTTTTTTTTTTTTAATTTAAAACATTTTAAATTATGAATATTTGCCAAAAGATATCAAACACTTAGAATTTCATTTGTTTAAACTTTAAAGTTTACATTTTGTTCTCATTTTATTCAGTTTTTTTATTCAATGTTAAAATTTTAGAATTCATTGTCTAAATGAATTAGATAGTCCTTTAGATTGCAAGATTAAAGTAATTTTTAATTATTGTTTGAGTTCTTTAATTTCGATTTTTGGGGGGATTATTTTAAACTTGGAATTGTAAATAAATAACTGAATGTACATATTAAAAAAAGTATATATGTAATTTAAGTAAATAAATTAATAGCATTGATACGAGAATTGAATCTCATCGTGCTTATTTTTAGGGCAAGTGTAGTTAATCAGCTATTATTATTATTATTAACAGACTGAGACAAAGATATTTATGATACTGTGCAGGTACAAAAACAATTCTATTAAAAAAAAAAAATTATTTAAAACAATGTTTATAAAATTTTTATGAAGAATTCAATTACTTTCAAAAATAAGAAAATTTTTCACAGTAATTCAATTCTTTTGAAACATTTTAATAAAATTTTTCGCAATTGTAATTCAATTTTTTTTATTAAAATAATAAAATTCTTCTTAGGAATTAAATTTTTTTTTTGCAAATTCTAATAAAATTCTTTGCAACTATTCAATTATTTTCATAAATAATAAAATTCATCGCAGGATTTTAATTATTTTTAATACAATTTTACAGGAATTGCTCGAAAAATGTAATTATTCTTAAAAATTTAATTTCAATTCCTCGAAAATATATCAATTATTTAAAGAAAATGTTTTTTAAAACTCTTTGAAAGAATTCAATTATTTACAAAAATAATAAAATGCTTTTTAGGAATTCAATTATTTCCAAAAAAAATTTAATGAAATGCCACACAAACATTCAATTATTCTAAATGTCTCTGGACGGTTTTCAATGGAATGACCCAATAATAAAAAATAAAAATAAAAAATTTTTTTTTCAAATAATCGCGGGTTTTTCTACCAATGAGAAATTTAAAGCGGCGCAAGCGCAGTTGTTAGGAGATTTTTTTAAATCAGAGTTACCCATCTCTGATAAAATCGTAATTTTATTCGTAATCTTCGTAATATATTTACGTAACAAGAATATTTACTACACATCCCTGTTTTAAATTCGAAGTCGGCTCCAATTTGTAACATATTTTGTTGTGCTGCACGTGATTTTTATCCCGGATTTTCAGCAAAAAAAATACAAGCAAGTTATGTCTGTTTCGAATTTAGAAAGTTTTCAGAAACGTGCTGAAGCTGCGGTAAGAAATATTTACTAATTTTTGTACAAAAGAATTATATATTTGAGATGTGTCAAATTTTTGAAAATACTTGTTCCATAAATTTTTGAGGTTATGTATATTTATTTCTTGTTTTTTATGTTTTGCAAAAAACCAGGAAAATGAAATTGAAATTTTAAAAAAAGAGATCGCTAGTATCAATAGTTTATTAGCTGAGAATGTGGCAAAAAAACTCAAGAATGATTCATCAAAATTGTCTCATCAAATAGAAGATTTAAAAGATAATCTCACTGGAGAAGTTGAAAAATTACAACAAGAAAATGCGAAATTAAAACATCGTGTCGCAATTTTAGTGCGGGTGAGTTATGCATTTTTTTAATTATTACATTTTTATTTATTTTCCTTTATATGCAAATTACAAAATTTTTTATTTTCAAAATTAAATTAAATTATTTTTAAAAATTTTGAATATAACTAAATTATTTTCAACAGTTTTGATAAAATTTTAAAAAACAATTAATTATCTTCAAAACAATTCAATTATTTTTTTAATAAATTGTAAAGATTTCTTTATTTACTTTTTTCTTTGTTTTGTTATTTATTTCTTTGGTTATTTATTTATTTCGTTATTTACTTATTTATTTCTTTGTTTTTAGGCAGTTGAATCATACAGAGGAAATAGTTCATCGTCAGGATCAAATATGAATGTGTTAATAAGCATTTCCGAGGAGCTTAATAATATTTTCGAAAAGGCGATTAATGCGGCATTTCCTGAAATTCCGGACCCGCCAATTGTCATTGCACCAGCTGGTAATCCGAAATTCGGAGATTATCAATGTAACAGCGTTATGGCTCTTCGAAAGCTTCTTGAGGAACAAGGTATAATTTTTCCCCTTTTACTTTCAACTTTATTATTTTAACTAGGACCAGTAAAAAATTTTTTGACTTACAGTTGTTAAAAAACAGAGGACAAAGTTTGCTCAAAAAATAATTTTTCATCTTCTGCTGATTATCGGCTGTGGTTATTTTTTATTAAATTTTAATATAAATTAATTTTTATGACCCAGATATTAATTAGAACGGTTCTAGTAATAGTTCAGGACCAGAATTGGTGAATGGAATTGAAAATAAGTGATATTCTGATAAAAATATTATTTATATAAAAATAATTGAATTTTTTTACGAAAATTTTTTTTATTTCTAAATTGACTTTTTGCAAAGAATTTTATTTACATTAGTGCAAATAATTGAATTCTTCATAAAATTCAATTAATTTCAAAATTTGCAGTAAAAATTATTTATTTATTTATTTTTTAAACGAGTTTTTTGAAAGTGTTTTTGTTAATTGAAAGTTTTTGTCTGTTTCAGGTAAAAAATTATCTCCGCAGGAAATCGCCAATGAAATAGTAGCGAAATGCTCGTCCTCGCCACTCATTGAAAAATTAGAAATCGCTAAAGCTGGATTCATAAATATCTTTTTAAAACGTGACTATGGCATCACATCGTTAACGAATCTTGTAAAAGTTGGCAAAGTTTTAGCGCCAAATTGCCGTAAAAAGAAGGTTGTCATCGATTTCTCGAGTCCAAATATCGCAAAAGAAATGCACGTTGGTCATTTGCGATCGACAATTATCGGCGATAGTATTGCTCGTCTTTTGGAATATTTAGGTCACGATGTGTTACGTATCAATCACATTGGCGACTGGGGAACACAATTTGGAATGTTAATCGCCCATTTACAGGACAAATTCCCCAATTATTTGAATGTTTCGCCTCCAATTTCAGATTTACAGGTAGAAAATTATATTTTTATTCTTACCTTTTATTTTATTTTATTTTCATTGAATTTTTTCTTTTTGCTTCTAGAGTTTTTATAAAGAATCGAAGAAAAGATTCGATGAAGAACAGGAATTCAAAGTTAGGGCCTATAATTGCGTCGTGAAACTTCAGGCTTTCGATCCTGACATTATTAAAGCTTGGCAATTAATTTGTGACGTCTCTAGAAAAGGTGAGTGAACTTTTTTGATTTTGTAAATTAGAAAAGAATTCTTTTTTATTGAAACTAATTAAATTTTTAACGTCCGAGTGGAGTAATAATTTTTTTGAATGTAAAGAATTTCAGAATCTTTATTCACGATTGGATATTCGTTTAACGGAAAGGGGCGAATCTTTCTATCAGAAACGAATGGAGACACTTGTCAAGGAATTGGAAATAAGGGGATTCCTCGAAGAAGATGAGGGTCGAAAAATAATGTGGGGCGAAAATCCTGGTTCTGGAATTCCTTTGACAATCGTGAAATCCGACGGCGGTTTTACGTACGACACATCTGACATGGCAGCAATTAAACAACGTATCGAGGAAGAAAGAGGCGACTGGGTAATTAATTTTTAAAATGGATAGAATTTTATCAGGAATTTTATCATTTTTTATTTTTTCCCTGACACAGGTCAGGGAAAAAACAGGGATTTTTATTAAAAGTACTGGAAAGAATCAAAAATAGAATTTTGAATTCAGAATTCCTAAGAAAATTCTGAATTTTTGTGACTTTTTTGTTTGACACATAAACTATGAATTCACCACGAATTCTAATAGAAAACCTTCAATCTTTTCTATTTTTGACAATGATTTCTTTTTAAAGAAATTAGATTTTTGAAAAATTTTAATAATTCAAAATTTTTTTGAAGTTAGTTTAATTTTTTAATATAAATTTATTTAATAAGTTATTAATAATAATGGATTTATAGAAGAATTTTAGTCAAAAACACTAAAAAAAATTGAATTTTGGGGAAATTAAAAATGATTGGAGAAATTCAATTATTTAAAAAAAATTTTAATAAAATTCTTGGAAAAATTTCAATTATTTTCAAAAATTTTTCCTTAATTCAATGATTTTCAATATCTACTAATTTAATAAAATTTTTGAAAAGAATTCAATTATTTAAAAAAAAAATGTTGATAAAATTCTACGCAAACATTCAATTATTTTTCATAAACAATGAAAATTTCACAGGAATTCAATTATTTACAAATTTTTTTATAAATTTCTTCGCAATAATTTCTATTTTCATTAAATATCTATTTTCATAGATAATTTTTTTTACATAAATTATTTTTAATAAAATTTTAATAAAATTCCTCTAAAAATGAAATTATTCTTAAAATTTTTTATTAAAATGCGCCAAAAGAATTCAATTATTTAAGAATTTTTTTGATAAAATTCTTCCCGAAAATTCAATTATTTAAAAAAATTTTTAACTCTTTTATAGAATTCAATTAAAATTGTATTGAAACTTATTTAATTCTTTTAAAGAATTATATCGAAATTCTTACGAATATAAGAATAATTGAATTCCTTCGAAGAATTTCATTAAAATTTTTAAAATAATCCAATCTTATCGAAAAATTTTTTACAAATTGTATTAAAAATAATTGAATTCCAACGAAAAAGTTTTATTAAAACTTCTGAAAATAATTGAATTTCTGCGAAAATTTTGATATTTATGAAAATAATTTAATACTCGCCAAGAATTTTATTTAGATTTTTCAAAATATAATTCAATTTTTGTAATGATTTTTTTTATTATTATTTTATTATTTTTGAGAATTTTAATAAAGTTCTTTGCAAAAATTCAATTATTTTCATAAATAATAAAACTCATTGCAGAATTTCAATTATGTTTTATAAAATTTTAATCGAATTCCTCTAAAAATGTAAATATTCTTAAAATTTTTATTTAAGTTCGTCGACAAAATTCAATTATTTAAAAATTTGTTGATCAAATTCTTTATGAGAATTCAGTTTTAAGAAACATTCAGTTATTCAATAAATTATTTATTCTTGTATTTAAATAATTTATTTTTCTTAGAACTTTCAAATAAAAGTAGATTTATTTATAATTATCACTCGGTAATTATTATAAAACATGAACATGAATTTTATTATTTTAGAAAATTATTGAATTCTTGCAACGAATTTTTATTACATTTTTTTAAATAATTTAAATCTAATGAAGAATATTATGATTTATGAAAATAATTGAATTTATGCGAAGAATTTTATTAATTTTAAAAATAATTGAATTTGTGTCATGAATATTATTTATAAAAATAATTGTATTTTGCAATTATTTTTATTAAAATTCCTAAAAGTAATTGAATTTCGGCGAAGAATTTTGCTATTTATAAAGATAATTGAAATGTTGCGTTGACAAGAATTTCTTTTTAAAATTTTTGAAAATAATTGAAATTTTGTGAAGAATATTATTATTATTTATAAAAATAATTGAATTCTTTTAACGAATTTTAAATTTTTTTTAAATAATTGAATTCTTTTAAGAAATTTTATTAACAGAGTAGATTTTGAAAATTTTTTTTATTTCAGCCAAGAATTTCATTATTTGTAAAATGTAATTGAATTCTTACAGAAAATTTTTGAAAATAATTAAATTTTTCGAGGAATTCATTTAAAATTGTATTAAAAATAATTGAAATCCTATGAAAACTTTTATTATTTATGAAAATAATTGAATTTTGCAAAGAATTTTATTAAAATGCCTCAAAATAATTGAATTTTCTGGAATAATTTTGTTATTTATCGTTATAATTGAATTCTTTCGAAGAATTATTTATGTAAATAATTCAATTCTGGGGAAGAATTTTATTAAACTAATATTTTTGTAAATAATTTTTTTGTCGAGGAATTCAAATTAAATTTTGAAGATTAATTACATTTTTTTTTAGCAATTCCTGTAAAATTGTATTAAAAATAATTAAAATCCTGCGATGAATTGTATTATTTATGAAAAATAATCGAATAGTTGCTAAGAATTTTATTAAAATTTTTAAAAATAATTGAATTTCTGAGAAGAATTTTCATATTTATGAAAAATAATTGAATTATTGCGAAGAATTTTATTGAAATGTTTAAAAAGAATTGAATTTCTGTGAAAAAATTTGTTCTTTATCAGAATAATTGAATTCTTCCAAGGAATTTTAAAAAAAATCATTTCTTTAACTAATTGAACAATTGCTAAGAATTTTATTAAAATTTTTAAAAATAATTGAATTCCTGAGAAGCATTTTATTGTTTATGAAAATAATAATTGAATTCTTGCAAACGATTTTATTAGAATTTTTTTAAATAATTGAATTTCCAAGAAGAAATTCATTACTTTTAAAAATAATTGAATTCTTGTAATGAATATTGTTATTTATGAAAATAATTGAATTTTACAAAGAATTAATTATCGACAGAATTGAATTCTACCCAAGAATTATTTATGTAAATAATTGAATTATTGCTGAAAATCTTATTAAAATGTTTAAAATGAATTGAATTTGTGTAAAAAATTTTGTTATTTTTCAAAATAATTGAATTTTTTGAATAATTTTACTTTTGAAGAATTTTGTAAATAAATGTAACATTTTTTTTTTAGTATCTAATAATTTTTAAAGTGAATCAGAATATAGGGTCAGAAAAAAAGGTGAAATTTTTCTCTGAAAATGAGGAAAAAACAAAATTAGATTTTTTTAATTTTGTTAATTTTATTTTTAATTTAAATGTTTAAAATAAAATCAATTTTTGTTTTGCAGTTAATTTACGTGACGGACGCAGGACAATCGGTGCATTTTCAAACGATCGAGAGTTGCGCAAAGAGAAGTTCAATATTAACATCTCGACATCGTATGAGTCACGTGGGCTTTGGCGTTGTTCTCGGCGAGGATAAGAAAAAATTCAAAACACGTTCAGGTGAAACAGTGAAACTCAGCGAGTTACTTGACGAGGGTTTGAATCGTGCCCTCCAAAAATTGAAGGAAAAGGAACGCGATAAAATTTTAACACCCGAAGAATTGCAATTGGCACAAGAATCAATTGCCTATGGTTGCATTAAATACGCCGATCTCTGTCATAATCGTAATTTGGAGTATGTTTTTTCATTCGACAAAATGTTGGAGGACAAAGGTAATACTGCTGTTTATTTACTTTATGCATTAACGCGAATTCGTTCAATTGCACGCACTGCAAATGTAACGCGTGAACAATTGAAAAATACCGTTGAAACAACAGCAATAACATTGGAGCATGAGAAGGAATGGAAATTGGGTAAAATACTTTTACGATTTCCCGATATTCTCTTTAAAATCACTAATGATTTGTGTCTACATTCATTGTGTGAATATTGTTACGAGATCGCGTGTGCCTTCACGGAATTTTACGATAAATGCTATTGTGTTGAGAAGAATAAGGCTGGGGAAATTGTGAAAATAAATATGGGACGACTTTTACTCACTGAAGCGACGGCAATGATTTTAGAACAATGCTTCTCACTATTGGGACTGAAACCAGTTGAGAAAATGTGAATATTTTTCTACTCAAAGAAAAAAAATTTGTTTCCGTTTTTAATTTATGCTTTTTTTTCTATTTGAATTCGTTTTGTTGGCGAATTATTTACAATAAATTATTTGGCAAAATTTTTATTTGTTGATAAATTGAATAATAGAATTAATGAGGAGTGTAGGGAGAGAAAAGAAGAAAAAAATGTTTTGAATGACAAAAAAAGAAGATAAAAATTTGTTGTAATAAAGAAAAAATCAATTTACTAAATTTTATAGAAATAGTATAAAGAAAAAAATTATTTAAAAGAAAAGTATCTACTTTGAATTTTAGAAAAGAAATTGCAGATTTAAAAATTAATCCGATTACTAAAAAAATCTAAAGAATTAGTTTCAAATCTCCCGCCATTCTGAATAAGAACCATAAGAACTGATCTTGTGAACTAGGCTTTAAGCAGACGAAATAAAAATGCCCTGTAAATCAAGCTTAAGTTTTCCGCGTGGACTGAAAACAGTCAACCAATAGAAACGTTACATCAACAGACACTTCGTTCTCATTGGCTAAGAGATTTCTCTAGTGAAATGCTAGGGAATTTTGAATAATGCTCGAAGTCACTGTTCCACTGTTGGAAAGAAAGTCGGTGTTGGTTTTTCACGTGTAGTCTGAATTTTTTCGTTTTGTAATTTGTGAAAAGTGTTTTAATATTGTGCATAAGGAAAAGTGAAGGAAAATTAAAATGGTATGTAAATTTCATTTATATGACTTTCTTTTCTAGTTGTGTAAGAATAAATGATAAAGGGGAGTCTTTACATTCAGAGATTTTTAATCAAACAAAAATATTCTAAATCTTAACCTCAAAAACACAGCTGGAATAAATGGAAATAATGAATGATGACATTTGATTGAAAAATTGAATATCAATTAAAAATTTTGTTTTAATATTCAGAAATAATCATTATTGGAAAAATTGGTAAATTTCCTTTTTGTGAAAACGATTGTGAACAAAAATTGTCTGAACATATTTTTTCTCGTAAATTTTATTTCTCTCAAAGACTAAATAATAAAATTTCCACAGGAATTCAATTAATTTATAATAGCATTTTCAACAAAATTTGGAAAAAATCAATTATTTAACAACATTTTTATACAATTCTTCGCAATAATTCAATTACTTTCACTAATAATAATATTTTTCATGGAAATTCAATTTAAAAAAAAAATTTTTTGATAAAATTCTAAGCAAGAATTCAATTATTTTCATAAATAATAGAACTCATCGAAGAGTTTCAATTATTTTCACAAATAAAGTTTTCCACAAGAATTCAATTATTTAAAATAAAATTTTCATATTATTTATTATATTTCGAAAAAATTAATTACTTAAAACAATGTTTATAAAATTCTTATGAAGAATTCAATTATTTTTAAAAATAACAAAATTTTTCACAGAAATTCAATTCTTGTTGAACATTTTAATAAAATTTTTCGTAATAATTCAATTATTTTTGAAAATTTTAATAAAATTCTTAGCTATTACTCAATTATTTTCTTAAATAATAAAATTCATCGCAAGATTTTAATTATTTTTAAAAACTTTACAGGAATTGTTCAAAAACTGTAATTAATCTTACAAATTTAATTTCAATTTCTCGAAAAAATCAATTATTTAAAAAAATGTTTTTTAAAATTCTTCGGAAGAATTCAATTATTTACAAAAATATTAGAATTTTTCACAGGAATTCAATTATTTTCAGATATTTTAAGAAAATTGTTTGAAAGAAATCAATTATTTTAAATATAATTTAAGTTAATTTTTTTTAAAATAGTTCAATTATTCTTTTAGATTTTAATAAAATACTTCCCAAGAATTAAATTATTTAAATAAATAATTCTTCGAAAGAATTCAATTATTAAAGATAAATAACAAAATTATTCCCAAAAATTCAATTATTTTGAGGTATTAACAGAAGTCAATTACTTTCATAAATAACAATATTCATTACAAGAATTCAATTATTTTTAAAAATAATAATTTTCTTCTTGGAAATTCAATTATTTTTAAAAATTCTAATAAAATCGTTCGCAAGAATTCAATTATTTTCTAAAAAATTTAACAAAATGTCCGAAAATAGCAAAAATCTTAATAGTAGTTGCCATTTTGAATTTTTTAATCTTAGGTAAAATTTTATTTTTGCAACCCAAAGTTCTCAAAGGAACTTTTTTTTTTTCCCAAAGTTCTTCTTTAGGTTTAGGTTTTAAAAACAAAACGAATTCTATTTTTTAAAAATCTGACATTAAATATAGTTTTAACGGTTCCTAAAGTTTCTTAAATCTCTCTAAATCTGAAAATGAAATTTTCTTGTTAGTTATTCTTTAAATTTTAGTCGCCATTTTGAAATACAAGTGAAAATTTACATTTTTAGGGTACGGAAAGAAAAGGAACATTCAAAGTTGAATATCTTCAAGATATTGAGAAAAAGGTACAAGCCTATTGGGAAGATGGAAAAGTTTTTCAACAAAATGCCCTGCCACCAGATGGTAGAGATCCGAATTCAAAATTTTTTGTCACATTTCCATTTCCCTATATGAATGGTCGTCTTCATTTGGGCCACTCGTTTTCCCTCTCAAAATGTGAATTTGCCGTTCGCTATCAGCGCCTTCTCGGTAAACATTGTCTATTTCCATTTGGTTTTCATTGTACCGGTATGCCAATAAAAGCGTGTGCCGATAAATTAAAACGCGAAATTGAACTCTACGGTAATCCACCTCAATTTCCAAAAGAGGAAGCAGTAATTGACAAAGCTGATCCTGATGATGAGGTTGTCATCAAGGATAAGAGTAAGGGTAAAAAAAGTAAAGCTGTCGCAAAATCCGGTGGTCTCAAGTATCAATGGCAAATAATGCGCAGTCTTGGTTTAGCCGACGAGGAAATTTCTAAATTTGCCGACGAAAATTATTGGCTCGAATATTTCCCACCATTGGCAGTTGAAGATCTACGTTCTCTAGGTCTCGCTGTCGATTGGCGACGAACTTTCATCACAACTGACGTTAATCCCTTTTTCGATTCATTCGTCCGCTGGCAATATCAACATCTCAAGGAGAGAAATAAAATTAAATACGGCAAGAGACATTCAATTTATTCGCCCAAGGATCAACAACCTTGTATGGACCACGATCGTGGCAGTGGTGAAGGAGTTGGACCCCAGGAGTACACTTTGATTAAAATGAAACTCCTCGCACCGTTTCCACAAAAATTATCGACTCTCGCGGGGAAAAATGTCTTCCTAGTGGCTGCTACCCTCCGACCGGAAACAATGTACGGTCAAACGAATTGTTGGGTTCATCCCGAAATGCGTTACATCGCCTATACTTTGGCCAATGATGATATATTCATCTCGACGGAAAGAGCCGCACGCAATATGGCATACCAGGAATTCTTCAAGACGGAGGGTAAAATTGACATCATCACTGAATTGACAGGACAGGACATTATGGGTCTATCCCTCGAGGCACCATTAACATCGAATAAAATTATTTACACCCTGCCAATGTTGACCATCAAGGAGGACAAGGGAACCGGAATTGTCACATCAGTACCAAGTGATTCTCCCGACGATTACGCAGCGCTTGTCGATCTCAAGAAGAAGCAACCATTCCGTGAAAAATATGGAATCAAGGACGAAATGGTCTTGCCATTTGAGCCGATACCAATAATCGAAGTACCTGAATTTGGAAATTTGTCCGCCGTGACAGTGTACAATCAATTGAAAATTCAATCGCAAAACGATCGTATTAAGTTGAACGAGGCAAAGGAGATGGTTTATCTAAAAGGATTTTATGATGGTGTACTTTTAGTTGGTCCACATAAAGGAAAGAAGGTGCAGGACGTTAAGAAAACACTGCAAAACGATTTGATTGAGAAGAAAACCGCCGTTCTCTATTACGAACCGGAGAAGACAGTAACATCAAGATCTGGTGATGAGTGTGTTGTGGCACTTTGTAATCAATGGTATCTCAACTATGGCGAACCGAAATGGAAAGCCGAGACAGAGAAGGCTCTGGCTAATGTCGAAACATTTCACGAAGAAGTGAAGAGAAATTTTACACATTGCCTCAATTGGTTGCACGAATACGCCTGCTCACGAACCTATGGACTTGGTAAGTTTTATATTTTCTTTTTGGAATAAACACCGTTCTTACAAAAAATTTACATTTTTCAGGAACTCGTCTTCCTTGGGAGGAGGAATGGCTAATTGAATCTCTTTCCGATTCGACCATTTACATGGCTTACTACACTGTTGCGCACTACCTTCAAGGCAATACTTTCAAGGGAAACAAACGAAATTATCTTGGAATAAAGTGAGTATCAAAATCTTAATTTCCTCATTTACTTTTATTTCTCTTTATAAAAAAAAAATGTTAACGATTTTCTTAAAGACCGGCACAAATGACACGCGATGTTTGGGATTATATTTTCTTCAAGGATGCAAAGTATCCAAAAACAACAATTAAAAAAGACGCACTACGTGTATTAAGAGCGGAATTTCAATATTGGTATCCAGTTGATCTTCGTGTATCTGGTAAAGATTTGGTGCAAAATCATCTTACGTTTTATCTTTACAATCATACAGCAATGTGGCCGAACCAACCCGATCTATGGCCACAAGCTATTCGTGCGAATGGACATTTACTTCTAAATTCATCAAAGGTTGGTTTTTGTTTAAAAATAACTACCTTCCAAATTTTTAAAAGTTTCTTAATATTTTCTATAAATTACCATTTTTTAGATGGCGAAATCAGATGGTAATTTTTTGACACTGTCAGAGTCAATTAAAAAATTCTCAGCTGACGGTACACGATTTTGTCTCGCCGATGCTGGTGACTCGATAGAAGATGCTAATTTTGTCGAATCAATGGCTGATGCGGGAATCTTGAGACTCTACACTTTCATCGAATGGGTGAAAGAAGTGATGGAAACGAAAGAAACATTCAGACAAGGACCACCGAATACTTTCCATGATGAAGTGTTCCAAAGGTAAATTTAAAAAATCTATTATTTCTTATACTATATATATTTTATTATTATTATTGTTATTATTATTATTATTATTATTATTGTTGTTGTAGTAACTAACTATTATTTTTCTTTACAGTGAAATAAATCTGAAAATTCAAGAAACTGGAGAAAATTACGCAAAAATGTTGTATAAAGAAGCTTTAAGAACCGGATTCTTCGAACTTCAAGCTGCAAGGGACAAATATTTGCAACTAAGTGCCGCAGATAAAGTAAATTGTCAACTGATCATGAGATATATTGAAATGCAATTGGTTCTTATTTTGCCGATTTGTCCTCACGTCGCGGAACACATTTGGAAGCTAATTGGAAAGGTATGTATTTTTAATCATATTTTTCTTTCAGAAAAAAGGTTTTCTTTGAAAAATTGAAAAGACAAAATCTGCTTTTTGCAGTTACCAATATTTTCAATATTGGTATTTACAGTTACAATTATATTAGCAGTTGATTGTAGTGACCAGGATTATTGATTACAATCACTGGCTATATACAATTTGATTGCATTATTATATTATGAATTATTCATAAAATTTTATTAATAATCTAAGTAATTACAATTGGCAGTAAAAAAAGAGTAAATAACAATTTAGTAATATTTTCTAATCGCAAATTAACAATTTTATTTAAAAATAATTGTTTAGTTTTATTTAAATTATTTTTATTTATTTTCTATAAAATTTTTTAATTGTTCGTTTTTTGTTAGTATTTAATTCGTAATTAGTTTAGAATTTGATATTTATTTTAATTTTATTTTCGAGTAAATAAGATTTGCATCTATTAATTGTCAAGAAATTAATAGTCAACTTAAGCCGGTTGTGTTGTTCGCACAAAATTTAAATTAATTTGCGTTTTCTAATGAGGACAGCAGGGCTGTCGAAACGTTAAATTGAGTTTTTAATATTTGTTTAATATTTGACTTGGAGGATTGATAAATTTCTTGACAATTAATATTATCTTTTACCGAGTGATAAATTCTACTACTTAATATTTGACCAAGATTTGCATCTGTTTGTACATTTTCTATACAATTTTTTTTAATTTTTCGTTTTTTGTTAATATTTAATTCGTAATTTATGTAGAATTTAATTTTATTTTCGAGTAAATATGATTTGCATCTTAGTATAAAAAGGAAATTTCAAATTTTTTTCCAGACGAACAGTGCTTTATGTAATAGATGGCCAAAAACTGGGGAAATTAAACAAACTCTGATAAAATCATCGCAATATTTAATGGACGCGGCGCATTCGTTTAGAATATTTTTGAAAAGTCACATGACCCCGCCAAAAAGTAAGGATAAAACGAAAATAATTATTGAAAAGCCAAACATTGCAACTATTTGGGTGGCAAAAACTTTCCCCCGCTGGCAAAGTATCGTCCTCACAACAATGAAAGATCTTTACAACGTAAGGAAACATTTAATTTCAATTTTTTTCATTTTAACTTCAACATATTTAAATTTCTGTAAATAATTCTATACATTTTTACTCTGTTTCGTTATAAATTTGAAATGAAAATTGTCAGTTTTATTTCTCAACAATTTTTTTTTTACAAAAATTGAAATAAATTATAAAATTAATTTGAAAATAGATTTAATTTCTTTAAATAAAAAATTAAAATTTATAGAATTTAAATTAAAGTAAAAGAATTATATGTTAAAAAAATCAAAATATAAGAATTTTTTTTATTTATTTATATTTATATTTTTATGTAGAAAAATGGAGGAAAATTGCCAGAGAATAAAGTAATTTCAACCGCATTGAATTCGGAAGTTGAATTGAAGAAATACATGAAAAAAGTGATGCCGTTTGTTCAAGCGACAAGGGAAAAAATTGAATCAATTGGAGTTAAAGCTTTTCAGCTGACTCTAGATTTTGACGAAGTGGATGTACTGGAGAAAAATAAGAAGTACATTGCCGATACTTTGGATGTAAGTAAATTAATATTTTTTAAAACATAACATTCCCCAATAAGTAAAAAAATATTTTTTAATTAGATAAAATTGGAATTTCTTAACTTTTAAATTCTTTCTTCGACTTTTGTTACTTTAGATTCTTTTCTAATTATTATTAGTCACCATGAAGAATTTTTTTAATTAGAAAAAAAATTTTAATTAATTTATTTAAATAAATTCGTGCAAATTCAATAAAATAAAATTTTATTTTCAGTTAGACACAGTGGCAGTGAAATACACGGACGAAGCGCCTGAGAAAACAAAAGAAGAATGTTGTCCTGGTTCACCTTACATCAGTTTTTCCACACAACCAGGAATATTTGTAAATATTTCAAATCCTGAACCATGCAATGGTTTATTTACAACCTCAGTGAAAATTGTCGACGGCGATAGTGTGGCCAGTGTAATTTCTAAAATTGCCAAAGGAAACAAACGAATTGAAGGTAAGTATTTAGAAAATAGAAATTAACTTTTATTGTTTTTTGACTCTTTTTTTTTCTTTTTATATATTTATATCTGAATTAATTTTCTCTTTTATTTGCAGACACGACATCCCTTGTTCTACAACGATTCGAAGATACAATTCTCGGTCCAAGGACAATACCAAATCCATCGAGTCCCATGAAGGGCAAAAAGAAATTAACAAATAACGCCACTTTCAAGCTGGACTTGGATAAAGACGTCGTCTTCGTTGAAGGTGAACCGGGCAAATTTGTCGATATTGGCAAACAACTCAATTACTCAGTGCAAAGTTAACGGTAATGTTAAGTTTAATTTTTTTTTTCTTATTTATCGATAAAGTGACTGATAGGATTTTTTTAAAATAAGAATTAGAATATTTTACAAATTCTTTTTGTCTACTTAATAAAAAGAAAATAATTTTACACACTAAAGGCAGAGAGATAATGGTTTATTTAACATCACTATAGTCTAATAGTCTAATTACATCATAATGAGATTTTTTTTAATATTATTGTTATTATTAATAACAATAAATTTTCAAAGGAATTCAAAGCAGAAAATTTCCAGATATTTTTCCGGAGTATAACAAAATATTTTCTCTCTCTCTTGTAAATTAAAAATAAATTTTTTTTCGGTGTTTTACGATTTAACGTAGGTGTCGATTTCGGTTTTGATTTTCTTAATTGTCGTGACGTTTGTTCGACAGCATCCGCCTAAATAACGAACGCCAAGATCGAGCCATTCGTGAACAAAATTCTCGGGCGGCAATGTATTGCATTCGAAACGCCAACCTTCGGGAACGGAATATTTCTCACCGCTATTGGGATAAACAATGAGGGGAATAAAAGAATTACTATCCGTGTCGCTATTAATACCGCGAAGTAATGGTGTGACGACTTTTGGTGCAATACAATTGACTCCAATTGCAAGAATTTGACCAGGCAGGGCTTTCTTGTAGCAACGTATCGCGGTTTCTTTGAAATTTGAGCCATCGGCTAAACTTTTACCGTCGTCACGACATGAGAAGGCGAGCCAAGCTTTTGTCTCCGGGTAGTCGCGAAGTAGCTCGATCAGAGCATCGGCTTCAGTTGCACATGGTATCGTTTCCAATGCGAGCATATCGACACCGGCATTTATTAATGTTTCAATTCGTGGTCGATGCCAATTTATTAATTTATCCAGTGTCACGGTTTTTGCATAGGCACCAGTGTATTCCGAAGCGTCGTGAAGTGCCGCTCCGTACGGTCCACATGAGCCCGCGATTAATGGTTTTCGATTTGTCTGATGCTGGAAAAATGAGAGGTTCATTTTTTTTCGTCATATTTATTATTTCTTTATTTTAAAAAATATATATTCGGTTTACTATTTTCCTATAATTTCAGGGTTGACACATATTAGGGAAAAATCGGGGAAAGTAGAATTGGTCAGGGAAAAGTCAGAAATTTTTATTAAATGTACTGGAAAAAATTAAATTTTTTAAATTCATAAGAAAATTACGAATTTTATAAAACTTCAATTCTGAATGAATTTAATTAGAAATTTTAAAGAACTTAGATTTTTGAAAAAATTTTAATAATTCAAATTCTTCTGAAATTTATAAAAGAATTTTAGTCAAAAACACATTTAAAAAAATTGAACTTTGAAAAAATTAAAAATTATTACAGAAATTCAATTATTTTTGAAAGTAATAAAATTTTTCGCCGAAATTCAATTATTTTCAAGAAATTTTTTAAATTCTCGCCCAAAATTTCAATTATATTTATAAATATAATAAAATTCTTCTCCAAAATTCAATTATTTTCAAAAATTTGAATAGAATTCTTGGTAAAATTTCAATTATTTTCATAAGTAAAAAATATTTCACGCAGTCAATCAATTATTTTCATAAATAATAAAACTTTTTACAAAGATTGAATTATATTTATAAAAGATAAAACTCATTGCAGAATTTCAATTATTTTGATAATAAAATTTTAATCAAATTCCTCTAAAAGTGTAATTTTTCTTAAAAATTTTATTAAAATTTGTCGACAAAATTCAATTACTTAAAAATTTTATGAAAAAATTCTTTATGAGAATTAAATTTTAAGAAATATTCAATTATTTAATAAATTATATAATTTCGTATTTAAATTTTAAATAATTGAATTCTAGTAGAATTTACTAATAACAATATTGATTTAAAATGAATTTTAGTTAAAAACACTAAAAAAAATTGAATTTTAGAGAAGTTACAATTCAATTATTTTCAAAAGTAATAATATTCTTCGCAGAAATTCAATTATGTTAAAAAATTTTTAAAAATTCTCTTCAAAATTTAAATTATCTTTATAAATAATAAAATTCTTCTCTGCAACTCAATTATTTTCAAAAAATTTAAATAGAATTCTTGTCAAAATTTAAATTATTTTCATAAATAAAAAAAATCTCACAAGAATTCAATTATTTACAAATTTTTTATAAATTTATTCGCAATAATTCCATTATTTTCATAAAATAATAAAATTCTTTTTAGGAATTCATTTACTTTCATAAATAATCAAACTCATCATAGAATTTCAATTATTTTTAATCAAATTTTAATCAAATTCCTCTAAAATAGTAATTACTCGTAAAAATTTTATTAAAATTCTTCGAAAGAATTCAATTATTTAAAAATTTGGTGATAAAATTCTTGATGAGGGATAAATTTTCAGAAATATTCAATTATTCAATAAATTATTTACTTTTTTATTTAAATAATTGAATTCTCGTAGAATTTTCTAATAAAAATTGATTTAAAAATGAATTTTAGTTAAAATTTTAGATATTTGAATATTAAAAGCATTATAACAAGAATTTTTTGAATTAATTGAATTTTCGTTAGGATCAGGAAAAAAGTCAAAATTTTGTCTGGAAATCAGTGAAAACTAAAAAGTCAGGGGAAAACAAAATTAAATTTTTGTGGCAACCCTGAATTTGAACTCGGAAGGAAAGTTCCGAAAAATTAAAATTTTATTTTAAAATGCAATACGTTTATTTATTTATTTACTTTGTGTATAAACGAGAATTACAAATGAAAAACAAAGCAAATTTTATGCCAAATTGTCTATAAATATTTATATAATTTCAAAAGAATTGTTATTTTGAATTTAATTATTAAATCACATTTTTTTAAGATATCATTATTTAATTTAATAATTTAAATTCAATTACTAAAAAATTACAATTAAAAGGATAATAATAAAGTATAATTATAATAATGGTAATAGTAATAAATAATAATAATAAAAAAGTATAATAAAAAAATTCTAATAATGATAATAAATAATAATTAAGTTTGCAAAAAAAGATTTTCTTTCAAACAAAAAAAAAGCTTCTGGAAAGAATTCGAAAGTACATGAATAAATTATCAGTGAATAGGAAAATTTATTCAAAAGAAAAAATAACTTGACAAAGAAATAAGAAAAGTCAATAACCTAAAGAAATCGACAAAACGAGATAAATTTTTATCGAAAACATGAAAAGTTTGTCAAAACGAGGAAAAAAAAGGTCTTTGAAAAAAAATATATTTATTTTAAATTATCAAATAAAAATGTTGACTTTAAAAATTTATTTATAGAAAATCTGACTAATGCGACAATTGGCAAACAAAATTTCTTTGTTATTCAAAAATTGTTTATTTCTCCTTTTTATTAAATTTTTTATTTAAACAAATTGTAGTGTTTACTGTTTTTTATTTGGAAATTTTATTTTTGTTCTGTCTTTTATTTGAAAAATGATTTTTTTATAATTTTTTATTTTTTTATTTATTTATTTTTATTTATTAAATTAAATTTATTAAATTATTTTATAAAATTACTTTATTAAATTAAATATTAAAAAATACTTTATTCAAAAAAAAAAATTTGGTTTTAATATCATTTTTTTGTTTTCAAATATTGTTTATATAATAGAGTAAATAAATAAATAAATAATTATTTAATAAATAGAGAAGGAAATATAACAAAAGAAATAATACAGTATTTTAAGAAAATTTTTTAAAATATATCTAAACAAATTATTTGATATATTTTTGAAAGTTCTTCCACTTTGAATTTTAATAATTCTGGAATTTTATTTAATATAATAGGAAATTAGAAAAAAGTACGGCCACTAAGGACAATAACAAAATGTAACAAAAAATTTGGATTTATTTGTAGGCCTTAATTTTTTTTGTCTTTTAGATGTTTTATGGAAACAATTTTTTGTTATTTTTAATATTTTTTCATTTTATATGTATAATAATATAAAAGTAGAAAAAATAATTTTAATTAATTTTCATTTCATTTTTAGAAATTTTTTCTATTTAGTTTAAAATTTTTATTTCTGTTTTGCCTTTTTTATATTTACTTTTACCTATATAATTTGTAATTTTTCTATTATTTTAAATTATAAAATTGATTCTATCACTCGGTGGTGTTAATTAAGAAAATTTTAAAATAAACTGAAATTCTTCTATTATTTATTGGAAAAATATAAATAATGCCAAATAAATTTTTAAACATTTTTTTTAATGAATTTAATTAAATTAAACTTGAAAAGAAATTAAAAATTACTTTACTTAATTTTTTTCTAATTTCCTATTCTATTAAATAAAATTCCACAGACTTATTTTACTTCAAAGTTCAATTTAAATTTTTTTTTATTTCAAAAAACGACTTCTTTGTTATATTTCTTATCTCATATCTAAATCTATTTTCATTTTTTTCTCGTTTCAAAATTTTTCTGATAGAAACAAAGTAAATATTTGAAAAATTTAACTATAACGGTTATCATCAGAGAAAAACAAAAGAAAAAAAATTATTGAAAAATATTTTAAAAAATGGCTATTAAAATAATTTTTTAATTTATTTACATATTCATTTTCCTCATTAAAAATAGAAACAGCACGTTTAGCAAGATCCACAGCATCGTGTATTAATTTAAGACTCTCGTTTCGCGATATATTCAAATACTTGACAAAGCCAGTGATTGTTGCTTGATAAGTGTTTGTTTGAATAATATCAGAACCGGCACGTAAAAAATCAAGATGCGTTGATAAAACGGACATTGGATCGGTAACTAAAAATTTTGCCGTCCATAATGGATCACCGTCAATTTTCTCGCCCACATGCTTTGATAATTGCGTTGAAAAACCGCCGTCGAGAAGTTTCACACTTGACATCTTTCGGTCTACTGCGGAAAAGTATTGTAATAAAATTTCAACTTCCCGATATACGCGATTTGACACGCTTTGAGAGGGACTCTCTTTTAAAAAGAAGAAGAAGAAAAAAAATGAAAACGTTCTGTAGATAAGACATTCGTATTCTTTTCCACCTTCATCTGACCTTTGACAATGATCATTTTATTATTACAAAGTTCAATTCTCCGCTTAGCAATAATTTTCGATAAAATAATAATATTAATAAATTCGCGTCATTCTAGGAAAATCACGACGAGACGATTGTATATTTTAATTAATTTATCGCTCTTGTGTATTAAGGAAATTAAATATTTCGAGCGCGTTCAACTTTTGTTTTTCGACATCGTTGCTCTATATATTGGAAAATCAATTTTAGTTGCGCAAATATTTTCATACATTGTTTATCAATTTATGTTTATTTATAGCAAAAATATAGTTTACATTTTGTACAATTTTGTTCAGAATTTATTGATTTACAAGCATCACAGACAGTCCTCATTTTTTGGTGATTTTTCTCCTTTTTCACCTTTTTCTAATCAAAAATAGTTTTTCTTTTTTTTTAAATATTTATCAAAGTGTAATCCTAAAATTTTAATTCAATGTTATAGAATTCATTGCGTTTTATTTTTCATTTACATTATTAATTTTTGTGTCTTTCTTGTTTACCTCATAAACTATGAAATTAACACGAATTCAGATAAAAAAAAAACCTTCACATTTTTCTATTTCTGACAATAATTTCTTTTTAAATAACTTTATTGTTGAAAAATTATAATAAAATTATTACTTAGAAATTATTTAATGATTAATATTACTTAAATATTTCAAAATTGATTGAATTTTAAAAAAATTACTTTTACTATTTTTGTAAGTACATGAACTTCAAAAGGTTTCAATTTAAAATTTTGTAAAATTTCAAATTTAAATTAATTTAATTAGAAATTTTAAAAAATATAGACTTTTGAAAAATTTTATTTATTCAAATTCTTCTGAAATTAGTTCATTTTTTTAAAATATATATTTAATTAATCATTAAAAATAATGGATTTATAGAAAAGAATTTTATTTAAAAACACTGAAAAAATTGAATTTTTAAAAAGTTACAAATGATTGCAGAAATTCAATTATTTTCGAAAGTAATAAAATTATTTGCAAAAATTCAATTATACTCAAAAATTAAAAAAAAATTCTAGTTAACATTTCAATTATCTTTATAAATAATAAAATTCTTCTCTGAAATTCAATTATTTTCAAGAATTTTAATAAAATTTTTGACAAAATTTCAATTATTTTCAAAAAGTTTAATAAAATTCTTCTCTAAAATTCAATTATTTTCAAGAATTTTAATAAAATTTTTGACAAAATTTCAATTATTTTCAAAAAGTTTAATAAAATTCTTCTCTAAAATTCAATTATTTTCAAATTTTTTTTTTAAATTCTTGTTAAAATTTCAATTATTTTTATAAATAATAAAATTCTTCTCTGAAATTCAATTATTTTCAAGAATTTTAATAAAATTTTTGACAAAATTTCAATTATTTTCAAAAAAATCTTTAAAAAATTCTTGAGAAAATTTTAATTGCATTCAAAATTTCTAATAAAATTCCTTACAAAATTTCAATTATTTTCAAAAATTTTAATAAAATTCTTGACAAAATTTTTATTATTTTCAAAAATCTGAAAACATTCTTGACAAAATTTCAATTATTTCCAAAAGTTTAATAAAATTCTTGACAACATTTTTATTATTTTCAAAAATCTGAAAAAATGCATAACAAATTTTCAATTATTTTCAAAAAGTTTAATAAAATTTTTGTCAAAATTTCAATTATTTTCAAAAAGTTTAATAAAATTCTTCTCTAAAATTCAATTATTTTCAAAATTTTTTTTTTAATTCTTGTTAAAATTTTAATTATTTTTATAAATAATAAAATTCTTCTCTGAAATTCAATTATTTTCAAGAATTTTAATAAAATTTTTGACAAAATTTCAATTATTCTCAAAAATCTTAAAAAAATTCTTGAGAAAATTTCAATTATTTTCAAAATTTTAATATAATTCTTGACAAAATTTCAATTATTTTCAAAATTTCTAAAAAAATTCCTTACAAAATTTTAATTATTTTCAAAAGTTTAATAAAATTCTTGACAAAATTTCAAGTATTTTCAAAATTTTTAATAAAATTCCTTACAAAATTTTAATTATTTTCAAATGTTTAATAAAATTCTTGACAAAATTTCTATTATTTTCAAAACATTTTAATGGAATTCTACGCAAATATTTAATTATTTTTATAAATAATAACAATTTCACAAGAATTCAATTATTTACAAATTTTTTTTATAAATTTCTGCGCAATATTTCCATTATTTTCATAAATAATTAAATTTTAGATAATCATTGAATATTGACAGCATTACAGCGTGAATTGTTAAAAATAATTGAATTTTAAAATCTTTGAAAATTCGAATTTTTCATACTTTTAACTGACAATTCTGTAGAATTACTTTTTTGAAAAAGTTTAATTGAATTTCTTTTAAACTATTTGAAGTTTTTATTTTATAATATATAATATATATATATATAATTAATTGTAGAATTTCTGAATAATTAAAATTTCCTAAAATTTAATTGTAAAGATATGGATTTGAAATTTCTTAAATAACTTTTACAAAAATTATTAAAAATAATTTATTCAAAGAAGAATTTTAGTTAAAAATTCTAGAAAATAATATAATTGAATTGAAATTATTGGAAAAAATTTATTGTAACAATAATATTATAAAACATGAAGAAAGCGAGCACTCCGAGTCGAAGACTCGGAGTGATTGATATCTTCATGTTTTATAATAGTATTTTTATAAGTTATTGAATTTTCAAATTTTTGATAATCTTAATTCTTATGAAAAAGTAATAATAAAAAAAATATATCAAATAACAAAAGTTATTTGATATATTTTTTTCCCATTTTTGAGGAAAAAAATTCCCCTTTTTTGAGGATAAAAGGTTCTGTGATGCTTGAGATTAGGAAAATTTTTATTCAACAGAATTTTCACTTGATAGAGTTTTTATTTTTATCCTGTTTTGTGTTTGAAACGTGCGAATAAAGATTATTTGATTCGAGGTCTTTAATATTAAAAATTTCATTGTTAAATTTAAATTTCCCGCGCTTAAATTATCTACATTACCAACAAGTCATAGATTGGCGACTCGATAAAAATTTTCTTGTAAAAATTGTGTTAAAAAGAAATAGAATCTTAAACGTTTATTTTATATTCTCAGCTTTCCATTTTTTTATCTCAATGGAAATTTTCTCGAGATTTGATACATCAGTGCGACAGCATCCACCAATGTAACGTACACCAAGATCAATCCATTCCTTAACGAAATACTCGGACGACGGTGAGTCCTCGACAATTTTCCAACCCTCGTCGGGAAAATATTTTTCACCACTATTCGCGTAAACAACTAGTGGAATAAAATCTCTATCACCATTGTTAATGCCCTTGAGTAATGTGGAGACAATTTTCGGTGGTAGACAATTAACCCCAATTGCGACTATTTGACCGGGTTGGGCATTTTTGTAACATCGAAGAGCCGATTCCTGAAAATTCGAACCATCGGCTAAATTTTTAGCGTCCTCGCGACACGAAAACGAGAGCCAGACTTTTGCAGTGGGAAATTCTTTGAGTAGTTCAACGAGAGCTTCTGCTTCCTCGTAGCAGGGAATTGTTTCCAGTGCTAGGAGATCGACACCGGCGTCAATTAGGGCCTTTATTCGAATTCGATGGAAATCCATTAGGGTCGATTGGGGAATTATTTTTCCATAAGAGCCTGTGTACTCGGAACTGTCGTGTTGAGCCGCTCCATATGGTCCACAGGCACCGGCAATCAGTGGATTTTTATTCTGTACGTCAGTGCCTAAAAAAACGATTTTTTTATTACTAAATCATTAGATTCGTATTCAGTGACTATAAAGCCCCCAAACTGTTATAAAATCGTCAATTCTTTAAAATTCCTTCCGCTATTTTGAATTTTGAAAATCTGGCATCAGATTCGTAATCAGCGACCGAAAATATTCCTGGACAATAAATTTTAAACAAATGCGGAAACTATTTTTAAAAACTGTCCGCCATATTGGATCCACCATTTTGAATATTAAAAATCTGACATTAGAACATTAATATTTCTGTTTTTTTTTAGAATTTCCACTACTTTAAATTCGCTAATACTAGAAATAAAAAAACTTTTAAACAATTACAGTTTCAAATTCTTTAAAACGATTCAATTATTTTCAAAAAAAATTCGAAATTCAATTATTTTCAATATCTAGTATTTTTATAAAATTTCGCAAAACAATTCAATTCTTTAAAAAAAATTGATAAAATAATTCATCCAAAATTCAATTATTTTCATAATTAATAAAATTTCCACAGGAATTCAATTAATTTAAAATAGCATTTTCAAAAAAAATTTTCGAATATAATTCTATTTTTAATTAATTAATTAATCGAAAAATTCAATTATTTTCACAAATAAAATTTTTCAAAAGAATTCAATTATTTAAAATAAAATTTTCATAATATTTATTATATTTCGAAAAAATTAATTATTTAAAACAATGTTTATAAAATTCTTCTCAGGAATTCAATTATTTTTGAAAATTTTAATAAAATTCTTAGCAATTATTCAATTATTTTTAATAAAATTTTACAGAAATCGCTCAAAAAATGTCATTAATCTTAAAAATTTAATTTCAATTCCTTGAAATTTTTTGGAAATAATATTCAATTATTCTTTTAGATTTTAATAAAATTCTTCCCAAGAATTCAATTATTTATATAAATAATGAAATTCATCGCAGGATTTCAATTATTTTTAATACAATTTTACAGGAATTGATCAAAAAATGTAATTATTCTTAAAAATTTAATTTCAATTCCTCAAAAAAATCAATTATTTACAAAAATGTTTTTTAAAATTCTTTATGGAAGAATTCAATTATTTACAAAAATATTAGAATTTTTCACAGGAATTCAATTATTTTCAAATATTTAAATAAAATTCTTCCCAAGAATTAAATTATTTACATAAATAATTCTTTGAAAGAATTCAATTTTGTAAATAAATATCAAAATTATTCCTGAAAATTCAATTATTTTGAGGCATTTTAATAAAAAATTTTCCTGAATTCAATTATTTTCATAAATAACAATATTCATCACAAGAATTCAAGTATTTTTAAAAATAATAAATTTTTCTTAGAAATTCAATTATTTTAAAAAATTCTAATAAATTCGTTCGCGTTTAAAAGCTATTTTTTGATACTTTTTTAACATAATTTATTAAGTTTTTTTTAATTTCAAATTTTTCCTCGGAGTTTTTGGAATTAGATCTTCAAAATAACGGTCGAAATACAGTGTTGTACGTAGTAAGCGCAGTAAACCGTATAACAGTAAAATGAAAATTATAAAATATTTATTATTATATATAATATTTATTAAATTAATAGAAAAAAATATATAATTATAAATTTTTATAAAACGAATGTTTATAACAAAGTTTTTTTATTAATAACTATTATATATGATAGTTTTCAAAATCTGAGGTGAAATTCAAATTTTGTCGGCTATTTTCTTCCTATAATTGTCAACCAATCATAGAGGTTTTTCCTTTTCGACGTTATAGAAAACAAAATGGTCGACGCATTTGCAGGAAAAGTAAATGTGTTTAGTTTTTGAAATAAGTTTCTAAAAAATACGTTTTTATGGAAAATAAATTGCAGGAGAATAATTTTTTTTTAAGATTATTAAGTGGTTAAAGTTACATTATGTTAAAAAATAAAACGTAAATTAACGTTTTTATATTTTTGGAATAGCGACAAAAGTGACATCTACAGCAGACGCGTTGTAATTAACAGCGTAGTAGGTAGAAGGGGTAGAAGACGCCGCGCCGGCGCCATATTGAACACGTGCTTATTGAAATTGAATAAATCGTTCTCTCTTTTACAATTGAGCCACGGAAGTGAACAAATGGAAAATTATTTATTATTTAAATATTGTGAATTTTTCTTCTGTAAATTCAGTGTCTACATATCTACAAAATTTGGTGAGTACATGTTTTTTTGTAATATTTAAATAACTTCATAAATTTTGTTTTAAATTCAATTATTTTCTTATCACTTTAATTAAATTTTTAATTTAATTCAAATTATATATTTTATTATTAAATTTTTGAATTTATCACTCGGTATATATTTTATTGTTTTATGCAATTTTTATCACTATTTAAATTAAATACCATATACATATGTATAGTTTTATTAAATTTCTATATTTTACATCAAATTTTATATTTTTTTAGTTTAATAAATTTTTTTTATAAATTAATATTTGGCTCTTGCTTGAAAACACGTGCGACCATGTGGTCACGTGACATTATTGGAAATATTCTGCACGTAGGTTTAAACAAAAAATAGTATAGTATGAAAATTTTAATAGTTAAAAAATTTTTCAAAAAATGAATGAAAATTATTTTGCAAAATGGCGACCATACAATTTTATATTTCATTTCCTCAAAATGTATATATAAATAAATATAATAATTAAAATTTATACTATATTAACATAATGTAAATTAAAATTTTTAATTCCGTGACAAAAAAGAAACAAAATGACGGACGATTTAAAATTATTTAATTTAATTAAATTTAAATAAAATTAATTTTTAACTTATTAAATGAAATTAATTATTTGAATTTATAAATAAATTATAAACGAATTTTTAAATGTTTGGGAAAAGAATTTTAAAAAAAGTCCGCCATGTTTGAACCGCCATTTTGTTTTCTTGATCATAAAATACATAAAATATAATGATGCGAATTAAGCTTCAAAAAACCTTTAAATTAGTGATTTTAATTCGTTTTGATTAAAGTTTCTATTGTTTATAAATTGCAAAATTTCAAATATTTATCTATTTTTTATTTCTTTTAAATAACAGTATTATCAGATTAAAAGAAAAGTAAGTCCTGTGGATTTCGATTAGCAGAACAACACATTGCCGAATGGATACTTCACAATCTCTTTTATGAGGTATGTAATTTGTTTTTCCTTACATTTTTGTTCCCTAAAATTTAAAGATTCCAATTTTTTCAAAGAAAAAAAATTTGAAATATAGAATTTAAATTTTCAAAAATAGTTTGGACAATTTTAATTGTCCAGAAATTCCAGGATTAACATAACCTCTAAATTAAGTTTTAAGAATAATCGGTTTATTATTTTCGGCACCTAACCTTAAAAACCGGTTTCCTGCATATCAATACATTAGTATATGTTAGTATATAAAATAAAAAATTGGGATTTTTTTATTTTTGTAAACTTACATTTAGTTTCCTCTTTATAAATATCAATTGCCTTTCGTGCAAGTTTAACAGCACTTTTAATTAAATTAATACCCTCTTCTTCGGTGACATTGAGATATTTTACAAAGCCGGGAACAGAGGCTTGATAAGTATTGGTGCAAATAATATTACTTCCTGCACGTAGAAAATCTAAATGCATCGCTAAAACAGCATCAGGATTTGTTGCCAAAAATCTTGCGGTCCACAGTGGATCACCGTCAATTTTTTCACCAACATGTTTTGATAACTGATAGGATTCACTTCCGTCTAGTAATTTTATTTCCGTCATTATATTATATATTAATATTATATATTTCAATTCACTTTAAATTTTCTTTTAAAAGAACCAATGAAACGGTTTGTTTTAAAGAAGGAAACAAGAAATGTATTTTTATTATATTTGTGCCGACCTCAACAATAACAATTTTAAAAAACACGACCTCTGTTTGATTAAAAATAATCGAGGAGACGATGAATGGAAATTTTTGTAGTGGGTTAGAATAAATCCCTTCCTCTCCTCCTCCCCTTCAAAATAGTGACATCTGTTGATTTTTTAAGAAATATTTTAGTTTGGTTTGTTTTTTCTTTGAGAGAAGTTCAAGGCAAGAACATAACCTAAAATTTAGTGGAAATTTTGAAAGAGTAAGAAATAAGGAGGTTCTATCGATAGTAATTTTCCAGTAGATTTCCATTACTAAAAAAAGTTAATTAATAAAAATAACTCACTTAATTAGAAATGATTAAATTTGTTTAATTCATTTCTTATAAATATAATTAAAGCCCCCCCCCCAATTAATAGATATTTATTTCCTATTTTTCTTACATATAAAAATTAGCATTACTACAAAGTATTTAACACATATCTACATAACATTTTTAAAAGACATAATAGATATGTAATAATTACATATTTGTTAAGACAAATGTCATTTGATATCTGTGAGATTTGCAATAAATTAAATTTTAAAACATTTTACGTTTCTCCTGATACTTTGAACGTTATTCATTAGAGTCAAAGATGTATATTTTGTCATATTTTATTCGTCTGATCATGAAAATAATATAATAAATGAGCTTTCGCTCCGCGACGCAGAGCCTCTTCAGAGTTTAATTCTGTGAAAAAAGTAACAAAATTGAAAAAAAAAAAATTTTCTGAAAATATTATCCATTAAAATCCGTCAAAATAATAATCTCCCTCTCATCGTTCCTTCGAGAGTGACAAAGATAGTTGCAAACTGCGCATGCGTGCTTTTTGCGCAGTACTGTAAATTTCTCATTGGTAGAAAAAAGGCGCGATTATTTAAAATTCTCTATTATAAAAAAATGTTAAAAATATGAAAAGACAGAAAATGAAAAATTTTGTTTATTGCTCGATAAACTAAATTTAATAATTAAGGGTTTTGAATAAATTTGTAAATTCGTTTTTAGTGGGAATTAAAAATATAAATTTAAAAGCATACTTAATTTTCTTTTATTCATTTTTTTCTCAATAAATATTAATCGATTAGTAATTTACAAAATTTTTTTTATGTAGAATAAATTTTGTCTCCTAAGATTCGTTTATAAAAATTGTCAATTCACACATAATGCAAATCACGTAGTACAAGAGTTTTTTTTTCTAGTAGTGAATCGTGGATACATGGAAATGTTTACAAAAGTTTTTTTCGAAGAAATATTTTTTTTATTTTGTTTCTAATCAAACAACTTATTTATTTATTCAAAAAGACATTTTCTAATTCTCTTCAACAAAAGACAAAAGGGGAAAAAAGTTTCCTAGCCCTTTTATAAAGTTAAAGCTTAAAAGAGAATTTTTTTAATTTTAGGTCATTTTTATTATTTTATAAAAAGATTTATTAATCATTTTAAAATACTTTTCTAAAAATAAAATTATTTTTTATATTCTTTTTTCAATTTAAGAATATTTAGAGTCAATTCAAGTTTTCTTTTTATGTTGTAAGATTTTTTTCAATAAAAATAGTTTTTCATTTCATAAAGATTTATTGAAAAATAATTTATTAATTTTTTTTTATTTTATAAATTTTTTAAAAAATTAAAAAATATGTTAAAAATATTGTTTTTGTTTTAAGATTTAAAACTTTTCTATCATTGATTGTTTTCAACTAATAAATTATTATTAAAAATACAAATTTTTTTTTAATTATAGTTTAACCATTTTTACTGTTATGATTCATTTACTACCAATTAATTTTTGATATTTTTTTTAAATCACTTTAACGAAAAAAATGTTGTTTGAATAGATACAAAATAATAAAATTACATTTATAAATTTGAAAAAATAGACGAAGAGTATAAAAATGTATGATTTGATAAAACAATGCAAATTGTTTCCATTCATCTGTATAGAGATTCCTATTCTAATAAAGTATACTAATAAATTTAATCATTCATTGAATTAATCATTGAATTATTTAATTAATTTTTTTAATTAATCGTAAAAATTAATTAATCATATAAAATGTAAATTATAATTCGATTATTACAATATTGCCGAATTAATTTATTAATAGTAATAATAATAATTAACTATATTTCATCAACAAAAAAAAGTTATCTTTAAAAAATATTAATTCATTTCATTATATAAATAAAAGCATAAAATCAAAGAAAGCTTTTAGAGAAAAAGTAAAATTAATCTCCATTTAAAGCTATCGACTCTTAGATTCACTTAAAAATAGATGAGTCACGAGTGACAAATATCAATTAAATTTTTATGTACTTCACGAACAATAATGTTCCGACAATACAGAAATGACTTCATTTTTTCCTTTTTTTGTATTTACAAATTGACGCTACGACATATTTTCACATTAAAAAGAAACAAACAAACAAGTAAAATCGAAAAAATAACGGAAACAGTATAAATAAAGAACGAACTTTTTTTTTAATATGGAAATTAAACAAGAACAAAAAATTAAAAACAAAAAATAATTTGCAACAGAGAAAATCGAGATTTATGAAAATTATTAAAAGAGAAAAAATTGAGGGAGAAAATTGCAAAAAAAAATTTATATTGAAAATAGGAAAAAATACAAAAAAATGTAAAAAAGAAAAATAAAAAAAATTCGAATTTTTATATTTTTAAAAAACCTCTTGTTTAAATTTATAAAATTACATTTTTTATGATATTTTTTGCGTTATTTAAATATTCCTCTCTGTCTTTTTTTTTAATATTTCGTGACATTCTCACTAAAAAAGACTTTATCCCTATTTTTTTCTCTTTCTCGTTGTTTTTTTTTATAAAATTTGTTTGTTTTTTTCTTCACATGTTAATTAATTAATATTTTTTCATCTTTCTTTTTTCTTTTCTCTATAGGAAAAAAAAAGAAAACGAAAAAAAATAGTTGAAAAATTAATTTTCCATTTTTTTAGTACCTTAAATTATCACATGTTATATATCGTCGTAATAAAACTGTGCAGGAATTATACATAGTGTTTTTTTTGTTGTTTTTCTCATTTTTTTGTATATAAAATCACAAATTTTTTAAAGCCGAGGCAATCTTGGCATATTTGATATACATAGTTAATATATAGAAAATTGATTTTTTTTCATGAGAAATTTGATTGAATTAAAAAGGGATAGGGGGGGGGAAGGAGATTGTACGAGACAGCATCGTATAATTTAGTAATTAGGTTTTAGTGTAAAAAATGCAAAAAGCGTTTTTAGAAATTTTTTAGAGGGAGATAGGAGGGTGTTTTGTCAGCGCAGCTGATTTTTTTTAACTTAACAATACACACGGACATTAAAGTATGTATATAAATATTTTTAACGAATACTTCCTAGAGGAAACCATTCGACGGTTTCATTGGTCAAATCGAGACGAGACAATGGTAGACGAATGCCTCCGAGGAATTCATTTTCCTGAAGGGTATCGTGATTCCATATTGTCGCCTCCAGAGTTCTTTCTTTTATCGCCTCTAATGACATTCTGTACTCCAACTAGAATTTTAATTTCAAGTTATTAATATAAAAAAATTTTATATTTAAATAATTAAATTATTGAATTTAATTGATTGAATTAATTAAATTAATTAATTTATTATTTATTTAATAATTTATTATTTAATTGTTGTGGTCATGACTGTAAATAGTAACCTAACGATAATGTGAAGTCTAGCGGATGTAAAAATTTTATAAGTGCAGAATAATTATTAATTTTTGTAAATAAAGAAATGTTTGAATATTGTTGTGTTTAGGGCGAAATTTTATCGTGCGCCGCACCTGAATTGGCGTGTCGCCAATCAGCGCCCGAGAGTTCCCCACTACCGAGCGTTCTCGGCCTCCCCTCCCACTCAGAGTGAAAGAGTATAAAAGCCGGTGTGTAGCTCGAAGACCCGCAGAAGGCGGCAGGATCTTACAGTGTTAACAAGTCTTACCTAAAGTGGTTCACATTCAGATCATCAGTACCTAGTATGACCACAACGGGTTAATAAAATACTTAAAAAAATTGTTTTTAGAAACTTACCATTTCCATAAATGATGGATGACAATTTTTCTTGACAACTTTTGTTTTTCGTTTGGTGGCTTTTGTTGGATCGGGTTTCAAATACACCTTCACGTATGTATTCGGTTCTTGGGCGTTGGCAACTTTTGGCAAACCTCTCGCGTGATGAACCATGACACAAAAAGTTCCCCTCGTATAATGCAGAGACAATTTTAGTTGGCCATTTTGAACATTTTCGCGAACTTTCTTCTCTGCCCACCAATTGCCAACTGAAATAGAGATAAAGAATATATTTGTGACGCACTCTAAAGAAAGATCCCTCAGAAGCAAAAATAATTGAACCCTTTGATGCAAGAACCAGACTTGGACCATTAAGATTAAATGGGCTGCGTCTGGTTCTTACATCAAGGGATATCAATTTGACGGTAAGTAGAAATTTTAATTACCGACAAATGGCAAAAAAGACGCGTAAAATTTATTTGAAAAGTTTCAGTTTGTGGGTAAGTAGAAATCTGCATTACCGATTGAAGGTATGTAAGAAATCAATATAAAACTTCCTCGAGAATATATGTTTGCCGGCAAGTAGAAATCTGTATTACCAATTGCTGGTAAATAAGACACAAAAAATTTTCTTTGAAAAGTTTCAAAGTCGGTAATGCAGATTCCTAGTTACCGGCAAGTTTAATTCTTCTCGAGGAAATTTTATATAGAATTTCTCCCATACCATTCGCTTTCTTTGTTGAAAAGAATCAGAAATGTCTTTTTGAATAAAGAAAAAAAAGAATTAAGCTTTTTTTATAAACGAATCTTGTGAGACAAAATTTATTCGACAAAAAATATTGTAAAATACTAATCGATTAATATTTATTGAGAAAAAAGAATACCATACCATCAGACGGCAATGCAGTTTTCTACTTGCATTCAAAATGTAAGTTTTAAAAGAAATTCTAGGTTTCTTCTGCACCATCAGTCGGTAATACAGATTCCTAGATACCGTTATTAAATTGATATATTTCAACGATTTTTTATACATTTCTTCCAAACCGTCAGTCGGTAATGCAGATTTTTTTACTTGGCTTGGTGGCCAAAAGACTAAATTGCCATTTCGCTAAATTAAAATTTTACACAGTAAGAGGTTAGGTTCGAAACACTCAGTCGGTAAAACAGTTTTGCTGTGCGTGGTTTAGCAAAATGGCAATTTAGCCTTTTGGCCACTAAGCCTTGTCTGTAAATTGATATTTTCAAGGGATTTTGTATTTTTCTTATAATCAGATTTATATTTACAGTTACTTACACTGAACAATTATTAACATTATTAAAACCTAAAATCTTTATTTTCCCTGTATGTACTTAAAAAAAACTCCAATCAATATGTAGAAAATTCAATAATTTTCATTTTCGAAATTGTTACTATAACTGTGAACAATTATTAAATTTTATTTACAACTTTAAATGAATGCAAAGGGTAATTAATTTTTTATAAAATAATTTTAGTCACAAGCATGAAAGATTATTAAATTTTCTTTCTACAGTATTAAAGGCTATACTGAATGTGACCTTCAAAATTTAGAAAGAAAATTCAATAATATTAGTGTGTAATATTTGAGAATAATAGAAAGTAATAAAAGTTTGCTAAGAAAGTTAATCCTTAAAATTCCTGTTGAGACACGTTTAGACCTTGCAATACAATGGTAGAAATTATTGATTTTTCGAAAGTTTTTCCAGGTATGGAATATAATAAACTTAGATGCTATTCTATTGGTCAACTGAAAAATTTTGGCTAATATTTTCACAGTTGTATTTCCCTTCTCTAATATATTTTTATTTTCTCAACAGTGACGTCACATCTACCTGGATGTAGTACAATGCCTTTGTCTCTAATCCTTTCACAGAAGATTTGAAGGAAACGAATCAAGTTACAAGACACAAGAAATTATAGTGTTTCATTTTTTTTTGTTGCAGATATATTTAAAAAATATTCGCGAGTGCAGTGTAATTTTTAAAAGTGTAAATTATTATTAATTGTATATTATTTTAATAGTTTTTGCATATTACGAAACTGCGAAATGTAATGTAAATTATGTTTAAATTGTTAAAGCGTCAGTGGGCGTGGTCACACCAGCGACGTAAGTCCGCCTCAAAGAAGGGGACTTCTTAGAAATGAAACATAAGCGTCGGAGTGTCAGTAGTGGGGGCGAGAGAGAAGTTATAGTCTTTCTCGCTCACACTCATGCTCCCCACTCTGGCGCTTACGTTCCACTTCTCAGAAGCTACTCTTTCAGGCATTCTTGCGTCGACAGTGTAACAGCGCGCACACTCAAGAAGTTCTTTGTCGTTCATGAAGAGGAATCATCATTCACCTTTAACCCCATCGGAATCTTCTTTCAAGGAACAATTGTGAGTCAAATTAATAATCACTATTTCTATTTTCTTTCTTACTTTTTTCCTACACTTGAAAATATTTTATTCAAATTAAAAAATGTTTTTCATTCAAAATCTAGTTTCTTTTTAATCTGGTGTTTATCCAACAAAATGCACACTTTTAAAAAAAGAATTATCAATGGTATTAAGCAAAAATATTAATTTTTAAGAAAAAAAATTAACAATCAAAAAATTTATTTGTTTATACAATTTACTTATAATCTAAAGGTTTTGTCATATCGCCTTCCTAATAGTTTTTAAAAATTATGTTGGATAAACCACCTTAAAAAGTGATAAATTTTCTATTGATTAAAAATAGTTATTCTAAAATCTATTTTTTTAAATAATATAATACGAGTATTTATTCAAACCTGAAAATAATTTACTAAAATGGTGAAGAGAAATAAGTTTAACTTAATTTTTCAAATCTGAATTTTATTTAAATTTTACATAGATTTATTGAAGTGTAAGAATATTTTTCTTTTTACAAAATTAGATAAATAAATCTTTTATTTTTTACATAATGTATTGCGTATATTTTTAAAGTGTAGAAGTATTTAAAAATACAGTAAATTTATTTTCTGAGTGTAGGAAAACATCATTTTTCTAATTTCTTCTGTCCCTCTTCTTTCTTTCTCTCTTTTTCTATCTATGATTGTACACTGAAACCTCACTTATTTAAAGTCGCGTTTATGTGAACCCGATTTCGCTTCAGTTAGGATCAGTCCTAACCCCACTTGTCTTAGCTCATGCGCAGTATGCGACCAATGGAAAGATACTTACTCCCATTGGTTGAGTTCAAACAAAACCAGTCAATCATGACAACTTATCGAATTACGTCACCAACATAAGATATGCCTACCTTCGTGTCGAATTGCGTGAGTCATGTTCAAATAGGTGAGTTTTCAGTGTACTTTAATTTCAGTCTCCTCTAGGGAAAACGCATTTTGCTTATTTTCTGGAGAATAGAACAATTCTTCCCACTGGCGGCAAGACTTGCTCTTTTCCTAGCGAATAAGTTGAAAATGACGGGGTTCTTTCCCTGGAGGACCGACTACTTTTTCCAACTGAGTCGTTCACTATCTCTGGGTGAACAACTTTGTTAATTGCTTCTCACAATTCTTTGTCTTTTTTTTATCTTATTTCTGTTTTTTCTATCTTCTTTCTTTCACTTAAGTCTCCCCTAGGGAAAACGCACTTTACTTATTCTCTGGGGAGTAGGGAATTCAGCAGTTCATCCTCCCTTCCTTTTGGTGGAAAGACTTGTAACAAGTCTTCTTTTCCGAAGAAAGTCTTTCCACCATATTTCCTTAGTTCTCTTCTCCTTCCTCCACTTGGTGGAAAGACTTGTAACAAGTCTTCTTTTCCGAAGAAAGTCTTTCCACCATATTTCCTTAGTTCTCTTCTCCTTCCTCCACTTGGTGGAAAGACTTGTAACAAGTCTTCTTTTCCGAAGAAAGTCTTTCCACCATATTTCCTTAGTTCTCTCCTCCTTCCTCCACTTTGGTGGAAAGGAAAGACTTGTAACAAGTCTTCTTTTCCGAAGAAAGTCTTTCCACCATATTTCCTTAATTCTCTCCTCCTTCCTCCACTTTGGTGGAAAGACTTGTAACAAGTCTTCTTTTCCGAAGAAAGTCCTCCACTTTGGTGGAAAGACTTGTAACAAGTCTTCTTTTCCGAAGAAAGTCTTTCCACCTTAACTCCTTATTCTCCTCCTCCCTTCATATCCTAGGTGAAGAGTATGACGACTTTCTCTCACCTGGGAAACGAAGTCGTCCTCAAGGAGAGAGGTTGTCGACTTCACTCTCCTTGAGTAGGAAGAGAGAAAAGTCAGAAGTCGTCCTCGGAAAGAGGATGGCGACTTTCTCAATTCCAGAAGAAGTCGAACGGGTAAGAAGGTCACTGTGAATAACGATCTCTAGAGATGTAAAAATAAAAAAATTGAGTCCTTCTCCTTCTTTCTCAAGGAGGAGAGTTGTGCTTCTCCCCTTGACTTCGATTTCTACTGAGAAGTGGAATTTGATATTTCCAACTTCCCTACTCGAGGAGATCGAAGTCGGAAACTCTCTCCTTGAGGACGACTTCTGTTTCTCCCAAGTGGGTGAGAAAGTCGTTACTCTCCCACTGGGGTGGACTTTTTTACTTGCTACTCTACCAAGAGAGGTTGGAGTCCAAAACCTCCTCTCCTGGGGTTTGACGACTTTACTTTTACCAGGTAGGGGTAGTCGCAAACGCCCTACTTGGGGGAAGGGGAGGAGAAGAGTGGGAGGAGAAGGTCTCAGAGAAATTAAGTATTTCCACCAACTGAATACCAAGTCAACGTTAGAAATATAGCCTTATGTTTCTAGCGTTGACTTGGGATTCACTTAGTGGAAATATTTAATTTTTATAGGAGACCTTCTCAAAGAAAGAAAAGGGAGAACTGACTAGTCTACTCTTGTGAAAGTTGTCACTAAATCTCTCACAACAAGGATTTAAAGTAACATTTTCCTACCTCCAGAGATTAAGTGACTTCTTTTCTACTAAGTGATTTAAGTCAATTCTTTTGGGAACTAAAGACTTTTTTTATTACAAGAAAAGAAAAGTTCTTTACACTTTTGAAAAGTTCTTTACACTTTTCTCTCTAAGAAGTAATAAGGCGACCACTATGAGCGATTGCTTTATTTCCGTTTCAAAAAGTAAAGTCCAACTTTTCCCTCTTTATAGAAAAAAAAGTCTTTAGCACTGCATATGAAGCGAGTAAAAGACCTGTTTTTATTTTTTAATATCTTTCCTAACCCTTATCTTGGAAATTATTTTTTTTATTTGAGTTATTCACAATTTTATAAGTCGCCTGACGCTCGGATACGGGCACTTCCAACAGTGGTGTAACAGTAAGTGTTCCAGTTGGTTTGAGTGTCTACGACCGAGCTTTGGACGAGTTATAAAATAAATTAAATAATTTTATTAATAAATATATAAGGTTCAGCATAACTGTTCTATCTTCGCGTCGAGCTGTAAATCGTGATATCTCAAATTTCACAAGTTTGCACATAATAATATTTATTATTATTATAGTATTACACCTCTTATAAAATTTATTTTATGCTTTCAATAATATTCACAAATTGGACAGAATTGGGAAATAAACAAAGAAAATTGCTTTCATAAAAAGTCAAACAAGTAACCTAAAATTATTAGGGTGGCCACATGTCAGTAAAGCAAGATTTTTGTCAGTAAACTCAGGGATAATTCGGGAAAATTAAGAAAATTGAGACTTTTTCGACTTTTCTTCCAAATAGTACAATTTATTTTTAAGATAATTAAATTTTTCAAATATATTTATAATAAAAGTCTTTTTGAATAATTGGAATTTTGTAAAATTTAATTGAAAAACATTTTTTAAGTATTTTATTACAATTTTTAAAAACTAACTTTTGAAGAATTTAATTTGTAAATTTTGAAAATTAACAAAAATGTTAATGAAAAATCTTTAAATATAAATTTAAAATTAATGAAAATTGGCTTCGAATTTTTTAAAATTCAATATTTTTAATTACATATTTCCGAAAATTCAAATACATACAAAAAATAATAACATTTTAGAATTATTTTTAACATTTTGGAGAAAAAAATGTTTGAATTAAAATTCATCAAGCAATTAGTTTTTTTAAATTATACAAAAATTCTTTTAAGAAATTCAATTATTTTTGGAAAATTATATTAAAATGTTTTTAAAAACTAATTCTTCGAATAGATTACCAGATTTCAATTGTTTGGAAATTTTTCAATTGTATATAATTCAAAACTATTAATATTACAAATATTATTTTTAAATATTTTTAAAAAATTAATTGTAAGAATTTCTTTATTATAATTTTTTGAAAATGTTATATCTTAATAACTTAAGAAAAAAACATGGACAGTTATAAAAAATTGAGTTTTTGTATTAAAATAATTGAATTATTCTAGAAGAACTTTCGGAAAATGATTTAAAATAATTAATTTAGAGATGAAGTTTGGGTAAAAATTGGAGAAAATAATTGAATTCAGGAAGGATTACAAATGTAATTTTTAGAAATTATTAAAATTCATAAATTTTATAAAGAATTTTGTCAGGGAAAAAAATTTTAATGTCAGTTAATTAATAAACTGAATTTTTTAACCACCCTAATTATATAGCACGTTTTACAGCTCAACGCGAAAATAGAAGTTCTACACTGTAATAGTTTTGTAAATCAAAGAATAAGAAATTACTTGCACTAAAGTAACCTTAGAGAAAACAGGTCTTTTGCTCTCCTCATTTGATAAATGCACCAATTACTGCGATATGCTGTTAATAAAAAATAATTTAAAAATTAATATCTTCATTAACAATACTTTTAAAGTGCATCTTAAGAAAATAATAGTTTTATGTACTAAAATTAAACGAATCAATCAATATGATCGAAATTTGAAACATTTTTAATTTTACCAATTACTTTAAGATGATTGGAAGTTTTATATCTTTAAATTATATAAAAATACTATTTACAAAAACACAGTATTTGGTGCATAACTAGTATTGAATACAGTTTTAATTCAAACCTACACCCAGATGCTGTTAAATTTAAAAAAAATTTAAACGATATTTTAAAAATAATGATGTACAAAACTCTGAATACTTAATTCACGACTGACTTTTTGATTTCAAGACAACTATATTCAACTAATTCAAATTTAGAATTATTAAAATAATTTTAATTATAATTGCCTTCCAATACTAAAATTACCAATTTGATTTTTCAATTTTAAACTAAAATTTTTATTTAAAAATATTTATATAACTAAAAAAAATGGTAAAGATCCTTTAAAATTGCTAAAAATATTTACTTTTTTCCATATTTTTAATTCTTACTACTTTTTAAATTTAACTTTTTTGTATTTAATTCTTCTAAATGTTTAAATTTAACTTTTTTTATTTTCAATTCACATTAATTTTTTAAATTTTTACTTTCATATTTAAAAGGCTTTTTTAACATATTTATTCAATGCAAATATTATAATCAATTTAATTTTACTTTTAAAGTAATGAAATAAGATAATAAAATTTTTTTTATTTTATAAAATTATTTTCTAGGTGTAGGTTGTATTAAAGGAAAATAAAAATTTTAGTATTTTTGTTGACTTACCCCTTTGAATCGTTGGTGAAAGAATGTGGTGGTTAGTTGATGATCTGGTTCTTCAAGCCTCTTGTGGAATTAAAAATTCTTACTTAAAACTAGACTTACATTGTTTTTTTCCTAGCTAATACATAATTACATTTTTTGGTTTTACAATCCCTAGCTAAATAATTTTTTTTGTTATTCTAAATTTTACAAAATATTTGTTACAAACGATGATAAACACTCTAATACAAAAAGAGCTAAATACTTAATTTTTCGAAGATTTTCCGGTCACTTTTAAGTCTTCTTTCTCTTTGTATCTTCACCGATCACTCGTCGAGAAGAATAATGTTTCTGCAAAAAAATAAAATACAAATTGTTAAAGTTAATTCCTTCTGTTTTTGTTTCATAAAAGAAAGTAATAAAAGAAGACTAGGGACCAGTAGAAGAAAGAAAGCTGGTCAATAAAGTGTCCATTATTGACCTAGGGTAATAATGTGTACTTTATTGCCCTAGGGTAATCAAGGGTACTTTATTTATACCTGCGAGCGGTCAATAAAGTACACCTTTTTTTCCCGAGGGTAAACAAGGGTACTTTATTTACCAGTGTTATAAGGACAGAAAAAAAAATTATTCAAAAGCATAAAAAAATTACATTAACATTACAGGTAAATATATCTAGATTTTAAAAATAAAAAATAAACTTTCTTAAAATTAAAAAAAAATTACATGTGCACATGTCACAAAATGGGGTTACCCGTTTTTATTATTTTTTATAAAATTACATTATAAATAAATTAAATTTTTTTTAAAAAAATCACATGTGCTCTTGTGATTTTTTAAAAAAAATTTAATTTAATTTATTTATAATGTAATTTTAATAAAGATAAAAACATAACCTAACTTTGTGACATGTGATTTTTCTAAAAAAAAAAATTTAATTTATAATGCATTTTTATAAAAAATAAAAAAAGACAATCTTACTTTGTAACATGTGATTTAAAAAAAACAATTTTGTTAATATATTTTCTAAATAAAATATTATTTCAATTAAAAGAATTATTAATGTAAAATGAAGAATAAATTTAAATGCAGTTGCAAATATCACAGCTTTTATAAACAGAAACTGTATAATGAAACTATATCCGTTAAATCTATTATAAAAAACAAAATAAAATTATAAAATATTTATAATAAAATAGAAATAAAATTCTATTTAAAATATAATTAAAAGATAAAATTTTAAATATATATTGTAGTGTTCTATAATTAAAATAAATTAACAAATATTAATATATATGATAATATAAAAATAAAAAATATTTAAAAAATAAAAAAATGCAAGTAAAAAAATAAATGAACAAATAAAGAAACAATACAAAAATAAAATTTCTAAGTTCAAAAAGTAATGAATAAAATATAATATGCAATTCATTTGACTTACCCTTTTTCTGTTGAAAAATTATTGCGTTGAAGATGGAGTTCCAGAAGGATTCGTTTTCTTAAACGTTGATAAAACTACTTTGATGTACACCTCTCCGCTGCCAGTCGATGAATGCCTTGCGGACCGTAAGAACTGCTTATAAAAGGAAGCCATGCGCCAGAGTGGGGATAATGAGAGAGAGGGAGAAACCGCAGTGTCTTCTTCTCCCTCCCTTAGTCCCCTCTCCTACGATCCTTTTCTCCCCAGCAACACTCTTCAAATCTTGATACAATGGTGTAGCCACGCCCATTTTTTTCTACGTCTTTAAATTCAATTTTAATTAATTTAAAAAAAAAACAAAAAAATATAGTCATAAATTAAAACACACTAATTAATTGAATTTTAATAAAATCAAAAGACTTCTACCGTTAGATAAAAAATATCACTATTAAATTAGGAGTCGTCCATAAACCACGTGGCCACATTTTTTTTGAAAATTTCAAAAAAAAATTTCACCCATTTTAAACTTTTGAAGTTCCACGTGGTTTATAAAAGACCCCTTATATATTTATAATTAAACAATTAAAAATAGTTATTTAAATATAATTAAATTTACTCACTCATATTTTTTTAAATTCACTGTAGTTGTATCAGCATATCACAAAAATTATTATTAACTAAATAATATTCACAATTTTACACATTTCACTATAATTTGCTGGCTTATACCTGCGAAGTAGCAATTAGAGTGAAGAATACAGTAAATTCAAATTTTAATTCTCTCTCTCTCTCTCTTACTTTTGTGCGTTGCCAGGCAACTCTTGCAGGTAGGCAACCATCAAGCTGCCTGTCCCCCCACCTCTCCTTACAATGTATTAATTTCTAACGGAAAAATTCGTTGGGGAAAATTCCAAGAACGTAAACAAAAGAAAGGTTTAGGGATAATAAAAGCCAGTGAGGGATTATTGTAAATTGTAAACAATTTTCAAATTTTCTTATACTTTGCTCAATTACTTTTAATTATCTATCAATATACCGGGTAGTCATTAAAATTTAGAAATAAAATTTAAGTTTTTTTTAATAAAAAGATTTTTTAATTAAAAAGCTATGATTTTTTTTCTAAATTACAACAAAACTAAAAATCAACTTTAAAATATATATAGGGTGGTCATTAAAATTTTTCGAATAAAATTCAAGTTTTATTTGTAAATCAAAATTTTCTATTTTATAACAATCGAACAGAGAGATTATTAAATATTATACGGGGTGGTTCTTAAATTTTATAGGGAAAAAAAAATTTTTTATAAATTAAATTGGAGTTTGGAAAATTTTCAATTTTATAACAATAGAAAAATTATATATGTATACAAGGTGTGTTCATTTAAATTTTTGTAAAAGAATAAGTGTTTTTTTTAATTAAAAAAAACTTTGAAAGTTTTACAAAATACAATAATAATAATAAGAAATATTAATTTATATACAGGGTGGTCATTAAAATTTCTTAACAAAATTTAAGGTTTTTTAATAAATTAAAAATAAATTTCTGAAAATTTAACTATTTTCTAACAATAAAACAAAGACAAATAAATTTTCATAATATACGGGGTGGTCATTAAAATTTGTGAATAAAATATTAAAGGTTTCTAAAAAAAAATAAATTAATTAAATAAATAAATAAAAAATAAATAAATATAAAATAATATAATAATAATATATAATAATAATATAATATTTATTTTTTAAATTGAAGAGAAATTTTGAAAGTTTTTATTGTTATTACAAAAATAGTAAATTTAAATTTATATACAGGGTGCTCTTTAAAATTTTTCAAAAGAAAATTAAAGTTTTATTTCTAAATTGAAAATAAACATTGAAAATTTGTTATTTTATAACAATAGAACAGAGACTATAGAATATTATACGGGGTGGTCATTAAATTTTATAAGTAAAATAAAATTTGTTTACTAATTAAATTGAAAACTTAAAAACTTTCTATTTTACAACAATAGAAAAAATAAATTTGAATATATATATATATATATATATATATATATATATATATATATATATATATATATATATACAGGGTGTATTCATTTGAATTTGGTAAAAGAATGTAAGTGTTTTTTTAATTAAAAAAAAATTTGAAAGTTTTATATATTACGATAATAATAATAAATATAAATTTATATACAGGGTGGTGAATAAAATTTCTTCAAAAATTTATCGTTTTCTAATAAATTAAACATAAATTTTTCAAAATTTTCTACTTTGCAACAAAAGAACAAAGAAAAATAAATTTTCATAATAACGGGGTGGTCATTAAAAGTTGTGAATAAAATATTAAAGGTTTTTCTTTTAAATTGAAAAGAAACTTTGAAAGTTTTTTATATTATTACAAAAATAGTAAAAATAAATTTGAATTTATATATAGGGTGGTCATTAAATTTTGAGAATGATATTAAAGGATTTTTTAAAAATTGATTTACCCCAGAGAATCACTGTAAAAATCTCCATCTCTAAGAAGTAAATAATCTTTTTTGGGCCCTAGGGAGTAAAGTAGCATTTTTCAACCCCATAGAGTAAAGTTAAGCCAATTTACCAATGCTATGGTACTACTTACAATACTTAAAACCGATATTACTTACCATTATTGAAAAAAGCGTTTTTTTATATTGTAATCTTAACTATTTAGTGTATATTAATATTTAGAAAATAAAACACATAAAAAAATTTAATAAATAAAAAAAGTATGAATATTTTTTTATCCTACCTTTAACTTTTCGTAGATGAATGTCGGCATTTTGCTGGTCACGCAAAAGAGGATGAAAGAAGGTATAGACAAGATCGCTTTGCGATATTTCAGGCGCCATTTTAAAGAGACTTAGAAGGAATTTTTCAATGTCTGCCCGACGTTTGTCCGCTACTTGTTTTATGTTTGATCTACCAACGCTCATTCCGCTCGATAAACTGAAAAAATAAAATATCATTTTAATATTAACAAACATAGCATTAATATTAAACAATAAAAAAAATATAATAAAAATTTAATCTTTTTTGAAATTTTTTTAAAAAATATTTTACATCTTTTTTATCACCATTGAGAAAATATATTTTTATAATATATTTATAAAAATTTGTAATATAATATTAAAAGAAAATTACCGGTCATGAATTAATTTTTTCGGAGATAAAGAAAAACTCAAAAATTATTTAAAATTTCAATTAAATTATTTTCTAGAAAAATTAACTAAAATTCTTTTTTTATTCAACGATCTTTAATATTTTTGAGACAGTTCCTTAAAAATTCATATATTTCAAAAGAAATTAACCTAAAACTAAAATATTTCTAAAATCCACTTGAGAATTACTTTTTGTAATTTTTGTAAATTTTTGTAATTTTGAATCTGAAATAATTTAATTTTGTATTTGCTTAGAGTTTTATTAAAATATTGGAAAATAATTGAATTATTTTAAAGAATTTTATAGAAATTTTGTGAAAATAATTAAATTTTTTTTGAGGAATTTAATTAAAATTCTATTAAAAATAATTGAAGTCTTGCAAATTTTTTCGACGAATTTAATTAAAATTGCATTGAAAATAAATAATTGAATCTTGTGTGAAGCATTTTATTAAATTATATTTAATAAACAAAGATATAAAAATAATTAATTTCTTGATAGGAATTTAATTGAAATTGTATTGAAAATAATTAAATTCTTACATATCTAGAATTTTATCAAAATTTTTGAAAAGAAATTGAAATCTTTCGAGGAATTCAATAAAAATTGTATTAAAAATAATCAAAATTTTTTAAAGTAATTAATTTTTTCCAAGAATGTTATTAAAAAATTTTTATCATAATTCAATTCTTTCTAGAAATATTGTTAAAATTGTTTTGAAAATAATTGAATTCTTACGGTAAATAGTTGTTGGAAATATAAAGACTTTAAAATTAATTAATTTATTTATTTATTAAATTTATTAAATTGAATATTTTCTTTTTTTAAAAGCTGTTCGATTGGACAACAAAATAATAATAATAATAATAATAAAGTCAATAAACAATAATAATAAAGTCTAAAAATAAATTAATATATTTTTAATAAAATTTAAAAAATCCGGGCGTTATCGACCAAATAATTTTTAAATCCAGATAAAATCGAAATTAGCAAAAGATTAGATTACACTTGTAGAGAAGACATATCCAAAGTTATTAAAGGAATCAATTTTGTCCGATAAGATAAGTGGACTATATTGATTTTTTTTTTTTTTGTGCAAAAAGCAACAAAAAAAAGTGAAGAGAGAAATAAAACAAAGAGGAAAAATAACGAAGAATAAAAGTAAAGTCTCATTTAAAATATGAAAATTTTCGGTCTACTGTAGTTTTACTTCATTTAATATTTTAAAAAAGTGAACTATTGCCGAGAAAATATTTTAAAACGGTCAAATAAATAAAACAATAGTTTATAGAAAACGATAGTTTATAAAAAAGAATATTTATAAAAAAAACAATAGTTTTAAAAAAATATATTTCCAATAATGGGATCAACCAGTTCACATTTGGAAATGACAAAAACAAGCAAAGACAAAAAACAAATGTGGAATCCTGAATTTTATCGTCCTTACAATGATCTCGAGAGAACGAAAAATTTTTCATCACGAAAGTAAGACGCATTTTAATATAATTATTTTCATTTAATTATTTTTCTTTTTGTTTTTATTACTATTTCATTTTTTTTAACCTTTTTTTTACTTTTGCCACTTATTTATTTTATTATTATTATTATTATTACTATTATTATTGCTGTTTTTATTTTATTACTTCAATCTTTTCACTATTATTGCAATTTTTTATTCAGTATTTTTATAATTATTTTAATACTTTCCTATTTACTTTTGGAATATTTATTATTTTTTTTATTAATATTATTATTACAATTGCAATTGTTTGGTTATTACAAAGATTTTTTTATTATTAATACTGCTACTACTTTTAAAAAATTTCTTTCAATATTAATATCACAGTATTATTTGAATTTTTAGTTATTTATTTCATTACTGATTTTTTGTTACAATAATGACAACAATAAAAATAAAATTCAAATAAAAATTTATCCAAAAAGATAATATTCATATTTTCCATAATAATTATTATATTTTCTGGCCTAAAATTTTTTTGGTATTTAATGAATTTTTTTTACGTAACAGAAACACAAGAGAAGACGTTAGAACGGAAGAAAATCGAACAAGAATTTGAATTGGATTATAAAAGAAATTTCCCTCTGTTAATAAAATAGAATATTCAAGTTTTTACTTTTTTTTTCTAAATTATAAAACAAAATGTAATAAAAAAAAGAATTCTAATATATGCTGTTCTTTTTTTCTCTCTCTTTTTTTCTAAATTTCTATAATTAATATTCTAACCTGACAACTTTGTTATTTATTTCCTGTTTTAAAAAATGTAAAATTTTATTTTTGACAAATTTTGGCAATTTTTTTCTTTCTTTTCAAAATCAAATTCTTAAAAAAAAATCTTACCTGACTATTTGGATAATATTTTCTTCTTTGGTTTGAAATTTTATTTTTGACAAATTTTGGCAATTTTTTTCTTTCTTTTCAAAATCAAATTCTTATAAAAAATTTTACCTGACAATTTTGATAATATTTTCTTCTTTGGTTTGAGATTTTATTTTTGAACAAATTTGGCAATTCGTTTCTTTCTTTTCTAAATATTTTTTTAAATTAAAATCTTGAAAAAATCTCACCTGACAACTTTGGCAAGTGGAAAATGAATGCAAAGTTTTTGATAAAACTCGCAAAATTCTTTGTAAGTCCGAAATAGATAGGCCGGATCTGCTTGGCCCTTTCTCTGTATCCTGAGAATGTACATGTAATATTTTTCTGGATCGTAACGTTTCTGATATCCATGAACTTGTACACTTGTTAATTGACCCTCTTGTTGCATTCTAAAGGAAAACGAAAATAATAAAACAATTAGAAAAATCAAACTTTATTAAAAAAAAGTTTTAAAACTTCAAATTTTCCTTTTTCTATATTCATCAATATGATTTCATTAAAAATTTTATAAAAAATATTTAACTTCCAAACAAATTACTTCAAAGATTTTAATAACATTTTTTAAAAATAATTTAATTCTATTAAGAAATTTAATTAAAATTGTATTCAAAATAATGTGACTCATTGAATTAAAATTGAATTTTAAAATAAAAATTTTAAATATAATTAAAAACTTTACAGAGAAATTTTATATAAAGATATCAAAATAATTCAATTCTTAACAGGAATTTAGATAATTGAAATATTGTATTGAAAATAATTAAATTTTTACATAGAACTTTATCAAAATTTATTAAAGGAAATTTAAATCTTTCGAGAAATTCATAAAAATTGTATTAAAAATAATTAAAATTTAAAAAAAAAATGTTTTTCAAAATTTTCGAATGTAATTAAACTTTTTCCAAGAATTTTATTAAAAAATTTTTTAACATTAATTCAATTATTTCTAGAAATTTTATTAAAATTATTTTTAACATAATTCAATTCATTCTAGAAATATTATTAAAATTGTTTTGAAAGTAATAAAAATTTTAAAAAGAATTCTATCAAAATTTTCGAAAATAATTCAATTTATTCCAAGAATTTTATTGAAAATTTTTTAACATAATTCAATTATTTCAAAATATTTTAATAAAATTGTTTTTAAATAATTGAATTCTTTTAGAATTTATAAAAATTTTCAAAAATATTTGAATTAATTAGAAAAAGTTTAATTAAAATTTTTTTAAATAATTGAATTTTTTGCGAAATTTTATTAAAATTTTTGAAAATGATTGAATTGTTTGAAAGAACAAATTTTACTATAATTTCTTTTACAAATTTTGCTAAATTTGTAACAAAATAATTGAATTATTGAGAATAATTTTATTATTTAGGAAAAGAATTGAATTTTTTTACCGAATAATTTAAAATTTTTAAAATTTATTGAATTATTTCCAACAGTTTTCTTAAAACTTTTTTAAATAATTGAATTTTTCAAAAAAATATTATTAAAATTGTATAAAAAGTAATTAAAATTTTAAAAACAAATTTATAAAAATTTTCGAAAATAATTAAATTTATTCCAAGAATTTCATTGAAAATGTTTTCACATAATTCAATTATTTCAAGAATTTTTATTAAAATTGTATTGAAAATAATTGAATCACTACATAGAAATGTATTATATTTAAAAATAATTAAATTGTTTTAAAGAATTTCATTAAAATTAATTAAATTCTGCCAAGAAATATAATTTTTTAAAAATTGACAAAATTCAATTCTAATAAACAAATTTTATCAAAATGTTTGAATTTTGAAAAATTGAATTAAAATTGTATTAGAAAAAATTGATTTCTTTCGTGAAATTTGACAAAATTCTATCAAAATAATTGAATTACTACAACAAAATTTATTATTTAAAAAAATAATTTAATTTTTTTGCAAAATGTTTTTCATTTTAGAAAGTTCATTGAATTATTTCTATTTCATAAAATTTTTTGAAAATAATATAATTTTTCTAGAAATTTTATTAAAATTGTATTAAAAATAATTTGAATCTAAGAAATTTGCTATTTTTTAATATAATTCAATTTTATTGTTTCGAGGAATTTCAGTAAAATTTATTAAATTCTTCGAAAAAATATAAATAAAAAGAAATTCAAAATAATTCCAGTGAGCAATTTTTTTCAAAATTTTTGAAAATAATAGAAGTCTTTGGAAAAATTTTATTAAAATTCAATTGAAAATAATCAAATTCCTGTAAAGGAATTTTTAATTTATTTTTAGTTTTTTTATTTATAAAAATAAAAAAACTTGGAAAAATACAAATTCAATTGTTTCGACGAAAATTTAAAAATTCTTCCCAGAAATATAAAAAATTGAAATTTGCATCATAATAAATTACCTAAATAAATTAAAAAATAAAATTTTGCTTTTGTAATAATAATTAAAAATAAAAAATCAACTTACGTGTAAGTTCGTGGAATAAATGACAAGAGTTCACCGTCATTTTGCTCGCCGGAGAATCGTAGCTGCGCCAAATTGTGCAAGAAAAAATTGAATTGAGTGAACCAACTTTTCAATGAACTCTCAATCATTCGTGCAAATGTTGCTGCAGCCTCGGGATTTGTTTGTCCAGGAAGCAATGCCTTTTGCACATAACTCACAGCATCCATTGTGACACCAGGAATTCCCGACGATGTCATCTGTAAATTAACGTATTCACTTGTCGTTAAATTCACATAATTCTTCTGCATTGCAAAACCATCAACATCATCATCATTATCACATTTTTCGTTCAATTTCATTTTTTTCGTCTCGCTATTACTATTAGTATTATTATTTTTCACATAAAAACCCTCATAGGCGTTGTACTTTCGAAATTTTATTAACCGCGCCATTTTATTATTTAAAAAGTTTTCTTTTTATTTCTGTACTTTGGAAAAAAATTATCCCCGCACTTTTAATTTTATTTTTATTATTTCACTTTATAATTTTCTTTATAATTTTTCTTTTTTCTTTTACTTTTAAATTTTTACTTTTATTTCTGAATTTTGTTTCTACTTCTGTTTTTTGATTTTATTTTACAATTTTGATAGTATTTTTATTTTTCACTTTCCATTTTTAAATTTTATTTTCACTTTTGCTCCTACTTTTATTTTTTAATTTTATTTTCACTTTTATTTTTAAATTTTGTTTCCAACTTTATTATCCTAATTTTTCAAATTTATTTCTACTTTTATTTTACAATTTTTGTAGTAATTTTATTTATCAATTTAGTTTTTATTTTCGTTTTTTGATTTCACTTTTACTTTTATTTTACAATTTTGGTTTTAATTTTATTTATCAATTTTGTTTATATTTTCGTTTTTCGATTTTACTTTTATTTTTCAATTTGGATTTTACATTAGTTTTTTTAATTTCGTTTTGATATTTTTTTTTACAGTTTTATATTTGACAATTTAGCTCGTGTTTCAAATTATTTAACGCAGTATAACAAAAGTATGCAACGAGACTATTTAGATTCTCTAAAATGGGGTTGGGATATGAAAATATGTATTCGTTTGGGGAGCGATAGTGCCAACCGCAGACTGATAAAATTTCCGATAAATTCTTCCGCCGTTTTGTTTCATTGCTGTTTTTTTCTTTCTCTTTTTCAATTATTACATTTCTTCAATCAAGCATTTCAATTCGTAAAATTTACTTTCAATTTTTTAATTGTAAATATTGTTAATTCTTTTCATAATTAATATTTAAAAAATATTTACTTTCTTTAATTATTAATTTTTTTCCTGAGTAGTTTTATAATAATTTGAAATTTTGAATACTATCAAACAAAAGAAAAAGATAAAAAGGAGGAAATCCTTTCTTATCATTTTCTTTTGTTTGGATAGTTTTTATTTACTTGCATGAAATTTTGTTTATTTCTTAGTTGTCTTCTTATTTTTCTTTTTTGAACGTAATATTTAAATTTAATATTGAGAAAAAAAGGAAATAATTACTTACCAATCCAAACAAGTGGAGAATCAAATTTCCGTGTTTTCGAACAACATTAAAAGCCTGGCAACATAAATCCACAAAATGATGGAATTTCGCAGACGGTTTATCGCCACCGTTAATCACATAAGCCATGTCCGAAGTTAAAACAAACGGTGTTCGGTCGCTGAAAATAATTTTTAAATAATTATTATAATAAAAAAAAATAATAATTCTATTTTATTAATACAAAATACGGTTAATGTTATTTATTTTATAAGAAAAACTAAATTTTCTTAAAATTCTTTTGGAAATATTGGAATTTTTTAGAAAAAATTTACTCAATTTTTTTAAGTCATTGATTTTTTTAGAAAAATTTTACTAAAAAATTTATTTTTTTAATGATATTGAATTCTTTCGAACTATTTTAATATACGAAAATAATTCAATTTTCACGACAAATTTTATTAAAATCTTTGAAAATAATTGAATTCCTATGAAAATTTCATTATTTATAAAAAAAAAATTAATTCTTGTGAAGAAATTTGTTATGTATTTACGAAAGTAATTTAATTCTTTTGCGAAATTCTATAAAATTTTATTAAAATAATTGAATTACTGACAAAAATTTTGTTTTTTATGAAAAGAATTGAATTCTTTAGTGAAACATTTTAAAATTTAGAAAAAAAATTAATTCTTGTGAAGAATTTTATTATTTACAAAAATAGTTAAATTCTTTCGATAAAATTTAATTGAAAATAGTTTAATTCTTGCGAAGAATTTAATTATTTATAAAAATAACTGATTTCTTGACAAGAATTTTATTAAAAAATTCCACTAAAAATAATTGAATCGTTTCGGAAAAATGGTATTAAACTATTGAAAGTGATAAATAATAATACTTAAATAGTTATTAATTAATTCAATAAGTGAATTTTTTTTTGAATTTTGAATCTGAAATTATTTAAAAATTAAACTTTAAATATTTAAAAATAAAAATTTGTTAATTTGCACAATAATAAAAAAATTAAACACCGTGTTTCGCGCGGTGTAATAATATTCAAAATACCTACAAAAAAAATTGATAGTTGTAATTAAGAAAGACTTACCGTTTGAAATTGCCGAACATTTGCGCGTCGCCCAGAAATTTACCAAAATCAATGTGAAACAAATGTCCCGATGTTTTGAGCATAATATTATCATTGTGCCTATCACAGATTCCCAATATATAAGTTGCGACACTATAGCCAGCGCACGATGCAGTAAAATTTTCCACCGCCCGCTCATATTCCAATTCGGAGGGATTGTGCTTAGCGAGCCATTCGGCAATTGGTCGATCCTTAAATGACCCAGTGAGTCCAAATTCAACTTGAATTTTCCTCAATGTCTCGGCGTTTGAGACCATTTCGATCATTCCACGTTTATTGCCCGTTGGCACGCAGGCGAATGTAACCATTTTCAAATCGAGACCCTCCTTTAACCAAAGTTTATCCATTATCCGCACCATTTGCAGTGTCAACATGTCTTGCTGCAAATCATCTCCAACCTGTGATGACAGAAAAAAATATATCAATTTAAATTCGAATTGTCAATCAATTTTTTTTAGAATTTTTAGAATTTTTCCATTTTTCAAATTTTCAAATTTTCAAATTTTCAAATTTTAATATTAATGAAAGAATATTTTTTCACTTAAATTTTAATAATGTAAAATTTAGAAAAACGAAATATTTATTTATTTATTTATGAACTTTAATTGATGTAAATTTAAAAAAAAACAATTTAATTAAAATAAAGAAGGAAAAATTTACCTTGAAAATTGCAGGACTGAGAACATCGTCGCAGGAGAGAAAATTGATTTTCAATGGAAGTGTGAAGGAAGGAAAATAGGAGCAAGTTTGCACGTTTATTCCAAAGACTTGTCGACTTGGCGAGAGTGGTAAACAAGTGCCGTCATTATCAGCTAGTTGACCATTAATATTTTGTAATCCTAATTTTAACGTGTCCATTCTTAACGATTCTTTGGTATTTTTTATGTTCTCTGCCACTTCGTGGAGATTCTAAGAAAAAAGAAAGAAAAAGTTTTTAACAATTTTCCAATTTTTTTAATTAACTCAATAGTTTAGAAAATATATTTAAAAATATTCCACTTTAAACACAAAAATAAAAAATTTACTTTACTAAAATTAATAAATAAAAATAGAAGAGTAAGTAATTAGAAACAAAAAATAAATTAGTAACTAATAAATCTAAATAAAATTTCTATAAAATATAATTTTGATTTGTTAAAAAATTTATTCTTTTACTTACTTTCACTAAACATTGTTGAGTAAGAAAACTATTCCTCAGAGATTCACCAATCACAGCTAAGAGTGCTCGCAACATAAGTTGCAATCGTCTATAATATCGAGCGAGACAAAGACTTTTATCATCATCTAAAGACGTCTCTGCGGAATTCTGCAAAAAAAAAAACAATTTTTTACGTAGTAAAATTTATCCATGACGAGTTTTTCATCTCTGAAACCTCTTAAAATTGTCGATAAAATAGAAAAAAATTCACATTTAAAAAGAGAATAGAAAACTAAAATAAAAATAAAAAAATAATAATTAAAAGAAGTAGAAAATAGTTTTAAAAAATAAAAAAAATATTTAGAAAAATTAATAAAAAAAATAATGTAAAATATATTGATGAAAAAAATTATAAAAATAATTTTAAAAAATGTTGATAAAAATGGATAAAATACCTGAGGACTTAATCCAGGTAGAGCTTGTGTAAGTAGCCAGTAAATATGATGAGCCACTCTTGGAGAAAGTAAAGTTCTTTCGAGTAAAAATTTTGCGAGATGACTCGCTTCATAAGTTTCGTGTTTCAATGCCTGTAAAAGTTGTGGTAAATAATCGACAAGCTCGTCGTTACTCAATTCTCGTATCCAACTTATCGCCATCTCTCTAACTTTCATATCCGGAAAACTGTATCAAAAAAAAGTAAATAATAGAAGATTAAAAAATTTACAATTATTCCTTTTTTAAAATTATGAAAAAAGTACATTTTTCTCAAAATAAGTATTTTTTTTTGCAAATAATTCAAGTAATTCTTTCAAATATGGATTTTATTATTATTAATCATTTCTAGTCAGATTTTCAATCAGAAAAAATAAATATTTTCCTTTCGAATAAATTCCATTTTTAAACGAATATCCATTTTTTTCGAATAAATTTTATTTGACTTTTTGAAGAAGATTTTTATTCTCACCATGGAAGAAGTAATTGGAGAGCCTGAACTGGAGGCAATGGTGTCCAGACTCGCAGCGAGGCGTGCAAATCCGGAAGACAGGCCCAATCCCAACTGTGAGCGGCGAGCAATATTTTTGGTAGAGCTTCCGGACGATCGTGCAAATAATGACGCTTTTCCCAAAGAATTTCCCTTTCGTCAACAGGAGGTCTAAACAATTTTTAAAAATATTAATAATCTAGACTTTTAAAAAGATGTAAAACATAATTTTTTAGCATTAAGGAAATAAATTCTATTCTATTCTAATAAAAATACAAAAAAATACCCTGAACTAAATAAAATTATCATCTAATCTTTCAATTAAGTAGTAACAATTTTTTTTTTTGCTAATATTTCAAACGTTATCTCACCTAGAAAAAGTGTCTTGCTGTGTAATATCGAGTAACAATTCCTGCGTATTTTGATCAAGGGAATTGAAATCAAGAGATTCAATATCATGATCGCGAAGTTCAGACGGAAATAGAACTTTCCCTCCATAATCGGGAAGTTCTAATCCAACTATCGGATGAGTATCACCGTGGGGATGAATTCCAGGCGCTGGTGCCGGTCCCAATCGTTTGTCGGCCGATGCCGGCCACAGGGACAGAAAGAAGCTTCCTTGACTCATTGCACTGTAAAAAGAAAAATTGTTTATAATTTACTCAATAAATTAATTACTTTTAAAAAATCCAACTAAAAGAACTTTTAAAAATCTCTTTTTTAATTACTAACAATTGTTTTTTTAAATTATTAAAAAAAGATTTAAAAACCATCCCGCTTACCCATCATAATCGTAGAATTGAATTGCTCCCCAACCGAGTTCTTCTTTTTGCATTGCACCTTCATTAGAAGAATTATTTTCATGTTCCGTTGGTTGTAATGTACGACCATAAAGAACAAGAACTAATCTTGCTTCCCTTGGAACTTGACAAACACTAATTCCTCGGAATTCCATCCTGAAAATTAAATAAAAGTCACTTATTAATTAATTAACTAATTATCTATCTATTACTATTTAATTTTTCCAAAAAGTTTAATAAAATTCTTCAAAAAAAAATTTCAATTATTCTCATAAGACTTTATAATTTAATTGTACATTGAATAAGATATAGAAATAATTAGAAATTAAAAGATAAGTTTTTTCTCACCATGAATTGAATAATATTCTTTTATAGAAATTCGAGCTAACTGTCATTGGTTCCGAGAGAACAGGATTTCCCACTGGACGTGTCCCATGAAATATTTGAGCAGCGACAATATAATCGTCATGATTCCACGTTGCCGGTATTCTGTGAAATGCTCCAACGCGCACGAGAACTGTATCGAGCACTTCTGACGAAACCAAAGTATCTGCATTCGAAAAATTCGTAAAACAAAAATTAGTCAATTACACAGATTAAAAAAAATACACAAACTGAAAAATTCAATCCAGATAATTTTAAAAAAAATTTCAATTGAGATATAAATCAATTAATAAACAAATTTCAATCGAAATGAAGCAAACAAACAAAAAAAAACATGCCAAATACATCAAATAATAGAAAAAAAATTCAATTGAAATAAATCGAAGTAAAAAAATAGTTTAAATTAATAATTTAAAAATAACAATTTAACTGTTTAGATATAAATAATTTAAGAATTTGTTTTTGCCTACTTGTGGGAAATTCTCCTCGACTAGTTAATTGAAAATCAACTCTAAATGCGTGACAGTATGTTTCAACTAAATCTTGAATAGCGTCACGAATCTTATGACAGTGCGATGAAATGAGTTCGGGAAATTTTGTGCGCAGCGTTACCACCGAATAATCGCCGTCCTCATGTAGAATTTCAGGATTTTTACATTCAATATTTGTCGTGTGCACTTGCGGTAGAAATTTACAGCAAGCATTGACAAAATTATCAACGGCCTCTGTTATTTCATATGTCTCAATATTTCCCATTAATACACAAACTGCCTTCACCGCTTGAACAACACTTCGCGGCTGTAATTGTGGCAATAAACTCGTGCCATGATTTGTCGTTGCTATTTGTACTGCAGCATTTTCAATTCTCTCCAATTCCTTTTCGACCGTTTCTACAACAGAAAATAGAAAATTTATTACTATGTTAAAATTATGACAGAAAAAAAATATTTTTTACTAGGAAAATTATCACTGAACAAACATTTATTACAAAGAAAATTATGATTAAAACAATAGCTATTTGAAAATTATTTCTAAAAGAAATATTAATTACTAAGAAAATTATTTCTGAAAATATTTATTACTAGGAGGAAAATTACGAAGGCTTCGCACTCATCTTTCCATAAGATTTTGCAAAAGAATTCAATTATTTAAAAAACAATTGATAAAATTCATCCAAAATTCAAATATTCAAATAATAAAACTCGTCGAAGAATTTCAATTATTTTTAATACTTTTTTAAATTAATTAATCGAAAAAATCAATTATTTTCATAAATAATAAAGTTTTCAATAAGAATTCAATTATTTGAATAAATTTTGATAAAATTTTTGTCAAAAATTCAATTATTTTCATAATTTATAAAATTGTTCTCAGGAATTCAATTATTTTTCAAAACTTAAAAAGAATTTGTTACAAGAATTCAATTATTTTCATAAATAATAAAATTCTTCTCAGAAATTCAATTATTTTTGAAAATTTTAATAAAATTCTTTGCAACTATTCAATTATTTTCATAAATAATAAAATTCATCTGCCTGTTTTCAATTATTTTTAATATACAATTTTACAGGAATTGCTTAAGAAATGTAATTAGTCTTTAAATTTTAATTTCAATTCCTCGACAAAAACAATTATTTGAAAATATGTTTTTTTCTAAATTCTTTGTAAGAATTCAATTATTTACAAAAATATTAGAATTTTTCACAGGAATTCAATTACTTTCAAATATTTTAATAAAATTGTTCGAAAGAAATCAATTATTTTAAATACAATTTTAATTCAATTTTTTTGAAATTATTCAATTACCTATTCGTTTAGATTTTAATAAAATTCTTCCCGACAATTCAATTATTTTGAGGCATTTTAATAAAATTCTTTCTAAGAATTCAATTATTTTTATAAATAACATTATTCATCACAAGAATTAAATTATTTTTAAAAGTAATGAATTTCTTCTTGAGATTCAATTATTTTAGAAAAATCTAATAAAATCGTTCGCAAGAATTCAATTATTGTCAAAAATTTTAATTGACATCTTTGTAAAATTTAATTATTTTGAAAAACTTTTCGCATATTAATGATTTTCAATATCTACTATTTTCATAAAATTTCCAAACAGAAGTCAATATTTAAAATTTTTTTGAAAAAATCTTGGTAAGAATTCAATTTTTTTCATGGATTGGATAAGAAAAATTTCTCAGGAATTCAATTATTTAAATTAGAATTTGTATTAAATTAGTCAAAAAATCAATTATTTAAAAATTTTTAAAAAATTCTTCGCAAGAATTAAATTATTTTTACAAATATTTAAATTCTTTCATGAATAATAAAATTCGTTTGCAGAAATTTAATTTATTGGCAGGATAAGAAAATTGAAATCTGGGAAAGAATTTAAAAAAAAAATTTGTTGGAAATAATTGAATTGTTTCGAGGAATTTGAATTGAATTTCTTTTGTTGATATTTATTAAAAATCGTAAAAATAATTGAATTTTTTCTAGCAATTCAATTAGATTTCTATTTAAAATAATTCAATTCTGTTAAGAAATTTTGTTCAAATTTTATTGAAAATAATTTAATTTCTACGAAGAATTTTATTAGTTATGAAAATAATTCAATTTGAAGTTGATATTTAAAATAAAAGTCTGATTACTAAAAAAAAATCTATTACAATTTGAAAATTATTACTACGAAAATTGTTACTAAAAAAATATTAAAATATTAAAAATACTATGAAAATAATCAATAAAAAATATTTTTATTATTAAAACTTGTTGAAAAGAAACAAAAGGTGTGGAACTAATTCCTTGATAATTTTTTAATTATTAAGAAATTATTTTTGAGGAGTTAAATAAATTCGAAATATTGTTAAACACTGAGAAAAAATATGAATAAAGTAGAATTTTTGTTTGTATTCAAAAAATACTCACCAAGTAAAATAAGAAGAGTATCGTAAGAAATAGGTTGAAGCGGTTCATTCGGTAATAAATCTTCCAAAGTAACACACAGATCTCGATTATCGTCTTGCAGCTGTAAATAAAATTACAAAAACTTTTAGCAATTGTGAATATTAATAATTAATAATTAATGGAATCGTAAATAAATAAATATTAAAGAAATTAAATAAATAATAAAAATAAATAAAGAAAGTAAATAATTAATAAAGAAATTAAGTGAATAACAAGGTGAATAATAGAGAAAGTAAATAAATAATAAAGTAATAAATAAAGAAAGTAAAAAGATAATAAGAAAAATAAGTGAATAATAAAGTAAATAAATAAATAACATAATAAATAAATGATCATTGAAAAAAAAATAGAAATACTTTTTCTATTTTTTTTTTTAATCAAAGAATAAAATTGCAATTAAAATTCTCTTCCGTTAATAAACAAATACTCACTGTCCTGGCGATTGACTGCTTTATTTGATCGCGTACCATTATTGCTAATTCAATATCCTTCTCTAATTTAATGCACTGATGAATGTATTCGTACTGAGCTAATGTTGTATTCGGTGCGAGAAATTCAGACAAACCCCAAACTCTCAAACAATAAATATTGTTCTCCATATTTACTGTATTATCTTCATCCAACGAACAAGCTACAGTGAATATGACATGTTCGATACTACTATTAACTGAAAACAAAGAATAATTCAAATATTAAACAACTGCTTAATGAAAAATTACAAATAAACCATTTGCTAAACAGATTTAATAAAAATTTAATTTTAATTTTTTTGGTAATCAAAAAAACGTTTTTTCTTTTCAATTAAAAAAATTTTTTAAATTCAATTAAAAAAAATTTCGATAAATAATAAACTCACCATCACAGGTAAACGTTACGGACGGAAGTGGATCTTTCGAGTCACCAGATATTTGCGAATGTACAACGAGCTTTATACTCGTCCCTTCGGGATATAAATTTTCCATTATTGGACTAATCACGTGACCGATATTTGTACTTGGATTATTGAACGGAAATTCCCCTGCAAAAAAACAATAATTATTAAAAAAAAAAAAAGAAACGTTAAAAAATTCTAGATTATATTTATGATGTTTCGGTTGTTTGGATTTAGAAAATTTTAGTTTAGATGTAATTTTTGTTTAAAGTAAATCCATGATGCTAATAAATAAATTATTTTTATTTCACTAAGATCATGGATTTACTTTAAACAAAAATTACATCTATTGTAGATTATATTTCGATAATTGAGAATGTAAAATGTAGAAAATTTAAATTACCTCGCACTGATTTAACCATTTTATGAAACGCCTGTAAATCGCAATCGTGAAGGGAGACTCGGGTCTTTACAACCGTCACATTTTCATAAAGTCGCGTTTGTCGTTTTTGCTGAAAAAAAATGGGAAAATTTCTTTTTAGTATTTTTACTAAAATATTTGTATAATTTTTTTGTTATAAAAAATTGTTGATATTAAAATCTGTTTTTAAATTTATGAAAAAATATTTTTAAATTTATGAAAAAAAATTTTTAAATTATGAAAAAAAATTCATTAAATTATTAGGTACTTAAAAAAAGAAAAAGTTTAATTACTCGACGATCAAGTGATGTTTTTCTTCGTTCAATGGTGTTCCAGGCAGATGAATTTCTAGGTGGCAAGGGCGGTGGGGCTGCTGGCGAAACGGCCGGCGATTTTGCCGATTTTTCCACCGCCGCGTAAACTGGATCGGAATTAACAGTTTCACTTGTGCTGTACATGTAGTCAAACGGGTCAAAAGGATCATAAACCGAACCACTGTACTGCGACTCGACTTCTGCAAAAAAGAAAACAAATTTTTCATTTCGCTAAACTAATACTTTTCACTTCAAAAATTAATATAATACAGAAATTTAATGTTATTTTTTTGTATGTATTTGAATTTTCGGAAATGTGTAATCAAAAATATTGAAAATAATTGAATTTTAGAAAATTAGAATAAAAAAAATTCTGAGAATTAATTTTGTTCAAAAATATTTTAATATTATTTTTACAACCTAATTTTCATTAATTTTAATTTTAATTTTTATACTTGAAGATTTTTCATTAAAATTTATGAGAATTTAATTATTTCCAAAATTTTCAATTAAAATTCTTTAAAATTTAATTTTCAAACAATTGTAATAAAATACTTGAAGAAAATTATTTATTTTCAATTAAATTTTACAAAATTTCAATTATTCAAAATCTTTTTAATTGAATATTTCAAAAATTTAATTAGAAAAATTATTCAAAAATAACTTTTCAAAGATTTGTCTATTATACTTTTTATACTATTAAAAATCGAAATAAGTTGCATAATTTTCGAGTCTTGAAATTAGAAATTGAAAAATATTTATTTGAAAAGTGAAAATTATATAATTGGAATTTGAAAATTAAAAAAAACTATGATTGAAATTTAAAAAGCAATTGAAATGTAAAACTAAATTCCAAAATATATAATTGAATTTTGAAAATTTATTGAAATGTGAAAATAGATTCAAAAATACAATCAATTGAAAATTGAAAATAAATTCAAAATATATAATTAAAACTAGAAACAAATTTTAAAGAAAGAAAAGAATTTTTTAAAAAACAAATTTTTAAAGAAAAAATTAATTTTACAAATATTAAATTACCGTCTTTCGATCCTCTTGAAATATCTCTAATTTCTTCAGTCTTTACGAGTAAAGGATCAAAAGCCTCCAGAACGCTGACTCGAACATTCGATTTGTCCTCTAAAGATTCGTAAGCGCTCAGATCAATGAGATTGCTATTCGGTTTTTTTTCAATGACCTTCAAGACACTAAATTGATTTTCATCAACGGCGTATGGAACTTTTGAGACACCAGTAGTAACAGGTGAAGGAATTCCAGGCCGATAATTCATCGGCAGTGGAGGAATCTGTAAATGAAAATGTTAAAAAATTAGACATTTTTTTATATTGTAATATTTCACACAAAAATCGTTTCAAGTGCACTCTAAAAGTGAAATTCAAAAAATTTTCTCTATTTCTTCATTATCCACTTTTCCTAAATAAACCCCGAGTTTTCAAGTTTTATTTTATTTTGAAAAAAACTCAAATTCTTACTTCTTTTCTTGAAATGATTATAATTAAAAAAGTCGAAACAAAAAAGAATAATTTTATTCCAACGAATAATTAAATTAGAGACTAAAAAATCAGAATAAGGAAACAAATTGGTTTTTTGTTTATCCTTTTTTTGGTCGTAAAAAGAAAGTGCACACGAAAAAGGATAGAAGACACTTTTTGATAATTAAAAACAAAAAAATTCTATTGTCGCTCTAATTAACAGAGGCGCAACTATTTCAAAAAAAAAGAAAATTTGTTTTCTAAATGCCAAGAAAAGGGAAAAATTGTGTAAAAATTGTTAGAATTTTTCAACTACTCCTCTAAAGTGAAAAATACCTGCATGAAGAAATAATTTGTAAAAGTATTGAAATTCCAAGCGGGCTAAAATAAAAATTTGTCATTAATTATTTAACACACGGAAGAAAATTATTAGATTTTCTATATAAGAAAGAAAAAAAATATTAATTGCATTATTAATTAATATTAATTTCAGTTAACTAAAATTAAACGTATTATTTAATTTAACTAAAAATTTCGAATCTAATAAAATTGAATTTATTCAATTTAATGAATTTTATAAGAAAATATTTATACATTTAACTTTACGTTTTCTACTTTCTTCGTTCTCTTTTTATTTTTATTTAATTATGAAGAATTTAAAAAAATATTTAAATACATTCTGACTTTACTTTTCATATTTTTTTCGTTTTTTTTTCTATTTTTATTGCATAATAAAAAATTTTTGTGAAATTACCTGTGGAATTGGCTCAGAAACATTATTGGAAACGCTTGTCGCTCTGGACATGACGGGACTGATTCCTGGCGTACCTGGAGTACATGGCGCTGTGGATGCTTTCGATCCTGGCGCCGGCGATGGTGACTGATAACGAAAGTCCCGCGGTTGATAAGCGGCTGCCGAACTATTACTTCTAGACACTCTCGACGGCCTCCTCAACAATGCCGGATGTGTATCCCATTTTGGTTCCACTGGCGCTTTTCTTTAAAATAATAATAATTATTATTATCATTATTATTATCTTATTAGTACATATCTTTAAAATTATTGATTTTACAATTATTATCTTGTAAAATTCATTACTTTCACTACTCTAGATACATTAATTATTTACCTATAAAAATAAAGCAACAACAAAAATAAAATAATCAATTCACTCTACATTAATTTAAAAATTATAATTAAACATTTCGAAAAACCGAATTTCTAAAAATTCAACATTTTTTATTCTTTTTTATGGCATTTAGCTTCACTATATTTGGGCTCTTGAAAAATACTTTACTTATTTAATAATCTCCACTCTTTGGTAAAAAATCTAAAATTATCAAAAAATCGAAAAAATTCAAAAAACCGAATTTGTTAAAATTCAACATTTTTTCTTCTTTTAGATCGCATTTAGCTTCATTATTTTTGTGCTCTTGAAAAATACTTTACTTATTTAAAAGTCTCCACTGTTTGGCAAAAAATCAAAAATTATCAAAAAATCGAAAAAATTCAAAAATCCGAATTTCTTAAAAATCAACATTTTTTCTTCTTTTAGATCGCATTTAGCTTCATTATTTTTGTGCTCTTGAAAAATACTTTACTTATTTAAAAGTCTCCACTCTTTGGTAAAAAATCAAAAAATCGAAAAAATTCAAAAATCCGAATTTCTTAAAATTCAACATTTTTTCTTCTTTTAGATCGCATTTAGCTTCATTATTTTTGTGCTCTTGAAAAATACTTTACTTATTTAAAAGCCTCCACTCTTTGGTAAAAAATCAAAAATTATCAAAAAATCGAAAAAATTCAAAAATCCGAATTTCTTAAAAATCAACATTTTTTCTTCTTTTAGATCGCATTTAGCTTCATTATTTTTGTGCTCTTGAAAAATACTTTACTTATTTAAAAGTCTCCACTGTTTGGCAAAAAATCGAAAATTATCAAAAAATCGAAAAAATTCAAAAAACCGAATATCTTAAAATTCAACATTTTTCTTCTTTTAGATCGCTTTTAGCTTCATTATATTTTGGCTCTTGAAAAATACTTTACTTATTTAAAAGTCTCTACTGTTTGGCAAAAAATCTAAAATTATCAAAAAATCGAAAAAATTCAAAAAACCGAATTTCTTAAAATTCAACATTTTTTCTTCTTTTAGAACGCATTTAGCTTCATTATTTTTGGGCTCTTGAAAAATACTTTACTTAATTAATAATCTTCAACCTTTGGTTAAAAATTTTAATTTTTTAAAAATTATCAAATACTCGAAAAACTGAATTTCTTAAAATGCAACATTTTTTGTTCTATTTTAAGGCATTAAGCTTTAATATTTTTGGGCTCTTAAAAACACTTTACTTATTTCATAGTCTCCACCATTTGGTAAAAAATTTAAAATTATCAAAAATTTGAAAAACCGAATTTCTTAAAATACAACATATTATTTTTAACAAATTTTTTTCAAAAAACTGACAAAAATTCTGCAACGAATTTTATTATTCATGAAAGAATTTAAATATTTATAAAAATAATTTAATTCTTGCGAAGAATTTTTAAAAAGTTTTTAAATAATTGATTTCTTTCGACTAATTTAATAAAAATTCTAATTTAAATAATTGAATTCCTGAGAAATTTTTCTTATCTATGAAAAGAATTGAATTTTTACGAAGTTTTTACAAAAAAATTTTTAAATTCATAATTAAATTCTGTTTGGTAATTTTTTAAAAAATAGTAGATATTGAAAATCATTGAATTGCCAAAATTTTTTAAAAATAATTAAATTTTACAATGAAATCTATTAAAATTTTTGAGAATAATTGAATTCTTACAAACGATTTTATTAGAATTTTTTAAAATAATTGAATTCTTTGTTATTTATGAAAATAATTGAATTTTGCAAAGAATTTTATTAAAATTCCTCAAAATAATTGAATTTTCGGGAATAACTTTGTTATTTATCGACAATTGAATTCTTTCGAAGAATTATTTATATGTAAATAATTGAATTCTTTCGAAGAATTAATTATGTAAATAATTGAATTCTTGGGAAGAATTTTATTGAAATCTAAAAGAATAATTGAATTATTTCAAAAAAATTTAATAATTCAATTTCTCGATTAATTAGTTTAAAATAGTATTAAAAATAATTGAAATTCTTCGATGAGTTTTATTATTTATGAAAATAATTGAATTTTTGCAGTGAATTTTATCAAAATTTTTTTAAAAAATTGAATTTTTATGAAAAATGATATTATTAATAAAAGTCATTTAATTATTGTGAAGAATTGTATAAAAATTTTGTTAAATAATTGATTTTTCGAAATTTTATTTGAAAATGCTATTCTAAATTAATTGAATTCCTGTGGGGATTTTATTATTTACGATAATAATTGAATTTTGGATGAATTATTTTATCAATTTCTTTTAAATAATTGAATTTTTTTGCGAAATTTGCTGAAAATACTAGATATTAAAAATAATTGAATTTCAAATATTTTTTGAAAATAATTGAATCATTTTAAAGAATTTGATTATAATTTTTGAGAATAGTTTTTTGATTTACAGTATTAGCGAATTTAATGTATTGGAAATTCTCAAAAAAAAAATACAGACATTCCCGTACGGATAATTTTTATCTGTCCAATCACAGTAGTAAAAATAAAAAGTTACTTACGGTGGAACAACTGGTGGTGCTGTACAATATTCAGCTAATGAATCCTGTTTAACAGGACTCGTAAAATTAATTAAATCGACTCCTTGATTTTTCACGGCCGAATTTGTTGAATTTCTTCTACCTGGAATTGGTGGAGGCGGCACAATAATAACACCATTGCGCGATTGACCTGAATTATAAGCACCAGGTCTAGGTCGACTTCTATGTTGACTTCTGCAAAATAATTATATCACTCAATTAATATACAATTATAATTAACATAAAAAACAGAAGACTTAAATTAAAATAATTACGCAATTTTTACTCCTCGAACATTTATTGCAAAATTAACTCGTTTTTCTAATTTTACTTAATACAACAATTTTTAAACAGATTTCAAATTTTATAAAATTTATTTCAATGAAATTATATAAAATTTCAATTTTAATTCTTTAAAATGTTTTTCGGAAGTGCAAAATACAATTCAATTATTTTCTAAACTTTTAATAAATTTTACGAAAAATTTCAATTATTTTTAATTTTAATACAATTTTAATAAAATTTCATGAAAAAATAGAAATAGAATTTCATTAAAAAAATTTTAATAATATTTTTTGAAAAAATTCAATTATTTTCTCAACTTTTAATAAATCATTCGAAACAATTTAATTATTTTTTTAAATAGTAAAATTTTTGCAAAAATTCAATTATTTTCAATAAAAATTTCACGAAACAATTCAATTTTTTCTTTAATTCATTATAAAATATTTAAAAAAATAAAAAAAAAACTGGTGAGTATTAGAAAAAAAAATCTTACTTCTCTACAGTTCCATCGGCTTCACTAATTGAATTAGTGTCACTTCTCGAGGCGCAAGACTGTTGAATATTATTGTCACACTGATTTTGTTGTTTTTGTAGACGAAATTTTTCCAGTGCCAAACTCTCCAAGCTTAATGCTTGTGCACGTTCCAAGTCCTCTTGAAATTGACGCTCATAATCGATCATCGCCGATTTCTGAGTGTGATTTCTCCCATAACTCGACATCTGCCAATGAAAATTAATTAAATAATTATTATCAATAATTTCACAAGAATTTTTTCTTTATCAAAGTGCAAAAATGTACAAATCTTTCTCTCTAGATATATTTTTTTTTCTTTTCTAATCAGTGAAATCGTATTTATTAATTAAATATATTTTTTCACTTCAATTTCTCTCTTTAAGAAAGAATTTTTTTAATTTTCAAAAATTATTTTCTTTTAATTTCGTTTCTTTGTTTTTTAATTTTTTCGTCTTTTTCCTGTTATTTAAAAAATTTTAAAATACGATTTCATTTCCAGAAAAGAAATGTAAGAGAAAGAAGGAAAAAAGAGATTGAAAAGAAGAATGTGTTGTGATTAAGAAGAGATGTGAAAAATGTTATAAATAAATAATGTAAACTTCATTTATAAATCATCGCAGTGAATTTCTTTCAAGTCGAGTGTGACGTTTAAAAAGAAAATGCATAAAACATGTGTTTATTATTAACATTTTATCGAAAAACTCAAACAATCAAAGCCATTGTATGGAAATTTAATGAAAGAAGACCAATTAAGAATTACGTTCCTGTCATTCGAGAAAATTTGTAACAGCAATTATACCAAGTATCTTTATAACTATTTATCAAAACGTTTAATTTATTATTTTCACTATAGTAATTATTAATTTATCATATTTATCGATTTTTTTATCAAATTACAATATTTTTGTAATAAAAAAACAAATTTTGTTTAGTCTGAAAACAAAATAAATTTAAATAAATACAAAAAAGTAATTTTTAATTTTAAACGTCTTGAAAAAAATTTTTTTAAATTTTAAAGTCTTACAAAATAAATAAAAAATATTTTTTAAGTCTTCGAAAATAAACAGAATTTTTAAACGTCTTAGAAAATAAAGAAAATAATTTTTTTACGCGACTTGCAAAATAAATAAGTAGAAAACAATTTTTTAAACGTCCAACGAAATAAAAAATTAAAAAAGAATTTCTCAATATTAAAGTCTTGAAAAATAAATAAAAATTTGATTTATAGTTATATTTTCATCATTCTTAGTAAACTTTTATAATTGAGAAAATGATTACGAAGCAATTTTGTTAATAAATAAAATAGAGACGCAATTTTCAACTTTGTCGATTTTGCAATTAAGAATCAGTGATTTAATTAACAAAGTAGTTTTCCTAACCTAAAAATATTCGTAAAATTTACTTTCACTTTTATATTGAATAGTTTTTTAATTTACTCTTTAAAATGATAATTTTAATTATTTAAATTTCACTAAAAATTAATTATAATTTAATTGTTAATATTAGATAATAAATAAATAAAACATCTTTGGGTTTCGGACAAATAACTTTCGATGCTTTCGATTTTTACAGTCTACAGTATTTTACAATTTCCTTAATTAAATCTAAATTCACACACATAACACTTTAATTACTGATCAATTTTTGTTCATTTCTATTATATTTCTTTTTCACTTTATTAATGATGATAATAATAATAATAATAATGTAATTAATAATCTTAATTGACAGTTTTCCTAACCTAAAAAAAGTTGTAATAATAATAATATAATAACAATAAGAATAGTAATAATAAGAATAAATACCTAATAAAAAATTTGTAATTGAAAAAGTTGGTCCCGTTAATGAAAAATTACTACAATCACAAATTCTCGATAAGTGCAAAATAACACGAAAAAATGTTTGATAAACAATAATAGCATGCGCTGCAATTAAAAAATGAAAAACATAATTGCAAAATACACGTTCAAAAAAGAAATAATAAAGTCTTGCTCAACATTCCACTTTAATTTTGTAAAAAGTGACGACAATAATTATTTTCAATTCACTGCGTCTATACGTCCGACTAGCCGGATAAAAAAATTTGTCCGGGTACTGATAGCCGGACGTAATAAATTCGTCCGGATACTGTCTAGCCGGACGTTTTGCTGCATAACACAGCTGAGTCTAAACGTCCGGCTAGTAAAATAATAACTGAAGCCGGTCAGCCGGATAAAATATTTAGAGTCTAAAACGTCCCGATAAATTAATGAAAGGAATTTTATTTGTATATAGTAAAAATGAAACTGAAGTTAACAATGTTGATTCAACGAAAAAATGTTTCTCTGCCTTGAAAGCAATTTTTTTCTTTTGACGATTATCTATTTTAATGTCAGAAACCATTTAGAAAATATTTCAAAAGGATATAAAGCAGGGAATGCAGTGAATTTGAATTTTTTTTGTCACAGATTTTCCAAAAATTCTGAAATTTCAAGTAAGTTGTTAATTTATTTTAATTATTTAGTTTAATTAATTTTCTTGACTTGGAAGCAATTTTTTTCTTTTGATAATTATTTATTTTAATATCAGAAGCCATTTAAAAAAGATTTTAAGAGGATCTAAGGCGGGAAAAGCAGTGATTTTGTATTTTTTGTCGTAGATTTTCCAAAAATCCCGGAATTACAATTAAAAAACAAAAATCACTACTTTTCCCGACTTGGATCCTTTTGGATTTTTTTTAAATGGCTTCTGACATTAAAATAAATTATTATCAGAAGATCAGAGATTTTTGGAAAATCCGTGCCACAAAAAATTCAAAATCACTTCTTTCCCCGATTTGGAACCGCTTAGGAATTTTTTTAAATGGCCACTGATATTAAAATAAATAACTATAAAAAAATTGCTTCCAAAGTGAGGAATTAGCAATTTACTTGAAATTCGGGGTTATTTTGGAAAATTCGTGACAAAAAAATGAAAACCACTTCTTTCCCCGCCTTGAATCCTCTTGGACTTTTTTAAATGACTTCTGCCATTAATATGTTAAGTCTATATGTAATAAAATATAATTTATTTAAATAAAATAATTTTTTTGAAGAAGATTAATAGTTCTATATAAATTTTACAGTTACTATAATTATATAATTATAGTAATAGTAATTATAGTATATTAATATAATATAAATAATAATTCAACTGGTAAAATTGTTATATATTTTATATTATCTAGTTGCCATTTATTCAAATGCTGAATTTTTCAAAAGGTAACTTATTAAAATATTTATGTTATGCAAAACTTTATTTTCTCGAACCATTATTAACTCAAATTACCATAAAATATATTTTTTAATGTTTATAAAAATGTCATATGACATAATGTTTACTGTAACAAATGTTAATTGCAAATAATGTTTTTATACTCGAATTACCACTTTTACAATGTTAAAAAATCCAAATGGAATTTTAATCTAAAAAAATTGACTACCAATTATTATTACAATAATTGACTATAATATTTTATAATGAAGAATAGTCAATTCTTTAACATTGTAAAATTGGTTATTCGAGTATAAAAACAATATTTGCAATTAACATTTGCTACAGTAAACATTCTATCAAATGACATTTATAAAATAATATTAAAAAATATATTTTATGGACATTTGAGTTCATAAAGGTTTGAGAAAATAAAATTTTGCATATCATAAATATTTTAATAACTTACCTTTTGAAAAATTCAGCATTTGAATTAATGACAACTAGGTAATATAGAATATATATAACAATTTTACCAGTTGAATTTTCATCTTCTTCAGGATTACACGGGTTTCAAATTATTCAACATTATGATTTTGGTTAAACTTTTATAGTAACTGTAACATTTATATAGAACTATTACTCTTCTTCAAAAAAATTATTTTATTCAAGGGTTAACACCACTCTAGAGGCAGAAAAGAAGACCAATTTTTGATGATTTGTTTTGGGAAAATGAAAAAAGGAATAGGTTATCTTTTTGGAGGGTTTGTTAAATACATATTGAAGTGTAGAAAAAAATTTTTATTTTAAATTTTATAACAAAATGGCGACGATAAATTTTATAGTAACAATCGACTAATCTTTTTTTTAACAAAACGTCCGGAAAGATTTTTTGAAAAGTTTAAGTCCTGGAACAGAAAACAAAGAAATTTCATGATGTATATAATATACACGGAGAAAAATATAAAATAACTTTTACTACTTTTATAGTAAAAAATTTCCGGTAAATTTTTTACTATGAAAGTAGTAAAAGTTACTTTATATTTTTCTCCATGTAAACTTTGGAAGTGCATAAGGGTTTTTTATATATCAATTTTTGTAAAAATCGTGCACTTTTTGAGTACAATAATCGATTTTTTGCCTAAGAGTAATAAAAAGTAAATTGTTTAAAAAAATAAAGTTTACATCAAATTAAAAAATCTGTATGTAGTTCCAAAGTTTATAGTATTTAGTTTGTAAAATTTCTTTACTTTTTGTTCCAGGACTTAAACTTTTCAAGAAACCTTTTCGGCCATAAAAAATAGTCGATTTTGAATATGAAATTTATCGCCGCCATTTTGTTATATAATTTAAAAAAAAATTTCCACACTTCAATATGTATAATTAATAAATTCTCCAAAAAGAAATCCAATTCTATTTTTCATTTTCTCAAAATAAACCATCAAAAATATAGGTCTCTTTTTCTGGCTCTAGAATGGTGTTACCCTTAAATAAATTATATTATTTAGTAAATGCGAATCGGATAATTTGCTTATTTGCTGAAAAATAAATTCTATGATAAACTCACTTTATTAACATTTAAAACTTTTTAAATGGATAAAACTACGATTAGAACTTTTTAAATTTCGAAAATATACAGGCGTCCCAAAATATTTTTGTGAACAATAATTTTTTTAAGACTTACAATCTTCAAAAAATATTGTATTCTTAATTTATAGACATTTTTTAAATAAATAAATAAAAAAAGATATATACATAAATAAATGTTAGTCTTCTATTTACATTATTTATTTAACAAATATGTGCTTGTAAACTCTGCATAGAATATTTTTTGATGTTTATTTATCTAAAAAAAATATATATTATAAAATATTTTTTGTAAATATTTATAAAAAAGCAAAAAATTAATATAATAATTATAGAATGACAATAATTATAATTGTTATTACTATTATTATGCATATTATGTTTTCGCATTTAGTTATCAAATTAATTTTAAAATTCATAACCTAAAAATGTCAAAAACATTCAAGGAATATGTTATACTTGTAAAAATCTAATAGACGGACGAATTATAAAGTTCATTATTTTATCCGGATACTGTCAAACGCTCATCACCAGTACATATAGTAAATAGCCGGATGAAATATTTTGGGAGCTATATGTCCGTATATCCGGACGTTTAGACGAAATATTTCGTCCGACTAGCCGGACGTATAGACACTTCGTTTTCAATTTGATAATTTTAATTTTTGATTTCCTCGGTAAAAAAAATTGACAGATGCAGTAAAACTATATTTATATTCTTTAAAAAGTAAATATTTGAACTAAAATACGAGTAAACACTATTAAAAGTCAATCGAAAGAAATTTGACGTATAAATAACGATAAGCAAAATATCATTTTTTTGGAGGAAAAAAATTCATTTTTTCCAATAAAAAAGACACGAAAACAACTTTAACCTTCGTAACTTTCGGAGCAAGACACCAAACAATTATTCTCAACTCTATATCTATATATATACACACCACAATACTACAAAAATAGTCATATATTTATATACATATATATAGATATAGAGAATTTATTATCATTGTTAACGCACAGTGTATAGATATATATATAAGCAAAACAAGACTTCCGCTATCAAAGATAATAATGCGATAAAATAGCGCCTTCTGTCATTCATACGCGTTTATTAATATAATCAAGAATCAGCCAACAGTCTGCTCTCTCATCCTCGTGACAGAACACTGTTATTTGTGTATGTGTATATAAATGTATGTATAATATTGCCAAAGGCAGAGAGACAAGAAAGAGAAAGAGAGAAAGGAAAAAAGAAGCAAACATAAATTCGACTTACCGTGGCATTATTTCCACAAAAATTTTAAAGGACAAATTAATAATTTTGAGAATTACACTAAAACATTGTTTAATTGCGGTGGGAAACAGTTATAATAATGATAAAAGAGGTGACATTTTCGTTTTACAGTTCGACACGAGTCAACAATTCCACAAAAACGAAGTGAAGTTAACACTGAATCGTCAACTGCGTGAAATTGTCGCGAGTCGACTACTCGACTTGTGGGTATCGAACCATATCGATAAGACGCGCGCGATTTTCAAAATTCCAAATGGTAATTTCTATTTAACTAGTATAATTATTATTATTTCTATTAATACTATTACTACTCCTACTACTAGGACCACTACTACTATTAATATCATCACAAAATTATTATATTATTAATATTTCTAATTTATTTTAATTGTTAAATTTTTGCCGTGGTAACTAGTTACCGACTTTACCGACCGGGTTGATAATCGAATCAATTCGAGATTTTCGTCAAAAATTGTCAATTTACAATTTGTCGTTAAAAATTTAAGAAAAATTGTAAAGTTATTTTTATTAAATTAAATTTGTTATATTAGTTGTTAAATTAAATACTTATTAAAAAGCAAACTTTATTATCAAATTTAAAATAATTCGGGAATAGGGAGAGGAATAGAGGGAAAAACAATATCAATTTCGTGATAAAGAAGAAGGTAAAAATTTTGAGGTTAGGGAACAAATTTTCCTTATTTGTAATGTTTATAATTATACTAAATAGTAAATAATAATACAGTTTTCATAATAATTCTTTTTACAAATCAACTGTTAATTAAAGTCTACATTTATATTTATATATATTGGTATAAACCATTAAAAAAAATGCGTCAATTAAGTACAAAATTATATAAAAAATAGAAATTCAATTTAAAAATTAATTTTCAAGTTGAAACGATTTTCAACCAAATACCTTTTTCGCTACTTGTCACAAAATTACGACGACTAAAAATTAACGGAACTGCTGATTTTTCACAAAGTTCCACTCGATGATTTCTAAGAAATGTAATTATTCCCACTTTTGTTTGTAACAATGCAAAACGTTGTCCTGAGGAATTTAATTTTAGGCCACATGAAAAATTAAAAATTTATTTTTTTGGGGTGAATCGAAAATTAAGACGGAAAATTATGAAAAAGGAATTGTTTTTTTAAAAGGTCTATTTATGATAATTTTTAGTTATTATTTAATTATTTAAATAATCTCTATGCAAAAAAAATAATAATAAATAAATTTAAAAAATAATAAAAATAAATTTTAAATAGTCAAAATTACAGTATTAATATCTAATAATATTTGCTTTTTGTTAAAACGGGTTTTTAATTAGTTTTTAATAAATGACTTGAATTTGTTTGAAAAAATTTATACCAAAATAATTAATAATAATAATTATCGTAACGTCGCAATTATTTATCTCCTTTCAGGAATTATTATCAATTATATTTCAATTAATAATATAATAATAATTAATTCAATAATAATTTTTTAAATATTGACTTATCATTTTTTAATATTTTTAATATACATTGAAATTTTACTATTTTATCAAGTCTAAAATTTATAATAACAGATATTTATTTCTTATTTTTCCTATCAATGAAAATCAACATTTAAAAAAAAATTTGCTCATTTTTAAAAAAATGTTTATGAATTTTTAACATTTTTATAATTCAATAATATTAAATTAATTATCTTTAGCTATTATTTGTATAATTAACTCAATAATAATTATGAAATTTTTAACCGATAATTATAAAATATTATTTTAAAAATATTAAGTTAAAAATATTTTTATACTTTTTAAAAATATTTTCTTTTATTTATTTATTTTAATCTTATACGATATTAATTTAATATTTATTTATAATATAAGTAATAATTTGTAAAAAAAATAAGAAACGTATAATTACCTATACAATTCCTTGGTCCAGCGCCAAATGGCAGGTAAACAAAGGGATGTCTCGCCTTTTTATTCTCCTCATTAAATCTCTCGGGATAAAAAATTTCAGGATCCGGGTAATAATTTGGATCGTGATGTAGTCCATAAATTGGAATAATAACCCTCATCCCTGCTGGTAATTCAACTTCGGTGCCTGGAATTTTATATGGGTTCTCGCACTTTCTTGATAATAGAGAAGACAGAGGATATTTTCTCAAAGTTTCTATATAAAAGAAAATTTAAATTTAATTTAACTCAATTTTATTAGTTATTAATATATATTAATGATTAATATTGACATAAAAAAAACAATAGTAATAATAAAATAATAATAAAAATAATAATAGTAATAATTAGTTAAATAATCTTTAATAGTAAAAATAGTAAAAATAATATTAAAAAAAATAGTAATAATAATAATAATTTTACCCGAAACCACCATGTCGAGATACTTCATTTCTTGTATTGCGTCATAAGTCAATTTGCCTTCGAATTTTTCCAAAGAATCTAAAATATCTTGTCTTGTTAATTCTTGGATTTCGGTATTTAGTGCCAATTCATGTAGGCAGAAAGCAATCACATTAGCGGACGTATCATAGCCAGCGACAAAAAAGACAAACGCTTGTGCCGCTATTGTATCTTCATCTAATTCTAAAATATTACCACGTGATTATTAATTGTTTACTTAAGTATTTAAATTCGTATTTAAAGGCCTTGTTTAATTTTTTATTAAATAGATAAATAACAATAATAAAGGTTATTTTTATTATTATCATTATTAAATCTATTTTCAATATTCACTTTAAATTATATTTGTCCAAAGTTTACTGATATCATCCAATATTTACTTTCTTTTATTTTGAATGAATTGTTCATTCAAAAAAAAAAAAAATTGCGTAAAATACAAACTCCTCGAATTTATAAATATTATCTTATCGTGTATAGACGCATTCTACTTTTCGCATCAAAAAAATTGATTATTTCATTTAAAAAGTCATATGTCAAATTTTTTTTTTTCAATGGGATTTTACTAGTGAAATTTATTTCTTTTATTTTCTACGAAAGTATAGAAATAAATAATAAAAGAAAAAATACGTTACCAATTTCTTTTGTAAATTGATCGTCATCGAGAACTTGTTTACTTCCGTTTTCGGTTTCCAGTGTGCCCTTATTTTTCAACTCGATCAACAGGTCCATAAAGTCGTGTCTTTTTATTTCTAAATTCTCCCTTTGCTTGATCACTTGTGACACGACGTCCTTGAAAAATCTCGTCACTTCAGGATCAATTATTTGCACCCCAAGAATTTTAAATAAACTAGAAAAGAAAATTTTTAATTGACAAGATCTGCAATTAAACGTTACACAAATAAATAATAATGTGTGATTTTTTATTTATTTATTAAATAATAATTTTGAGTAATTATTATTATTTAACAAATAAATAATAATGAGTGGTCATTGATTTAATTTTTTTCAACTAGTTATTAATTTTTACTGAAATTTATGAATTTTTTTGAAACAAATTTTTCCTTCTTTTTCAGGTGCTGTTGGAGAGTATAGGGTTTATCTTTAGAGAACTAAATCGTAAATAAAAAGTACACTGTTCAGTGTAAATTCCAAACATGATAAATTGAAATAAAAAAAAAATAAACAAATGCAATCGACCATTTGGTGTATAAAGAATCGATATTCTTTCGAAGCTCCCAAAATAAATTTAAAATCGTTTCCCAAGTTTTACCATAAATCAAATTAATTACATAATTATAATTATTTTTCATTTTACAATTTTTTGTATTTAAATAACATGGATTTCTCTTTCCCGTAATATTTATTTCAAGAAGCACATTAATTCTTCATTTAAAAAATAGGGTCCAAGAAAATGAATAATAGAATTAAATTCAAGGTGACGGAATATAGAATGATTAATACAAATTGAACCCAGAATCTCTTAATTTATAAATAGACGAGGGTCATATTGTATGGAATTTTAAAAATTGTGGTTTAGAAACGAAAAATAAGCTAAATGCTTTGGTAGAGAATATTTTTTAAATTGCCAAGTTTAGAAGCAAGTTAAAATTTGCGAAACCCCTAATTTTCAGAATTTTATTTTGTGCTATTCGTGGTTCGGCTAGAACTATAATTTTGCCAAGTATTAATTCAAGTTTTGAAATTCTTTTTCGACCCATAAAAAAAAGATAGAAAAAAATAAATAATTACGTGGGTAATGCAGGTCGTAGCATTCGCCATATGGTTGTTTTATAGCTCGGTTTCGACAATTTCCTTGCCATTCGTTTAAATTCACAATCCTTTGAATTTATCGCGTTCGTTTGTATTCCAAATGCACATGTTCCAATCACGTCAATCGTAAAATTCGCAGCCAATTCACGCACATCGATAATCGATTCATCTTGCTCGACAACGTTGTCTATAAATTTTTCTAATTGCCCCGAACATTCCGTTAAAAGATAAAACATTCTTTTTATTTTGTTTGACGAAAATGCCGGTGTTAATTTCGATCTGAAAAGAAACAGAAATTTCATTTTTCCTAATTAGACAAAATTAATAAAAATTGTAATAAATCAATAGTTAAAAAACTATTTTAAAAATAATTTATTAGTAATTTCAAAATTTGTAATTGAAAAATAATGTAAATAGTATACTAGAAGAGAAACTTACCTGAGACCTTTCCATTTTTTACCCTCGAGATTAAACAAATGACCCACTAATGGATCCTTTGAATTATTAACGGGAATTCCGCGATTACAAAAATTCGCGAAATCTTTGACAAATACATTTTTTATTAATTCCGGATTTCTTAGAATTAAACTTGGCGTACGAACGCGAAAGACACCAAAATAATCTTCATTTTTGAACCAGTTGTAAATTTCATAAATACCTTCCGGTTGGGATTTACGGAAAAGTAGTAATTCTTTGAAATTACCGAAAAATATCGTTGGCTTACGAAAGGGGACATTTTTCTTTGACCAAAAATCAAATGTCGAGGTGAAAAACAAATAAATTGTTGCCAATAATGTTCCAAGTAGAAAAAATGGATCCCAAAATAATTCCAAAATAAACCACATTTTGTTTGCAAGTTATTTGAATTTTTTTTCACTTTTTTTATACGTATATTAATTGTTTTTAATTTAATTTCCCAAAAATTATATAAATTTTATAATTATCATAATAGTTAATTTACTATTTATTTTATCATTTTTCTTTTTTGACAATATTTTCTTGTTTATTTATTTCTGTTTTTTTTGTTTTGTTTCTATTTTTATTATATTTATTTTAATGTTCCATAGTAATTAATAATCAATTTATTCCTCTTTTAAAACTATAAACATTTATTATTTTGATTGAAATAAGTTATAGTGTAAAATTTTGAAATCCCAAGAAGAACTGAAAGACTAGAAATAAAAAAGATTTAGAATAATTTAAATTGCTAATTTAAAAAAAGTATGTGAAATTACTTTTCTAATTAACAAGAAGCGAGAAATGCTTTTCAGACCTTGGGTCGATGACGTTTCGCAAAACGTATGTAAATTACTAATTGTTTATAGAACATAAGTTCCGAGAATACTTTTTCCGTAAAATTATTCTTTATTATTCCGTTTCTTAAGAATTACATTTTTTTATCCGAGAAGCATAAAATTCAATTCTAAATTTAATTTATTTCATTGTTAATTAAATAATAAAATTATTTGTATAATTTGTTAGATTTTGAAAATAATTAAATTTCTAGATTAATCAAATTTCTAAATTGGCAAAAATTATAGTTATAGGTGAACCATAAAATATGATTTATAAATTAAACAAGTTTTTTAAATTATATTAAATTTTTTAATTTAATTTCTATAGTATTAATTAATGTTTTAAGTAATAAATTTTTGTAATGTTTATTTTCACATTTATTTAACTCTTAAACAAAATTTGTTAACTTTTTTAAATAATATATTTTTTTTATTAATTTTTAATCAATTAAATAACTTTTTTTTCTCTTTTTCACTTAATACGCATTAAACATTTTTGTTCTTCAAATCCAAAAATCACTAGCAATAGAAAATGTCTACATTGTATTATTAATTATTAAATGTTTTAAAAAATAGAATTTCTTTTAGTATTAAGGGAAACAAATTTTAAAACCGACACGTCACTGGTCAGATCTTTCGTATCAGACTGATGACTACTAGGAACTGAACTGAAACTGCGACTGCGACGCGTAAGAAAAACTCGAACATAAACATGAGGGAATCGCCTCAAGACGAGAGACAGAGAGGCTATTATATTGATAAAATAAATTCACTAAAACCATTAAAACTATTTTTATCATTACGTACGTATAAAATAGTGAAATCTATTTTAGTGGGTGTGATATTTTAAAATTTTTATCCGCAAATATTAAATTATTTAATAAACTTAATTTAATCATTTTGATAATAATTTTTATGACAAGTAAAAATTACTATTTATTTCTCGTAACTGAATGAATTAATTAATTTAAAAAAATTATATTTTTATTTTATATTATTTCTTCATTTTTATTTACATACTCAATTAGTAAATTAATATTTAAATTTTTATAAAAAGCAAACTTTTTTTTCAACAGAAAAAAAATGAACATATAATTATTTTAATGATGAAATAGGTAAAAATCGAAATTTATAATTGATTTTAGTAACGATAAAATAACTTCTCCAGAAGATAAATAAATACAAGCGATTATAGTTTACAGTTTAATGTAAAACTTATTTTATAACTAAAACTGGTTTTTGACCTCAGTTAACTCGACTTTTGTATATTACAAAAAAAAACATACGAATGTGTGGACAATTTTAATTCGCCAATCAAATAAAAAAGTGGAAACTGATAAGAATCCAACGACATGGACTCGTGTTATCTTCGGTCACTTTAAATAAATAGTCGCTACAAAAATTAAATTTAAAAAGAAAATTTACTATTTAGAGAAAAAGATAATTTGAGATATAACGGATTTGTGACTTTTTTCCTCAAAAATATATCAATTTTTTTTATTTTGATTGTAAATTAAAGAATTAGTTTTTTAATTATTATTTTTGTTTATTTAACAAAATTTTTTTTTAATTTTAAATTGAAACATTAATTTTTAACTAATTGTCTTATATTTTAAATTATAAAGAATAAATTCAAAATTTTCTGATTATTTTTCTCGGAAATATTTCTTTCGTCTTTTTTAAAGTATATTAATTATTCAAAATATAAACATTTCTAAATAATTATTAATTTCTAGACTTTGTAAGTTTATATTTTTGAAAAAAATAATTCTAAAAATATTTTTAGTGATGAAAAATTCTCTTTTTCTTACAGAAAAATATAAAACGTGGTTTATTTTTACTTTAGTTTGCCGAATTCCGCGTGTGTGTTTAAAGTATAATTTATTATGTTTATTGGAGGATATACGTTATGTCGAGAGATTAGAGGAACCTGTTTTTACTTGTAAATATTGTCAAAATGTTAAGAAAATAAAAAATTTGTTTTTTAATCTACAGTTGAAAAGGAATTCTCTAAATAAACAATTTTGTTTTTATAATTTACAGTTAAATAAGAATTTTCTAAAAATAATTGAAAATATATTTTTAAATAAATAAATAAATTATCAAAATGTCAAAGAAATATTTTTGTTTTCTTAACGTTTCTAAAACCACAATTTTGAATTTTCAAAATTTGTTTTTAACTTTCGACCGCCATGTTAGATCCACCATTTTGAATTTTTAAAACCATTTGCTAATTTTTAAATACTAGTATATAAAATCAAAAATAATAATATTTTGAATATAAATTCCATTTTAAAAATTTAGTGCAATAAAGAAATTTCTTTAAATAAATAAATTCCGTTACCAAAAATTTAATTAAATATTTTTTTTACTTACCGATAGTAAGATGATAAAACCGCACAAAATCCAGCTTTGAAGTTAAAAATTTTAAAAAAAAATTCACAATAGAAATCTGAAAAGCCTCTATTGTTGAAGTCACTCAGCTAAAAAATAAAAAATACATTTCTTTTAATTTAAAGAAAAAAGTCGTATAAATAAAAATTAAAAAATAAGATTTTAAATTAAAGGCAAAATTCCAAAAATAATTGTATCAATTATAATAAATTAATTGTCTTAATACACTCGATCAAATTATCAGCAACAAAAGTTTTGCGGTCAAATTGACCAAGTCCGAGTATTAAGAACTTTTTTTAAAAAAAACTTTCTTCACTGTAATTTTGCTTCTTCTTAAAATTTACATTAAACTGTATGTTAAAAAGTTTATCATTTATAATTTATATTCTCACTCGACAAATATCGAAAGGGTTTTTATTTTTTAATACTATAATAACAATAATAATAATAATAATATTAATAATAAAAGTAATACTAATAAATTTTATTTTTTTATTACTATTCTTACTATTATTTTTTATTTTATTATTATTGCTATTTCTATTAATTTATTTTATTACTATTAATTTTATTTACTATTACTATTTTTAAAATAGTTTTACTTATTTTTAAAATTATTATTTTTATTATTAGTATTTTTATTACTATTAATTTTATTTACTATTACTATTATTTTTAAATTATTATTTTTATTATTATTTTTATTATTATTTTTATTACTATTGTTTTTATTTACTATTTACTATTATATTTATCACTATTATTGTTTTTATTATTGTTATTATTGTTACTATTATTATAACTATTATTTTAATCAGTATTATCCTTTTTATTTACTGTTACCATAATTATCACTATTATTTACTTTTTTTTATTATTATCATCATCATCATCATAGAAAAAAGGATATAAGAACCCTTTGATAACAGAGGTGATTTTTATTTCAACAAAAATAACAATTTACATTGAATTGTTTTTTGATAATAATAATATTATCGTGTTACACCTGTAATTTTACTTGTAGGCGTGGTACGAGCTGGCTCGCTATTATTTATTTAATTTAATGAATTAATCCTTAATAGTGTTTCTTAATAGTGTAATCGTATCGTCTCTCAGCTTTTCACATTCTGGTCACTTGTTTTCAGTTATTTTTTTTTGTATTTTTTTTTTTAATTATTTATTTTATTTATTAATATTTATGATACGTTAAATCCGGAGAAAGGATAAAGTGCCTTGGATTGTTGTTGTTGTTTTATTTTTTTGCTTCTCATTTTAATAATTATTTTCGATTTAAATATAATAATCAGCTTTATACAGCCTTTCATAGATTTTAATTATTTATTCACTTTTTTTTTAAATGCTTTTTCTTTCCGTTATTAAATTCTGTCCAATTATAGAATATTTGAATATTTCTTTTGCATATTGAATATGAAATTTTTTATTATTGGAAAGAGAAATAAATTTTTATAAATTATTAAAAGGACGACAAAATTGTGAGAAAATTCGAGATAATTATTTTTTATTGAAAAAATTATTTCTATTTTAAAATGGAAATTTTACTTTAAAGAAATATTTTCAAGAAAAGAAAACTTTTCTTTTAATTTATCGAAAAAAATGTAAGCAAAAATTTTATTAATTTCCAATTATTTTCCAATCCAGATTTCTTTTGGGAATTTGTAGCTATTTTTCTAGTTTCTAAATTTTACAATTATAATGACAGGCTCGACACGCTTCTCCCTTTTTGAAAAAACACTATTTTCTGTTTTTCTTTTAGTTTTTTTTTATAATCCATAACCAAATATGCAAAGTTATTGTAAAAAGTGTTTATACGGAAAAAAATTAATTTTACCTGCGGGAATAACTTTGGCTAAAAGTAAATATATTTTTTTTAATATTTATATTAAATTATACGAATTATAAAAAAGAAAAAAGAAACAAAACCTTGAAAATTGTTTCGAGAAACGGAATGCAGAAAAAACTAGAGACAAATATTTTTTTTCCTTTTCTTTTCCCACTTTTTTTTCATTTTTAAATTTAAAGTACCGGAAGACCATTCATGCAACAAAAAAAAGAAAGAAAAATCCCTCTGCATTCAGTTTTTTCTTATTTTCTTTAAATGTTTTAATTTTTTTTTCTCTTCTTTGAAATCGCGACAGGAGATACTTGAATTAAAAAGCTAATATCACAAAGTTCTCCATTTACTTATGTAAGAACGAGATTTATTTATTTTTTTTTTATTATTTTTATTTTTTTTTATTTTTACTTGCGAATAAAATAGTAAATATAGTTCAGATTACCGAATCTCATTGAAATTTCTTACATACAGAATAATTATATATTTATCTTTATTATATACACGCACTAATTTCCTGTCTCTTCGTTTTTTTTAAAGCAAAAAAACGAAAAACGCAAGAAAAGAAAAAAAACGGTAATAAAAAATAACAATAGCAAAGAAATAGAAAAATTAAAGGAAAACATATTTTTTTACAGACGATTTTTAAGAAAGAAAAAAAATTGTTAAGTTAGAAAATTTTTAGAATAAAAAAATATAGGCTTTTCCTTTTGCTTTTAATTTGAAAATTCGGAAAATTTTCCATTCTGAATAATTTTTAAAAATTTCGAAATATTGAAAATTCAAAAATATTTTTTTTTACTTTAAAAGTTAAAAAAAAAGGTTTTCTTTAAAAAAAATTTTTTTCTTTCCTTTTTAAAAAACTTTCTGAAAAAAAAGAAAAGGAAAAAAGAAAACAAGGAGCAAAAAAATTCGATAAAGCAGAATTCTTAAGAAAAATTTTTGTTTTAAACAAAATAAAAATAAAAAACGACCAAATGGAAGAAAAAACAAGAGAAAATGAAACTAGAAACAAAATAACGAACAGGAATGGAAAATAAGGAAAATTTATAAACAACAAAACAAAAAAATAAAAATAAAAATACAACCGAATAGAATAAATAAGACGAAAAAAATCCAAATAAAAATTTCCATAGAAAAGAAAATTTAAAAATTAAAAACAGTAAAAAATTTTCTTTTCTGTAAAGAAGAAAATTTAAAAATTAAAAAAAAAATTGACGACGAAAAACAGAAAAAATATAGTAAAACAAATTAAGAATGAAAAATAACAGAGTAATGAAAGAAAAAAATGCGAAACAAGAAAAGAAAAATAATCACAAGGATTTGTTCGTTAGCTGTAAATATTAGAAATCAGAGAAAGAATAGAGAAAAGGGTGGAGAGTCTGCGATCGATTTTTTTTTCAAAATTTAGAAGATCATTTTTTGTTTTTTTGTTTTTTATCCAATTGAGAATAACGTTTAATAGCCGCTTATAACGTAGTTTACTATTCTTATATAAAAACAAGGCTGTATAAAAAGTGTGTGTGCGGTTGTGTGAATGATTTATCTTTCTCTCACTCTCTCTCTCTCTCTCACTCTCTTAATCTCTCTCACACACACTCTCTCTCACTCTATCTTTCGTGTACTCTTTTCAATTTTTTTTTTTCAATAAAAAGAGTAGATTAATTATATAAATTAAATAAAATCCCTCACTGAATTATCGATCTTTTTTTAATAATATATATATATGTATATATATTCATGCTGCACTTTTTCATTTTCATTTCCCTTTCATTATAATTTTACAACAAAGTCTCTCTCAAAAAAAAAAGAAATTTTTTTTTTCATTTTTCCTTTCTTTCTAAGTCAGTTCGTGATTTGCCTAGTCACTAGAACGCTAACTACAAATTTGTTGTTGTTGTTGTATTTTTTTTTACCTATCTCTGAGCTTAATTTTTTTTTCATATTTATATTTATATATATTTATAATATGTATATACTTAAATGTCTAGATACATTAGCCTAATAATCGTATAATTACTTGCTCGTTATGAGTTAATACTATTTTACTATTTACAATGTGTTTTTTTTATTTCTCTTAAACCACTTTTATTTATTTTTTTTTATATTTATAAAAAAAAGAAAAAAACAAATAATATATATGTATATATTTATATATAGGTGGGGGTGGGGGGGAAGGAAAATAAATCCCATGACTCAACAAAAAAAAAAAAATAAAAAAATCCATTTTTTTAGTGATTACACCTTCACACTGGTACGTTTTTGGACTTTCTTTACAAATTTCGTCACTCATTCCAAAATAAAAACACGCACACACTTTTATCGTTTTTTTCCCTTTTTTTCTTGACGATTAAGATTATTTATTTCCTTTTTTTATATAATATTTACAAAAAAGAAGCGTCTTTCTTTTGTAGAGCGCGAGCTCCTCTCCTTGCGAAAAAAACTGTATGATGGAAACGAACAAGAAAAAAAAATAGTAAAAAAAATATTTTCATTTTCTTCGCAAAAATTACTAATAAAATTTTTTTAGAAAAATGAGATTCTGTAGATGGGGGGGCGCAATTTTTATTTTTTGTAAATTTAAATTCAATTTTTTATTCTGATTAAAATATTTTTGTGATTTATTAAACACATAGACATACATTTTTTTTGTATGTTTTTCAGCAAATTAAAAAGTAGAAATTTTCCCCTTTTTTTGGCCTGAGGGACTAAAATATTCAGTTTTTACACGTCAGGAAATTCTCCCGTAAAAATTACGAAAACTGTTTTACATTCCATACTTTTTTGGAAAAGATGGAGAAAAAAAATTTAACAATATCGAATATATCAAACATTTTTCCGACGAATAAAAATTATCAGCGCTTCTATTTTTAAATTAAAATAAAATATTGAAAATTATTGAATTTTATATGAAAAATTGAAATAAAATCGAGTTAAATAAAACTTGGCATTTTTAAAAAAATTTAATTGAAATTTATTGAATTTTATTGAAAATCGAATAAAATAAAAATAGACAATTCTTTTTTCGAGAAAAAATGTATTTAAACTTCTTGATTTTGATTCAAAAATTATAGAAACGTTTTCTCTTTGCTAAATTAAACGAATTCAAAACTAAAAAAAACTTGAAAATCGACTTTTTTACTATTCGAAAAAATCGATTCTTAGTTTCTATATAAAGTAATTTTACTCTTTGAAATAAGAAAAAGAAAATAAAAATCACCTTTCTTTAAATTGATTCAATGAAAAATTGCGTAAAAAATATAGAAAAAAAATGGTAAAATTCTGATAATATAAATATTTTAATAACTAAAAATATTCATTTTATCAAAATTTTACATATCATTAAATAATTACGTATAATATAAAATTTTACTTTTGGTAAATAAATTTTTGGTTATAACGTCAAAACAAAATGGTACCGTAAAAAGGGGTAAATTTTTACAAATATACAAAATTTTTTTATCATTTGTTTGAATTCTCAAAACTTCCGAGTGAAGAAAAAAAAATAAAATTCACGTTGGAAAAAAAATTTGACAAAAATTCCATTTTTCGTTCCATTTTGCTTTGTTAATTAACTAGGCAATCAAGAGACTTTGCAAAAAGTTTTTTTTTTACTTAAATATATAAAATTCGTTTAATATAATATATTTAATATATTATATATAATGTATAATAGTAAATAACATCTGAATATTAATAAATATATTTTTAAAGTATTAATATTTATATAAATAAATATTGATGTTAATATTAATAAATATTCATATAAAAATTTACGCCAACATTAAAACGTATTTATTAATATTTTAATATTATAAAATGTATGTTTTTTGATATATTTTACATTATACAATATATATTATATTTTATAAAATACATTAATTCAATAAAATATAAACTTGACGCTTTTCGGACCTTTCGGGGAAAAAAGTTGTAGGTTATTTTTAACAACGTTTTTATTTCATTAGTGACTCATTTTTAATTATCTGAAGTCAAAAACAATTTTTATACAATATTTATTGTGTAAAATAGTTGAGAGAAATTATTTTTGACTTCAAATAATCAAATTAATCTTAAATGAAGCAAAAACTTTCCTAAACATAACCTATAATTTTTTCCCACGCAAATTTTTTCCCCTTCATCGGAAAGCGTCACAGAATACCAAATACTTATCAAAAATGAAAAAGGAAAATTATATTATTGTACATTATATATAATATAATATTATATAATAAATTCAATTAATTTGAATATTAATTCAATATTCGTATATTAATTCAATATTTGTACATATATTAATTCAATATTTGTATAATTTAAGTCATTTTTCTTTCTAGAACGAAACAAAAATACTTTTTGCAATACCTCAAAAAATGGATTAAAAAAAATGCATCCAATCCCAAAATCTCAAATTTAAAATCGAAAAAACCCCAAAAAATATTTAAAAAAATAAATTTCTATCAGTAAAAAAACAGTTGTAAAATTTAAAAATAAAGAAATATTGATAAAAGACAAAACAGAAAAAATATATAAAAAAAAGTGAATGAAAAATAGCGTACCGAATAATGTTTTCTTCTTTCAACAAACTCTTTGGAAGAGTTGTAAAAGTATTGAATGGGGTAGTTGTCGTTGTTACGTCGTCATCATCATCGTCATTTATCATCATCATCATCAGTCCTCATCGGAGAGGGGCTCATATTGCGCGGAGAGAAGAGGCGCGGGTTCCGGTTGCACGTGTTCGGATTTTGGTAGGGACGCTGTCGCTGATGATGGTGGCGGTGGCGCTGGTGGTGGTCCCGTATGAACACCAAGTGCACTAAACGGATAGAATGTCGTTGGCGCTGGTACTGGCGGTTGATTTTGTTGTTGTGATTGTTGTTGATTTGGATTTTCATCAATGACAATTTCACCGCCAGCTGGACTATCAACGCCGGGTTTATCGTCTTTATCAGTGACGACGACGCCAACACCTAATACACCAACACCAACACTAACGCCACCTCCACCATTACGTTCAACATTAACACCTTTATCGTCCTCCGAGGTACGCATCACCTCGACAATTTTATTTTTTACATAATCGAGTGGCGAGAGACTGTGCTTATTTGATGGGGTACCGGAAGTCGTTGTGGCAGTGGTCGTTTCGTAGAAGCGTCGAGCATAATGATTTGTCGTTGCTTCCGGTGGTGAAACTGGTTCGACAGTTAGGAATTGTTGTTTACCAACTGATTGACTCGATTGTGAGGATTGTTGCTGTTGTTGTTGCTGCTGTTGCTGTTGTTGTGATTGCTGCTGTTGTTGCGCAACACGAATTATCTGTCGTTCATCCTCTGATTTCACTGAATCGGAATCGAGTCCTTTTCTTCGTTTCCATTGATCTTCGGAAGTTTGGTACCTGAAGAAACAAATATTGTTTTAATTTCGATTCTTCTATTCTAAATTTCCCGAAAATTTTCCATAAATTTTCGATAAATTTGTATACATTATTATCCAATAAATTTTCATGAATTGCGATGTAATCTACTGAAATTATCACAATTTTACTGAATAAAATAACCATGAATTACAATGTAAATTTGCATAAATTAGTGATTAAAAAATATATTACTCACCCTGAATAGGGTCGGTAAGACGACAGTGGAGGTCCATAATCTTTTGCGACAATATGCTCAATATGTTCTCCGAGAGTAACACTTTTATTGACACCGCCACCTCCACTTACAGCGACAGATCCACTATTTACAGGATTATTTTCACTGGCAGGACTGTGAGCTATACCATTAGGTTCTGCAGGACTGTCTCTTTGGAAACCCTAATTACAGAAAAGAAAAAACAAAATAAATTTTAATACCACACATTAAGTTTCTAATCAGGAAAGTTACTTAGGGGTTTTAAAAAAATCCTTCAAAAAATTAATAAACTTCCTGTAAATTATACAAAAATTTTTGTTAAGAAATTCAATTATTTTCGAAAAATTACATTACAATATTTCAAAAACAAATAATTCTTATATAATTGTTTCATCGTAATTTTTTAAGATTCAATTATTTTCAAACAAAGAAAATTAAAATTCTAGACAATTTACTTTTTTAGACTTCTTAGAATTTCGGTGAAATCATATTCATATTTTATTTATATAATCAAAATTTTCCAGAAATTTGATATTTTTTTATATCTTTCAAAAATTCAATTATTTTTAAAATATTTTAACAAGTTTCAATTGTTTTTAACAATTTTTGGAAGAGTTATAGTTGTATTTTTTTAGACATAGTTAAATTTCAGAAGGTTATAAATTGAAATCATTTAATGTTATGTCACCTGGCAAAAAAAAAGCATTTAACAGGGTTGCCACCAAAATTTTATTTTTTTTCCCCCGACTTTTCTCTGATTACAAGCTAAAATTTTGACTTTTTCCCTAACCCTAAAGAATATTCTGATTCACACTAAAAATCATCAGATACTGAAAAAAGTGTTTTATTACATTTATTTACAAATTTCTTCAATTGTATACAATTATTCGAAAATACCAATAGTATTTTAAATAAATATTTATTCATTATTATTTTTCCATAGGAATTAATATTTTCAAACATTTCAAATTCAACTACTTATAATAATTAAATGGATTGAAATTCCTATGCAGATTTTATTATTTATGAAAATAATTAAATCACTGTAAAGAATTTTATTATTTTTGTAAATAATAAAATTATTATAAAAAAATTTATAAAAAAAATTTTAAACAATTTAATTCCTATGACATTTTTATTATTTATGAAAATAATTAAATTATTGCAAAGTTTATAAAAAATTTGTAAATAATTGAATTCCTGTGAAATTTTTATTATTTTTTGAAAATAATTAAATATTTGCGTTCAATTTTATGAAAATTTTTTTAAAATAATTAAATTCTTTTGGAAAATTTTATTATAATAGTAGATATTGAAAATCATTGATTTGAAAATAATTCAAATTTTGCCAAGAATTTTATTTAAATTTTTGAAAATAATTGAATTATTATTATAATTAGATGTAGTTTTTTAGTTTCGACTTGTGGCTGAATATATCATATGTGAGGTGTAAGTAATAGTTTCTTATCTAATTGATAAGAATCTTTTAATTGAATTATTGTCATGAATATTGTTATTTACGAAAATAATTGAATTTTACAAAAAATTTTATTAAAATTCCTGAAAATAATTTAATTTCTGGGAAAAATGTTGATATTTATGAAGATTATTGAATTCTTTCAAAGAATTGCGTTAACATTTTGAACATGCTTTTAATATTCAATTATTATTTAAAATTTTAACTAAAATTCATTTTTTAATCAATTTTAATTATAGAAAATTCTACGAGAATTCAATTATTTAAATACAAAAATAAATAGTTTATTGAATAATTGAATGTTTCTTAAAATTAAAGTCTCATAAAGAATGTTATTAAAATTTTTTTAATAATTGAATTCTTTCGACGAATTTTATTATTTCTAAGAATAATTGAATTATTGCGAAGAATTTTATAAAAAATTGATAAATAATTGAATTCCTGTGAAATTTTAATTTTTTATGAAAATAATTAAAAGTTTCTGTAGAATTGTATTCAAATTTTTTTTAAATAATTGAATTCTTTTGGAAAACTTTGTTAAAATAGTAAATTTTGAAAATAATTGAAATTTTACCAAGAATTTTATTCAAATTTTTGAAAATAATTGAATTTCGGAGAATAATTTTGTTATTTATTTAAATAATTGAAATTTTAACAAGAATTTAAAAATTTTTTGAACATTTGAATTTAATTGAATTTCTGCGAAGAATTTAATTACTTTTGAAAATAATTGAATTTCTGCAATCATTCGTAACTTGTCAAAAATTCAATTATTTTTAGTGTTTTCAACTAAAATTCTTTATTTTTAATAATTAATGAAATATATATTAAAAAATTTAACTCATATATCAGATGAACTTTTATTAAAATTTTTCCCAATAATCTAAGTTGTTTAAAATTTCTTAATAAATTCATTGAAAATAGAAATTTTCCAAATTTTTAAATTAAAACCTTTTGGTAAATTCAAACCTTTATGAAAATTGTAAAACGCAATTTTTTTAAAATCAATTAATTTTGAAATATTTAAATTTAAAAGTAAAATTATTTATTAAATAATTTCTGAGTATATTAGTTTTATGATGTTTCTTCAAGAATTAAGTTTATTTAAAAAGAAATCATTGTCAGAAATAGAAAAATGTGAATTTTTTTTAATTAAGAATTTGTGATAATTTCATAGTTTGAGTCAAACCGAAAGTCACAAAAATTCAGAATTTTCTCCTAAATTCTAAAAATTAAATTTTTTCCCTCACTTTTAATAAAAATCCCTGACTTCTCCCTGACCAATTCTTTCTTTCTCTCTTTTATTTATATTTATTTAAATCTTTTTCAATTTTTGAATAATTGAATTTAGAAATGTACTTAAAATTTTTGTGACAACACTGAATTAAATAAACTTTCTTTTTCGACTTTTATTCTATTTTTAATCAAGAAGCGACTGTTCTTTGCTTCTTAAAGTCGATCCGAGGTTCCAAACTTATAAGTTGGTGGTGTACAAGTTACTGAATCGGATTTTAATGACAAAAGGAGTGAAGTAAAACGGAAACTGTTGTTAATTTTCTCGAAACAAATCATACCTGAAAGAGTCTGTCCCCGGGCCTCTGTTGATTATTCGAAGACGGCGTTCCAGGCGCATTGTCCGTACTCTGATTAATCTGATGCGTAATAATAGCGTCAATAAGACTCGCAGCAGTCAATGTCGACGATCCATCAGCCTGTTGATTCTGTTGTTGATTCTGCCTCGGCGGTTGTTGCTGTTGTTGCTGCTGTTGTTGCTGCTGCTGTTGCTGTTGCTGCTGCTGAGGTCCCGGCTGATGCCTCGACGACTGTGTAAAACCACTACTCATTACTCTCGAAGTTTCCCTCTCAAGATAAGGATGTTGTTCACGATAAATCTGCGCAATGTGTCGTCTCTCCGCCTCAATTCTCTGCTGATGTTGAATATGATGCAACTGATGTTGATGCTGTTGCTGTTGTTGCTGCTGCTGTTGTTGTTGCTGCTGTTGATGTAGGTGAACAAGTTCCCTTTCGCGTTGCTGTTGAACCGCCAAACGATGTTCCTGTTGCTGTTGCAATTCCTTTTCGCGTTGATGTTGAACCGCGAGGCGATGTTCCTGTTGTTGTTGTTGCAATTCCTTTTCGCGTTGTTGTTGAACCGCGAGGCGATGATGTTCCTGGTGTTCCTTCTCCCGTTGGGCGGCGACGGCCATTTGCTGTTGGACTTCTTTTTCGCGTTGCTGTTGAACGGCGAGACGGTGATCGCTGTGTTGAAATTCCTTCTGAACGTGGAGACGTTGCTCGACGTGTTGGAGTTCCTTTTCGCGTTGCTGGAGGCGGTGTTCTTGTTGGATTTCCTTTTCGAGATGATGTTGATGTTGTACGGCCATGCGACGCTCAAGGAGGTAGTCCTTCTCGCGGAGTTCCTTGATTCTTTGCTCCTCTTTCTCGCGGAGGTGAACGAGGTCGCGCTCGCGCTCGCGGTCCTTTTGCTGCTGGTGGTGGGCGACGGCCATGCGGTGCTCCATGGCTATTCGGTGCTCCTGGAGGCGGATCTCTTGCTCGCGGAAGGCGCGATTGTCGACGTAGCGATCGGCCATGAGGCGGTCGGCCATGGTTTTGCCGAGACCCTCGTGACCGCTGGAGCTGGTGGCCGTGGGGTGGTGGGGGTGGGGCACGGGGAGGCTGGGTTGCTGGACGGCCACGTCGACGAGGCTGGAGAAGGCCTCGAGGCCGGGGGGCGGTGGGTAGTGGATTGGCTTCTGGGTGTTGTGCCTCTGGATGACGCCCTGGCGGGGCTGCGTGTGGGTCTGCGGTGGCGGGGTGCTGGCGTAGTAGAGGTTTGAGGGTGGCTCGGTTTTGACGGGCGTCTCGGCGGCGTTTGTCACGCGTCCGCGGCCGTGCATCTGCTGACTGGTGATGTAGTCGTTGATGATGATTTGCCGGGAGGAGAGTTGCTGCTCGGTGTTGTAGCTGGGCGGCGGTCGGGCCGGGTAGGAGTTGTACTGGTTGCTGTGCGTGACGACGACGCCGGGATTTTGGCCTTGAACGTTGCTCGTGGAGACGGGCGAATGGCGGATTGAACGGTGGTAGTCGTACATTTGCTGGCCGCGCTTGTCGACCGCGAACGGATGAACGGGCGTGCCTTGCGTTATTGAGCCCGTTTCCTTGGGGCCCTGGCTCATTGTGTTCGTGCCGCTGATGCTTCCGGGCGGTGTCATTTGCCGCAGGAGACCCTCGTACCTGGCGCCGGGCACCGGAGTGCCGTGAGTGATGGAACCGCCCTTGTGACTGGTGCTGATGTTCGACAATTTTGGCGAGAGTTTTGGATGCGGAGGCGGCGCGGTGACTTTGTTGATTTTTTGAGCGAGCGGCGGAGCCTGAGGTCTGGGCGACGAAACATATACAAGGGGACTCTTGGCTCCGCGACTTTGTTCTGAAGGCGTGTGTGGATGATAGTAGGCTCCAGGAGGTGGCTCGGAACGATACATGGGTCCCACGGAAGGCGGTTTGTGTGGGGTTTGAAGAGAGTGATTGTATTCCTGTTGGCGTGGTTTCTTGATACTCAGGTCGAGAGTTCCCTCAGTGTCGCGAAGATTCTGCTGCACCTGTTGCACTTGCATCACAACGAGGCCTTCCTTGGGCAAATGATCCGAGGGCTGAGTCTGGCCACTTGAAGCCGACGGTGGACAGGGAGTAATAGTCGCCTGCATTTGACCTAAAGATAAAAAAAAACTCCATAATTTTCATAAATTCTATAACCACATTGAAATACTCTTCAGTAAATTACAGCAGAAATTTCCATAAATTTTCAAATTTTAATTTTTGAACTGAAATTCAAAAACAAGAGAATCCCAATAAATAAGAATTAATAAGAATAAAACTCACCAATTTGTTGGGGACTGGGAACAGATCTGTGCCCGTGATGTGGACTAGAGACAACAGAAAGGGTGGCGAGATTTGATTCACGATTTTGCGTTGGCGCTTGTGACATACTCGTTTGATGTTTATACTCGCGGACAAATGTAATGTCATTGCGATGATCCGTGTTGAGAATACTGGAAATTGTCGGCGTACCGGAACTAATTGGCACTGAGGAACTGCCAGTATTCGCTGGACTATTGGGATTTCTCTTTAGTTGCATTTCAATAACGCCTAACATGAGATCCTTGACAGTCAATGGATTAGTATTGCTTGTCGTTGATGGCGAATGACTTGGTGGTGGTTGTTGTTGTTGTGGTTGTCTCTGTTGTTGTTGCTGTGATGGTTGATGAGGCGCCACTGACGAATTGGAACTCGATGTTGATACCGTTAAGACAATACTATTTTCCAAATCGGCACCACCCTGACCTTCGTCCGCCGTCTCCTGGAACAAGCATTCAGTCTCTATCAGATGGCCCATTTCTATTATGTGATACATGAAAATCGCTTCTTTCTTTTGCTTTTTTTCTCTTTTTTTTGTTTCTCTATCTTTCTCTGGTTCCCTACTTTTACTCTATTTTTATTCTTTTCCCATTTTTACGTTTCTATTTTTTGTTTCTATATTTTTACGTTTCCATTTTTTGCGTCTCTATTTTTCCCTGTCTATTATTTTCTTACTCTACTTTCTTATTTCCTTATTTTTCAGTTTCTATTTTTCTCCTGTTTCCCCATTTTTTACCTCTCTATTTTTTTGTTTCTCTTTTTTCTGTTTCTACTTTTTCTTTTTCCCATTTATTTATTTTTCTATTTTTTTGTCTCACTATTTTTCTAATTATTTTTCTTCTGTTTCACTACTTTTTTTATTTCCTATTTCTTCAGTTTCTATTCTTTCCCCTAAACTTTCATTTCTATTGTACAATTATTTGTCTAGAATCACAAGTTATAAAAAGACCAACGAGCCATAAATAATATCGAGTTGTTGTAAACAGAACAACAAATAGTTACAAAAATAAAAGAGATTAATATAAATCATAAACGAAATAGTAATTATATTAAAATAAATTGAAGTTGAATTAAAGTAAATGAAAGGAAATGAAATTAATTGAAATTAAATTGAATTAAAGTAAATTGGAGAAAAAAAGCGATTCAAAAATTAAACGAAAAAAAAAGAAAAAAAAAAATGTGCGAAGAGAAGAAAATCTCGATCTTACCGTGGCAGAACTGTCGTAATCCTCACGACTTGGAAGAGTGACGGTGCAGGGTAAAGGCTGCGCCGACGAGGACGTTCCTAACGAAACAATCGAAATATCGGACACTTTATCGACAACTTTTTGATCCGCTGACTGCGTAAATGAAACGGTAAGTGCAGTTGTAGCCGAAGAGACGGGCACTATTGGCGTCGTACTCGAAATAGTATTCGCTGGACTACCGGCACTTGCCGTATCACTCGTATCATGAATCTAAAAGAAAAGGGAAAATTTATTATTTATACAGAAAATATTTCTTTGCACCTTTCTTTTTTATTAAAAATAGAAATAAAATTACCGCAATTTCGTCGCAACTACTCGTACTGCTTCCACTCTCCTCCTCGTCAGTGAGACATGGTCGTCGCTCTTCGCCAAGCGATTGATAATACTCGGCGACAACTTGATCGAGGCCGTGCTTCTTTCGATAGGTGAAATAATAACTTTTACATTGATGATTTGTCTTCTCGGGTATTTGCTCCGAGACTTTTGGCCAATTTGTACCGTGTTCGCGTAGCGCTCGTCTTAATTGCTCGAGTTCATCGTCGGTCCATTGGCCAAACGCGGAATCGCCGCCCTCTTCTAAAGAATCCGCACTGCCCGCTAAATGTGGCGCCAATCGTCTCGATATTCGATTGAAGCAAGTCGAACAGCACTTTGTCGCATTATTCGGTATCTCTGCAAAGAAAAAAATTATTATTAATAAGCAAAATATGTAATTAGTCAAATAAATGTAATTTAAAAAAAATAAATTTTTTCGCGATTAATTTTGAGATTAATTTCGACAATTGAATATTTTCGACTTACGAAATTCTTTAACGACTGGTTCGCGAATTTCAGGTGGGAGATCAAGCCATTTGGCGGGCAACGCTCTCAATCGTTTGACACGATTTTTCGTGTTTGCGTTGTTGAGATTTGGACATCCAGGAAGAGGACACGTGACGTAGCGTCCTCGCACAGCCTTACATCGACAGGTGTTACACACCCGAGCACCAGGTAAAACCTGCTCTTCTTTAATTCCATATTGAGAAGCTTGGCTCCTTGACAATGGTCGACTTTGATTCCCACCCTCGACAGTGCTCTGACAAACCGCGCACGTATGAATTCCCAATTGTCTCGTTCCAACTTCTGCAACAAATAGCAAAAAAAATCCATTAAAAAATCTATTTCTCTTAATTTACTACCCAGAAATAATTATTTAAAAACAAATTGATTATTTTTTAAAAATAACGAATTTTTCAACTGCAGTAATTTTTTTGTTTAATTGCACAGGAAAAATGATTATAATAAAAATCGAGGTGAGAAGGAAAAAAAGAAAACTGAGTCTAATTCCTATTCAAGTTGATTGTGGGGGGGAAAAATAGGATATTAAAATCACTCGAATCGAGAATTTTTTTTTATTCTTTTTTTTTTGTTGAATGAAAAATTCATAAGGGCAACGATCAATATTGCAAATTCTATTAACCATTTATCGATTCTTTTAAGACGAACCTTTATATTTCTCATTAATAAAACATTAAATTCATTTTCTACCCACCCCCAGAAAAAAATCAAGTTTCAATATCAGAAATTCAAAAATTTAAATTAAATTATTTTTTTTAATCAAAATTTTTATAATCAAAATTTACTTTCTGAAAAACTTTTATAATTCGCTTTCCAATCAAAAATTCAGCAATTTTTTTGCAGAAGAATAATTTTGTAATTCTTTTCTCTTTTCGAAATATTTTTTAATTCTTTCATAATACAATGTAAAATATTTTTTATTTTAATTTATAATTTATATTTTATAAGTTAGATAAAAAAAATATATTTTTCCTCCTTTTCCTTTTTTTGAACAAAGGAAACTTTTACTAATGAATAGAGTACCGAGTTTTTTATGCGACATTAAATGCGAGCCCTTTATTCCCTACTTTATTCTGGAGAACCGGCTCAATTAGCGGGATTCGCATTTTTATATTCTATTCGTTTATCTTTGAAAAACTCTGCTTTTGTTTCAAGCTTATTCCGAGAACTCAAGCATTTCTGACCCCGAGTCTAATATTTTCATTAGTGATCCATATTATAAAAAAAAAAAAAAAAAAGTGGAAAAAAAGGGGAAAAAAATTTGAAAGAAAGAGAAACTCAGAATCAACATTTTCTCTTCTTACTCTCGATTAAAAAGTTTTCAATTTACTAAGTGAATTTTTCTTTTTATTTTTTTCAACAATTTCCACAATTTTTCTTCAGTATAGTTAAAATTTGAAATTTTTCGAAAAGTCGAGTTTTTTTTTCTCCTTCATTTATAGGAGTTCAAATAAATTCTTAAATGTGAATAATAATTTTCTTCTTTTTCTATATTTGATAAAAATTTTGTTATACTTAGAAAATGTGATAAAACTAGTTGATTTAAATTTATTCCTTCAAAATTCAATTTATAAATAAAGTAATAAATTTATTCGATGAATTTTCTTATTTTTCTGCATTTAAGTTAAAAAAAATTAGCTAAATTTTTCATATTTTCATTGATTTAAATGAAAAAATGAGATATAAATATTTTATTTATACATTTTAGCCGCTTTTAAAAAAATTTCCTAAAAAATTGACTTCTTTGAAATTTTATTCATCTATTTATTTATTTTTTTTATCAAAATTGAAAATTAAATTTTTTAAACTACATAAAAGTCAAAATTATAATCAAATACAATTATATTTTTAAAAAAACTGAAATAAAAAAAAATTTGACAAATAAGTTTTGTCATAATTTGAAAAACAATTTTGTAATAAATTTTCAATAAATAAAATTTGTAACCAAATTTTTGAAAGTAAATTTTGCAATAAATTTTGTAACATTTTATTGAAAATTAATTTCAAAACAAATTTTTAAAAATAAATTTTGTAACAAACTTTTGACAATAAACTCTATAAAAAAAATTATAAATTAATAAATTTTGTACTAAATATTAATTTAAAATGTTTAAAGTTTAAAAAATATAATAAAAAAATTAAAACATAATTGAATCGTTATGAAGAATTTATTAACATTACAGAAAAAAATTAAATTTTCTCAAAAAATATTTATTTATTTAATTTAAAAAAAAATTGAATTCTTTCATGAAATTTTATTAAAATTTTATTAAAAATAATTGAATTTTTACAAAGAATTTTGATATTTATGAAAATAATTGAATTATTTCGAAGGATTAATTAAAATTTTTAAAAATAATTGAATTCTTTTAAAAAATTTTATAACGAATTAAGAAAAAAAAATTCAATTCTTTCAATTTTCAATTTTACAAAATTTATTGAAAATAATTAAATTGTTTCGAAGGTTTTATTAAAATTTTATAAAATAATTGAATTCTTTTTGAAAAATTTTAAAATGAATTAATAAAAAAATTCAATTTTCAATTTGACGAAATGTATTGAAAATAATTTATTGACATTTCAGAAAATAATTGATTTTTTTAGAAAAATATTTATTTATTGAATTTAAAAAAAATTAAATTCATTTATGAAATTTTATTAAAATTGTATTAAAAATAATTAAATTTTTACAAAGAATTTGACTATTTATGAAAATAATTGAATTGTTTAGAAGGATTTATTAAAATTTTTAAAAATAATTGAATTCTTTTAAAAAATTTTAAAATGAATAAAGAAAAAAATTTAATTCTTTCGTGAAATTAAAAATTTCACGAAATTTATTGAAAATAATTGAATTTTTGCAAAGATTTTATTACTATTTAAGAAAAATAATTGAAAATAATTTTAAATTTTAATTTTATTAAATTATTCAAAAATTTATATTTAAAAATTAAAAAACATAAAACATTTCCTAGTTATAAATGAAAAGAGTAAAATAATAAAAACAATTGTTTAATCGCAATTTACATAATAAAAAACTACTTTCCAAACTGTATATTAATTTAATGAAATTTTCTCAGCAATAATTTAGCGGCTTTTTCCAAAATACAAATATAATATATTGATATTTTTAACCAATAATTTGAGGATATAGATTAATAATGCGATCATGTACAATATTTCAATATTCACAGGGGACACAATACTGTCAATCATTGTGGGGAATTTCACGAATGGACACTGTGCACACCAATTGTTCAATATTGACATTTCAAGAGAGATGTAATTTTCCAAAATTATTTTCTCTCATTTTTTTCATCAACAAAAAATACATAAATATTTGTTCTGTGCAAAAAAAAAAAATTTTTTTTAATTATTTCCAACAATAAAATCAGTTTAACGAAGATTGTATTGTAAAAAAAAAAAAATAGTTAGTAACTAATTTTAATGTAGTTACTACCAAATATTAATTAGTAACTAATTTAATTTAATTGCATTTGTATTTTTTGCAAAATCGTTTCGAATTAAATATTCTTTGAATATTATTTGAATAAACAATTTTCCAAGTATTTTATTTTCAAAAAAATTATTTATTCTCCGAAAAATCTTCTTTTTATTATAAAAAAAAGTTTTTTAGAGTTAAAATGAATTTCTTCACTTGAGAACGCGAAGGTCACCACCAGGTGGAGTGGAACCTGATTTTATCAACTCAACTGCCATCTGGCGGTGACCTTGACGTTCGCAGGTGGAGAATAACATTTTCATATTGAATCTAAATCTAAATTTTTGTTTATAAAAAATATCCGATTAAAATAATTTCATTTCAAAGATTTTATTCATTAAAAACCTCGAGTGCAAAACAAAGCCCTTAGTTTTGACGGTAACAAAATTAAAAAATAAAAGCGAAAAAAAATTAAAATAAAAAGAATGTAAAAAAGAATTAGTTGAAATAATGGATGCAGAAAAAAAGAAAATAAAAATAGATAAAGAAAAAATCCGAGCGATAAAAATAATTAACTTTATGAAATAAAAATTAAAAAAAAATCGAATTTTACTGCTCGACGATTTAAATAAATAAATAAATTTCAAAAATGAATGAAAGATAAAATTGATGGTTTATGTTTATATTATGAATGATGTGATGGAAAAGTGAACAAACAATGTTTTGCCCCTCGTTATATATGAAATCTGAATTTTTCAAGCGTTAACAAAATTTTCATTTCTGTGTTTTTCTATTGGTCTGTGAAAAACGGCACTGTGCATGCACGATGAGCGAGAAGTTTTTAATTGGCTATCCTTAATTAGTTAACCAGCGAGGTTCCTCAGTAATTATTCTGTTTCCGTGTTCAACCCTCAACCATCCACTTTATTTTTTCCTTTTTTTTCGCTTTTTATCTCGAATCAAACTCTCCTTTTCCTATACATGATGTACATTAAAACTTTTATCCCCTCTCTACTTTTTCTCTTCCCTTCGAAAACCTACTAAAAAAGCTTTTATTAACCCATTTTCTCCGTCCTTTTTTACTACAAATTTTAATAAAAATTTTTTAAATCAAAATTTTCGAAGAAAATTCTAAAAAAATAAATTTAAATTCAATTTAAAATAGCATTTTTTATATACAATTCTTCACAATAATTCAATTACTTTCACTAATAATAACATTTTTTATGGAAATTCAATTTTAAAAAAAAATTTCTGATAAAATTCTAAACAAGAATTCAATTATTTTGATAAATAATAAAACTCGTCGAAGAATTTCAATTATTTTTAATACTATTTTTAATTAATTAATTGAAAAATTCAATTATTTTTATAAATAAAGTTTACCACAAGAATTCAATTATTTGAAATAAATAAAAAAAATTCTTTGCAAAATTCAATTATTTTCATAAATAACAATATTCATCACAAGAATTCAATTATTTTCAAAATAAATTTTTTCTTGGAAATTCAATTATTTTAAAAAATGATAATAAAATCGTTCGCAAGAATTCAATTATTTTCATAAACCAAAATATTTTACAGGAATCCAATTCTTTTTAAACATTTTGATAAAATTTTTCTCAATACATAATTCAATTACTTTCATAATTAATAAAATTCCTCTCAGAAATTCAATTATTTTCAAAAATAACAAAATTTTCCACAGAAATTCAATTTTCATTTACAAAAATTAATTGAATTCTTTACAGGAATTGAATTATTTTCGAAAAGTAATTGAATTCTTCACAAGAAATTCAAGTATCTTCGAAATTTTGAATAAAACTCTTTGCGCAAATTCAAT